CCAAAAGAGTCGGCATCTGTGATAAGGAGATCCCCTTGAGGACTCTATCCGATCACGACAAGGCTGAAAGAGTGCAGCCATGTTCAGCGGGAAGACAGGGATAAGAGCTATCCTTACATCACTAATCTCAGCCAGCTAGCCCTTTTGTGACATGGCATACGGACACAACAATGATGTAGGGACAGGGCAGGAGGACCACGACAGCTCTTGGAATCCGAAGACAATAGAAAGCATATTCATACTCCCGGTATATACCGGCAACTAGCTGGTTAAAGTTGGTAAGGGTCTTAACTTTCAGGCTGGTTTTCCTTGGCCAACTGACCTATACATGTCCATATTGGCTTATGGTTGTCGCCCAAATGCCAACGAGAAGCTGCTGGGCTGATATCCTTCTCGAACACAAAAGCGGACTTGATTTGAGGTATCGACTCCGTGTCATCCCCCTGGCCCCTTTGACGACCAAGCGACATGCATAGTTAGCGAGCCTCACTAGCCTCGCCCCAACCCAACCAGTCTCGCCAACCATCTGCAACTCCCCATTCGTCCTTCTCCTCCACGCTGCCAGCTCATCAACTACTCCACGCCCATTCATGCACCTTCGAGTTCCCCGATAAACCAGCTGTTGACGCAAGACCCTTGCATGGGACCCGTACCTTGAGAAAAAGCAGGCAACCTCGTTAGCTACATAGGCTGTGGATGGAGCGAGCTGTGTCGCTCGCTTCCGCGGACTCTTCTGGAACTGCAGATTTCTGGTTCTGGCCCGGTATCATGTTGTCTACGTTGACCGCATATGGGCCCATTTTCCTTTGCTGTACTCGGTCGGGCTGCCCTGCTGTCGACTCATTCTCAGCTCGCCAGCCTGATTCCCCGGCCCGAAGCTTGCAGCCTTGACACCGTGGTACGAATCCTACTACGATGTTGTCAGACGGACAGAACATGTTTAAGATCCGGGACATGCATGATCAATATTGTGAGTACCGTCTCGGAGATTCCCATATCTGCTGTTGCTGCTGTTGCTGCCTCATCGCTTATTGGTGCCGCGGAGCTTTGTGGGTCCGATTGTTCGAATCAGCCTATACGACCTCCATGTAAACGACCCTGCTTTTCTTCCTGTGCTCTATGCTGGCGGTACAAAACGTGGAGACATGTATGCTTGGGTCACCCGGGTCTTCGGCAGTCCAGACTGCAGTGTAGTGACACACGAAAGGCTGACAGAATGTACCGTGATTCTGCGAAGGAGATGAGAATCCAGATCGATGAAATCAAGGCCAAGCGAGCGAGGGGCGAGAAACCTGCCGCGGGTGCCGCTTCAAATACGACCATTTTTGACTCGATCCTCCTCGACAGCCATTTGCCCGACTCTGAAAGGGAAACCGAGCGTCTGTGGTAGGAGGCCGAGGTGATGCGGAAACTCCGCGACGAACTCGAGTCCGCCTTGCCAGACATAACGAGCGACGTGGAAATCAGACACCTGGAAAAGCTGCCGTATCTGGTATGTGTTGCGGCAATGGTGAAGGCAAGATTATGAACACAAGCAGAATTAATATACCCTCCAGACGGCTGTGATACAAGAAGGACTTTGCTTAAAATCAGAAAACAAAAAGTGCAAAAACTTAACACAGAACAGTCAACCTCTGGTCTGTGATAAGCGAAACTCACCCTTGCGGGTTGGTTTTTCTCGGCCGGTTATACTACAAATTCTATACAGTTGAATCGATCGGTGCGGGAGTCGAATCGGGGTCCTGCTGCCTGCTAACCCGTTATTGTTAGTTCGCTCTGACAAGACCCAGATCATGTCGTCGGTTTGGTTCAAATCGAGGCCCTGATGCCTGCCAGCCCGGTGCTAGTTCGACCTGACAGGGCCTGGACTGGATGGAGGAATCGTGGCTCATTCGGACTCGGTATCGCCCTAGTCGTGGAAGGGAGTCTTTGTGTGACAGGAATTGAGCACAGTAAAAATATAAAGGTAACAATCCTGTGGTGGGTCCGTAAGGTCTGTTTAGACCAGACCCGCGTGGTGGGCGCGCAAGGCTGAGGATGTATGTAGGGAGCACGCCTTCCCCATCCATCTTGCCGTTCGTTCGGAGTCTGCACGCGACTACAAAGATCCTGTCCAGATGAGATCCTGACTTACGACGACGGAGAGACTCGGTGGAAGATACCACCGAATGTGAGTCCCACGGGGCAAAGGAGTCATGTTCCAGCGACGACGAGAAGAGCGAACATTATCTGAGATTTTCTTGTTACACAGACACCGGTCGGCATGTCATGCGGCCTGATCCATCTCGACCCTTCCAAATTCCCACCGCCGTGCGAGTTCGCGCCCCGAGCGCTGGCTTGCAGACCCGCAGCACCTGAGCTCGGATCTGTGCTCGTTCTCCAAGGGGTCGCGGCAGTGCGTCAGCATCAACATGGCGTACGCGCAGCTGTACTTCTGCGTCGCCGGCATCTTTCGGCGGCCCCAGCAACCCCGACCCACTGGGGGATTTCGAGCTCTTCGGCACGACGAGCGACGACGTCGAGATCAAACATGACCTTTTCGTCCCGTTTCCGAAGCATGGCTTCAAAGAGGTGAGGGTGCTCCTTAAGTAGAGGCGACAGCCTCCTCCGCACGGTAAGGAGATAGAGATATCGGCCCATCGTTAGCGGAGGAGGAGGATAATTGAAGCGACGATGTCACGAAGTACGGAGTACTACGAGGTAGGCAAGCAAAGTCTACCTTTTCTCTCTCTCCCTCTCTTTCTTTTTCATTTTTTTCCTCAGAAGAAGGTTTCTTGGTCACTTATGCAAGCGAGACATGGTAGATGGGCGACAACGCGCCCAGAGATCAAGTCCCAAACACACCCATCCATCGTCCCTGCTTTGCTTTGCCGGCCTTGACCATGCCCTTCCCTATCCGATCCTGCCTACTTTGCCTTGCCTTTAACACCATGTCCTATCCTGCCCTGCCTTGCCTTGCCCTCCCTCTCTTTCCGCTTTGTCGTCCATATATTCTCCACGCAGGCGCGACACGAGATCCGCGATCCCCACCATGGAGATTCCGCATCCACAGGAGGGGGAGACCGCTACCGTACAAAGGCATTCGAAGGGATTTGCCTCTTTGATACTACAACACCACAGGTTACAGTACCACCTTCTTTAGTCCGAGTGGTGGATGGGAACGGCTAGTATGTACAAGGCTAGACCAAGTCGACTTGCTTATTCCGGCATCTCGCTGTGCAAACACAATTCGCAATCAGGTTCCCGATTGGCTACCTAGGTGGTCGGTTACGGAGCCCTCTGATTGGAGTGCTGGATTTCTCCTTCGGGGGAAGCCAGCAGCGACGCTTAGGTAGAGCCCCAAGAAAACCACTTCCGGCTAGCTTCGAGACACGCCGAACGAAGCGGTGTCCTCGCCCTCGCTCTCGCTCTCCCTCCAGCGCCGGAGGCAGGCGGCGGTTTAGTCGCGGGTGGCTCCCTGCTCTTGATAGGCTGGTCGGGGACGGCATGGCATTCTCTTTTGTTTTGTTTGGCTTTTTTGTTTGGCTTTTTTGTTTTTCTTTTTCTTATAAACGTTAAGGGGTCTACTGCGTGGGCGTTGCGCCGCAAAGAAGGAGGGGGAAGAGAGGAAAGTGCCGAGAGACAGAAACTAGGAGGGAGACGTAGACCTAAAGAAAAGGGGGAAGGGAGGGAAATGGAAATGGAAAGAGAAAGATCATACTGAACGAATGGGTTTGATGCTAATGTTACAATGAGGCTCCTATCTCAGGTCCGGCTTGCCACGATGATACTAACTATGTAGTCAATTACTTATTCCCACGTTCCCAATCTCCTGCGACGAACTACGATTGCTACCGCCACCGCTCCTGCTCATCGTCGTTCATTTGAAGAGGCTGGGATAGTCAGCCTTGATCAGATCAGCGCCCTTCTCCGCGACCATGTAGACGTCGTTCTGGATCCTGCAGTCGGGAATGACGGGGAAGACGGAGGCGTCGATGACACGCAGGTTGGACGCGCCGTAGACCTGCAGCTTTGGGTTGACGACGCCCTGCTTGATGTCCTTGCCCAGCCGGGCGGTGCCGCACGGGTGGAAGCCCGTCTGAGAGCGCTCGAGGATCTGGCGGATCATGGCCTCGTCCGAGTTGCGCGGCATCGGCCAGGGATAGTCGCCTTCGATGAGATCCTTTATGCCCTCGCCGTTCATGACGATGTCGTCGATCATGCGCACGCCCTCACGCAGCGCGATCAGGTCCAGGTCGTGCGAGAAGAAGTTGATGTTGACGTACGGCTGCTCGGTCGGGTCGGTCGAGTTGAGCTTGACTTCGCCGTTGCGCGACAGAGGGCGCATCAGGTCCACGATGGCGGTCAGGTAGTCACCCTCAGGAGGCGTGGGGAAGTGCCATTGGAAGGCGTCACAGAACATTGGCTGCGCAGATGTTACATCAGTTCCTGGCCATCAAAAAGTAAAGGGGATTCTTTTGATGGTATGACTTACCACAAAGTCGACCTCAAAGTGCGGCTGGCCAGCAGGCCCGAAGGGGTCGACGCCACCGTTCTTAGCCTTGTACTCACGGTACTCCTTGGATGTCTCGAACCACTCGTCAGCTCTAGGGAAGGCGACCAGCTCGAGCAGACCACTGCTATACGGGCCGGTGCGGTTCTTCCTGTAGGCGGCGATGGCGCCGTCCTTCTGAGGACCGGCGCGCAGGAGATGGCTGTCAAGGCCATAGCCGTCTTTGATCTTGAAGACATGGGACAAGATCGGGTGGTCCAAGAGGTTCTGGCCCACGTGCTCCGAGTCGACGAGGGTCTTGATGCCCTTGGATTCAAGGTGTTCCTTGGGGCCGATTCCGGAAAGCATAAGGAGCTTGGGGGTCTCAAACACGCCCTGAGAGACGATGACTTCGTACTTGGCGCGGAAGGTGTAGTCTTGGCCGTCGGGGCCGATGACAGTGACACCTACAGCCTTGTTGCCTTCAAAGACAATCTTCTTGGAGATCGTCGAGGACATGAGTGTCACATTTTCCTTTCCCTCGATGAAGACGGCCGCCGTGGATCGTTTACCCTTGTAGATGCTGTTGACGCACCTGAATAGACCCTTCTGGACGCCGCTGTAGACATCGGTGGTCAGCTCCTGGCCTTTGCTTACCCAGGCCTTCTCAAGAGCGTCACGGAAAGGCTGCAACTCTGGAATTAAGTCCGAATGCGAGATATGAAGGGGTCCGCCGCGGTTGCCGATCTTTGCAAGGTCGGCTGGGTAGAGTTTGTTGTCGTCATGGAATGTGGTGGATTTGTTGAAGTATTCCTCGGTGTTCTCCCAGTTCCATTCATCCGTTCCATATTCGGCCCAGTCGTCGAATGTGGCCGCACTACCACGGACCCAGGTGTAGTAGTTACCACCACTGCTACCGCCGAGCATCTTACCACGAGTGTTGGGCTTCTCAACTCGTGTGTAGTCCGGTCGGTTGATCATAGTGGTCTTGTACCCCCAGTCGTATTGACTGCCTCGCAGCTCAAACGCACGGGCCGGAGTGGAAATCTCGGGGATTTCGTTGGTGTTGCTAGTTCAAGTCAGCCGCGGGTGTCGATACTGAGAGACCAAAGGCAATCGACATACTTGATCCCAGCCTCGATCACGAGCACCGAAACCTTAGGGTTCTCGGCCAAACGGCCAGCAACAACGCAACCAGCAGTACCACCTCCGACGACAATGAAGTCGAAGGCCTGAGGGGCACCTTTCGGAGCTGTGGCGGGGTGCACCATTATGGTTAGTACCGAAGAGATTAGTTCTTTGTAGAGGAAGAGGTTGTGTTGGTAAGCTGTTTAGCTAATGGTTTCAAGGCCCAAGGGCACGAGACTTATGACTGTGTCCAAGGTGAAATACCTCGAAGGCGTGGCTCTCATTTATACCTTCAGACCTGGCCCAGGTCCGTATCTGACGCCATTCATTGTAAGGTTGAATTGACCAAACATTATGTCGTCGTCTATACGTTCTTTGGACAAGGTTCCGTTGCATACCGCGAATCTGCAAGGCCCTCCCACCAATTCAAAGGGCTGTCTCGATATAGAGCGCCTCGTGGTAGAAAGTCCTGGTCGACTGCATTTCAGAGTAGGCAAATGGATGAGCCGTTGGACAATATTCAGGTCTTCGGCGTGCCTCAACGGGGACAGTCTCCGTCCCAGGATCCATCATGGTGCAGAGGAGGACAAAGTTGGTATCAGGTCTGGCAAGTGGGAAGCTGAAGGTGAAAAAGGCCGGCCTTTCCGTTTGGGCACAAGGCTTGCAGCTGTTTCCGTCGACGCACAGCGGAGCTTAGCAGAAGTGAACCCAGTGCCACAACTCGTGCGAGCTGCGTGAGAGAAGCAATCCATTCTTCGAGAGTCGCTGGCAGTCTTCGCGTGAGATGAATGTTATGGCTCAACTTACCTAAGGATAGTGTCTCTTCGATACTATTATTCATCCGTGACTTACCTGTTCAAGGAATGGTCCTGGGATGCGAGATTTCAGCCTCGCAGCAATCGATTTTAGTCTTCTTTTCGCGCGCCATCAATACGTCAACTGCATTTTCTCCTGCGAATCAAAGTGCTCTGCAAATTTTCCGCACATGTAGTACTCACTCAGTCAGTCTATCCGTAGTGGAGACAGCTTGTCGCACGGATCACGGATCATTCTTTGCCTTGCCGTCAGTTTGTCGGTACCGCCAGGCCCCACAATCCTCGTCAGCGGGGATGCTTGTTTTGTTGACCAGTTGGTATGATATATGGCGTGAGAGATGAATATGCGGTGGATCAGCACGGGAAGTGACTGTTCCCATTGCAAAATGTTTTGAAGGTGGGTGTACTCGATGGAAGAAGGGTCAACAAAGAAGCCGCCATGATGAGAGCATGGAGCATGAACACCAATGATTGACCATGCTGCACCTTTCTCCGCATCGAGCCAGGACGTGTACTAGGACTTATTTCTGAGTGGCTCCGAGTAGGTACATCGATCAAGTCACACATTAGTCTGTCCTAGCACAACTTTACCCCGGTACTTGGAATAAAGGCGAAGTATTTGCATGAACTTAAGAGGTTCGCGAGTGAATCGGTCGCTGAATATGGCCTAAAGGGGCTCTGGGGGCAGTTCAGCATGGATGCTCGCTCTGTGCTCGCTCTCCCGTAGGTTCGCTGGATGATTGTAGTAGCGAAATGGCCGGGACTTGTTGACTGCCTGTCGCCCACTTTTACCCGGCATAGTAAGCCCGCCCACTTTTACCCGGCGCAGTAAGAGCGAGGCGAGTCTGGGAATGCCTGGCAGGCCCTGGGCAGATCCCAGCGAAGCCTTCGTGCGAGGGATGAACCAGGATATGTGCAGCTCGTCAGCCTCTCATCTCCTCGCCCCTAATCACTCGATGCAGTCTGATGAATAACGAGGCCGCCATGTCGCATGTGGTCGAAGTGTCCGAACAAATAGGACAGAGGCATGCTGCATCACGTAGCGCACTGCAGCTAAGTCCCGGAGAAAATAATAAAAGGGCAGAAGGGCAGAAGGGCATCGACCGATTGTTCAGCAACACAAAAGTAGGTTGTGATTGAGATCGTCGATGCCTTCGCCTGTTTTGAACGAAGCCCCGTAGCAAGAGAATGTTGGAACTTGAAGCAGCCGGAAACACCGGGGCCGATCGTAGGGTGAAAGGTCCCGAATCATATCGATTGATTGCTACTGTACCGAGGACGTACTGTAGGTCCATTCTGTATGTACATACAGTAGCTATTACTCAGTAATCAGTAGTTGGCGGGGCGATATTTGTGGGTGGAGAGGCCGCAGGTCATCACGTGCTCGGATCACCTGCCCTCCGAGATTGGGGCCATCACTGACGGCTCGAGAGCTCCTGTTCTCTCCATGAGTTCCGAATTGCTCCTCCGTTAGATTGTCTCAGCAGGTCGTCGCCATTATTCAGGCTCGCTCGCAAAGGATGCTTGATGCTCGCGGGCAGTGTCCTAAAGACCTGCTCTATCTGATGCCTCATCTGCCTTGTCGGTAACAGCGGGAACTGAGGCCATCCAAGGAAGAAACCTCAAATCCGGGAGCCTGGAGGGAGACCGGTCAGGGTGAATTCGGGACAACTTCACTCATCCTTGAAATGGTAGGACAAGAATGAGACTCGGTCAGAATGTTTCACCAAATCCTTTCTCAGGTTCCTCGCTTCTCACAGCCCATTCGAGAATGAAGGAGGTTTTGGCTGAAACCGGACTGATGAACCAAGCAATATCCAGGCCTGCGCCAAAACACGTCAGTGATGGTCTTTGCCAACTTCAATATCCCCCACGCGGCAAGCAACCAGCCGCTGGATACCGAGCACCAGATCCCGACCACTATGATGTGTCATCAGAGTTACTTGTTCAACAACGCCCCTTAGGGACCTACCTAGGCTGGCGGGACTCCGTGGGCCTTCCGGCCAGGCTGCTCAGTGCACACCTAAAGTCGAAATACATGGTGAATGAAGTTCAGGTACACAATTCTTGCTCTACACATAGGTAGGTGTGGTTAAAAAGAAACTTTAAGGACAGTTGGGTGCTTGAGCTCCCTGTCCGCTACTATGAGAGGCCGTCTGAAGGCGGCCCCAAGATGCGTTTGAGCAAGCGCATGTGCTAAAACAACCATTCTTCTTCCTTCTCTGGCACTCCTCCCCACTGCCCGTCTTTCTATTCGCTTGAGCTTCACTATGTTATCCCTCCCCCCATTACCTACAACTAGCGGGCCACTCCCTACTTCACCTTGGCGAACGCCGAGGCCGGGACAGGCACAGGATCTAGAGGCACCAATGTCGCATGGGACGAATGCGGCCAGACCAGCCCCGCAAACACGAGATTGACGAGCTGCGAGTACTGGATCTGAGTCGCCGAGACTGTGATCGTCTGCGGCTTGGAAATCTCGTATGGCGGGTGGACCAGGAACGTCGGCGTGGGGACGCCACTGGTATTCCCCGCTGGAACTGGGGCTTGGATGACCATGGCGGGATGCCCTGGTTTCCAGGCCGGGACTCGGAGCTCGTATTGCACGGTCTCGATCCAGAAGGTCGCCGTCATCGCGGTCGCTTGGGCGTTGGGACCGGTGTTTGTGCCCGTGCTGGCTCCGATCAGGAACCCGGTGTTCGCAGTGCCGCCGCCGAGCTCAGGTGTCGCTGGAGTGGTTGAGACAGTGAAGAAAATGGTATTAGTAATATTCTGGCCCACGATGGCGTTGCGTAGGACGGTGGCCGGGTCGGTGAGTATGGCCTGGGTGATTGTGCTAGCCGCGATGAACTTGGTTAGGTCCTGTGGTAAGCGGGCTGTGTCTGTGCTGGCCGCCGTTTGAGAAGGGAAGGGGATCGACTTTCCAGACGCGACGGCGGATGGTGTGATATTCACCGCTGGAATCGTCGGTGGTCCATCCACAATGCCGACAGTGGACGTGGGGTCAAGGCATTGAGCGTTAATCGTGGTACCATGGGGGATGGAGCCCATACGGTTCAGCGACTCGGGAACAATGGGGTCGGAAGTGGTAGCTGGGATGTGCATCCACAGTCCTGGCTCAAAATGGATACCAGACGGAGTACCATCTCCTTTACCGGTGGCAGGATTGGACACATCGTTGATGGTCTGGCGGTAGGGTACGCCGTTAAGGAAGATGTCGCCTTGTGTGCCAAACCCACGGTTTGGAACATTGCCGAGAGCCTGGTCGAAGGCCAACGTCTCCTGGGTCAAATTGAGCTCCAGGGTATTGTCATTCGGTACTGCTGGCGGAGCCGGAGAGACAGGGTTGGGAAACGTGGTATTACTACTGGTTCCATTGTTCGGTCGGAATATGGTGTTGAAGCCAGTCCCATGGAACGTGCCGCTGAAGTTCGAAAGCACGCTGAGCGGTGGAATTGTTGTGCTCGGAGGGGAGCCCGGTGGGAGAAGGGGCCTGCCTTGCTCGAAACCACGCTTGAGCCTCTCATCTTGTGGTTGGATCCTGAAGTTGGACGGCAGATGGATCGACGGCATCGAGATCTCAGGGGGTTGGGAGAGTCTGTTGACTCCGTTGACTGCGTTGACTCCGTTCAAGACGGTCTGTGTTACCATGACTGCTATCAGATGCCTCAATATTGGGTGAAATGGATTGTGTCTGGAAGGAGAGAAGAAACGGAGGGCAGCCTCGAGGTCTTAAATGACATCCGTTTCGAGCTCGTGTTTGGTAGAGAAGGGATCAACCGTTTCCATGGCGCACATTGCACGTGAAGGCCTCAAGCAGGACTTCGGATCGAGGCCAAACAGCCATGTGGTCTGATTTTCAGCTTGCAAACGACTCAGGGGGTCAGTCTTAGCTAGGATCGCGACAAGGACCACCCTGATCGCGAATCAGTGTCCTCTTATCTCAATCAGCTGATGGCGATTCGACAAACTTTCTCACGGTAACTTGGCTTACGCATCGTGTTGTTGACCACCGTCTTGCAGGCCAGACGAGAATGTCTCCAGTAACTGACGTTAGCAAGGTTTGGGCGGTGGAAGTGTGGAAAAAGAACAAAGTCCACGGGCGTTCTCTGCTTGGATCGGTTTCGACTTTGGGCAAGCGCTCCAACTATCATGACTACCAGCAAATCCTAATATCGCCCAGCTCTTTCTTCTGATCGTCCATATTCAATAAAATGTCATGTCGGCAGACCGATGCTAGTTGGCTGCCCTGGCCATGCGCATCGTGTCTTTCGGTCCAAAGTCTCGGATTATTTTCACCTCGTTTTCATCCCGGCGATCCTGAGAGCCTGGTGTGGACATCAACAAGCAAGGGATCCTGGTGAGGCTGAGGCATGCTCACCGTTGACCTGCGCTGACCTGGCCTTACCAGACTGCCTCACGGGGCTTCAATACAGGTAATTGTCGGTCAGCGAGGCACACAGGCGCTCGTTCGGTAGTGTAACCAGATGCCTGAAAGATATTCCTTGGGCAACTCACCCTTTCTGAGATGGGACCGACTGGAAGGTGGTGAGGCTGACGCCATCTGATGCGGGTTGCCTCGCTGGGGAATATAGCCTCATTCAGGCCGCCCCGTTCAGGTCGCTGACGGACGTGGTAATGGTCCAAGGTCAGAAACTTGACCCAAGTACGAGGCAGTCATGCGCCATCTGTCAAAATGAACCCAAAAGTCTCGATCTGGCTTTTCTGAAGTCCTCGGGGAGGGGGGTTGACAATGTGCAATACGAGGGGATGGCTCATCAGGATGGACTGTGCGCTCTGGAACCGCACCGCGGTCAGCACCGAGCCGGTTTTCCTACTGCCTCCGCTGCGGGAAGCAGAGCATGATCCTTGAAATGACGTGAGAATACAGTCTTGTACTGGGGACCATTAACAAGCCACAGACGATACCGAGATCAGAAGTGAAGCATTTTGGTAACCAACGCCTATTGATACCAACCGAGATTATATCGCCGCGCTTACCTGGTCTGCCCAGTTTGGTGCTAGGGAGGGGGTTCTGGGGGGGCTTGAACTCGGTTAGTCTCCACCCCCTTTTCCCCTACAGCCTTGCCCCACAAAGCCTTGCGACAGAAAAGGTAGCAGTGGCTGTTCCTTCGGAGAATCTTGTCTAGTTATTGTTCACCTACAATTCCGTCGATGGCGGCTGCAGAAGAATGGATCATTATATGTTGCATAATATCTAGATTTCGTTCCTAGATGCTCCTTAGATTCCACCTGCCAGCTCAAACAGAATGTGCTTTCTGCAATTTGCTGCCTTCGACGCCTATGCTACAAAAGAAGTGTGGGTGGGAGTCGGGATGCCCATATTGAAAAAGACGCTCTTGACCTGGGTGTAATTGTCCAGGGCCTCGCCGCCGAGCTCGCGCCCGATACCGCTCTCCTTGTATCCGCCGAAGGGCATGCTCCAGTGCAGGAAGTTGAACATATTGACCCACGTCGTGCCGGCCCTCAACTTCTTGGTGATGCGCAGCGCGCGCTGGTAGTCGTTCGTGTGCACGCCCGCGGCCAGGCCGTAGCTGGTGTCGTTGGCGGCCACGATCACTTCGTCCTCGGACTTGAACTTGGCGATGACGACCACGGGGCCGAAGATTTCTTCCTTCACGATCTGCAAACACGGCACCGTCAGCTTTTGTGCAGGGTGGATAGCACAAACAGCCTGTCCCTCAGAGGAGGGGGTGAGGTCCTATGCGTACCTTCATCTCTGGAGTCACGTCTGTAAAAATGGTGGGCTCGATAAAGTAGCCGCCGTCCTTGGAGACCGGATTGCCCCCAAGATGGAGCGTCGCCCCTTCTTTCTTCCCAATGTCAATGTACCCGAGGATTTTGTCGTATTGAGACCTGTTGATCTGCGGGCCCTGGTCTGTCTCGCTGCTGAAGATGCTTCCGACCTTGATGGAGGCCATCTTCTTAGTGAAAGCCGCGAGGAAGGCATCGTAGATATCCTCGTGCACATAGATGCGGGTTCCGGCATGACACACCTGGCCAGCATGGAAGTCGATGCCGAGGACCGACCAGTCCACTGCTTTCTGCAGGTCTGCATCGGGGAAGACGATGTTCTGTGGCACGTCAGTTTCATCCTCTTTCCCTGAGAGACGGCGAGAGGGTGGGAGTCGAGAGGGCTGGCTTACCGGGCTTTTGCCCCCGAGCTCGAGCGTGACCTTTTTGAGATTCGACGATGCAGCCGCTTTGAGAATTACACGTCCCGTCGCAGTAGACCCCGTAAACGCGACCTTGTCAATGTCCATATGGTTCGCGATGGCGGCCCCTACCGTCGGACCAAAACCAGACACCAGGTTGACCGTGCCGGCCGGAAATCCAGCTTCGCGGATGAGCTCGCACATTTTGAGGGCCGACAGCGGCGTACTCTCGGCCGACTTCATCACGATTGTGTTGCCTGTTGCCAGAGCAGGGGCAATCTTCCAGACGAACATCATAAGTGGAAAGCTGGTATGGGGGGTAACTTGTCAGCGCCCATTCCTCTCTCAGCGACATGGGCAAGGTACGTACTTCCAGGGGATAATTTGACCGCACACCCCAATGGGCTCTCGGACCGTGTATGTGAAAGTCCCGGGCACGGTCGCGGCGGTCCTTCCATAGACCTTGTCCGCCCAACTTGCATAGTACCTCAGAGTGCCGATAGAGGCCGGGAGATCGACGGTCGATGCTTGATTGAGAGGTTTACCGCTGTCGACCATCTCGACGGCGAGCATCTCGTCTCGGTTCTTCTCCATCAGATCGGCCAGGCGGTGCAACAGCGACGCTCTCCATGCCGGATCCGAGTCAGCCCACCCGCCGTCAAAGGCCTTCCTGGCTGCCTTCACCGCCAGGTCAACATCTTCGGCCTGGCCTTCTTCGATCGACAGGAGTACTTTCCCAGTGGCTGGGTTCTCAACTTCGAAGGTTTTCCCACCAAGCGCCTTGACGAACTCGTTATTAATGAAGAGACCGGTGGGGATCGATATCTCCTTGGCGTTTATCACGACAGACTTGGGGGGAGCGCTTGCAGCCATCTCTGATGATGATGCTTTGGGTTGTTTGTTAGACTTTGGTAGAAACAAGTGATTAAAGTACAAGGGACAATTGCTGAACCGAAAAAGCCTGGGACGAGGCGACACATTGCTAATATATACATATCTGCGTCTGTATGCTATGCTGCCCGGTCATCAGCCAACATCACAATTGCCATCAAGGAAATGGCTAGGTCGCTACCCCACAAACGAGGGATGACAAAAGCATCGAGAGCGGAGGCGGGTCACATCCGTCGATGAAATCCTAGAGACTATGGAGGTGGGAGACTTTGGAGAACACCTGACAGAGAGATTCCGTCTGAGGGCCGGAGCCTCCCGCAAACTATATGACGTTGTTCCTGACTGAATGCTGGCAGATTGGAAACAGACTTTCGTTGAGTAATCCTTCCTAAGCGGGTCTCGAGAAAGGTACCTGAAGTCGAACTGCGGGTTGGACTCGTCTCTCAGTATTGTCCATCGCCGGCTGAACGTCGCTTTTGTGTGGCAAGGGAATATAGCAAAAGTAGAACAGGTGAATTTGGGAGGAGTTCATTTTACGAATCGACGGAGTCACTCTACTTTTTACCTGTGGTCTGCTTCAACCATATAGCATCAGCGGTGTATTAAATGCCTATTGAACACCCAACAGACGACCACGACTCTTGGATTGAACACGATCTTGATGTACATTGGCAAATAATGGATTTTTGACACCAGGCCACCTTTCCCGTTCTCTTTTGGCACAAGTTCATTTACTGATTTTGCCCGGTCCCCTGGAATCCATCGCCAAAGAAGTTCTGTATCACTTCGTCCACGCTGGGGTAATACTCCCCCATCGTCTGAGCACTGTTCGGACTGCCATCTCCGCCAGAACCTATGAAGTATGACAACATGTCGGTGGTTGTGAAAGAGTCGGCCTGGACCTCGTAGAACGGGGACAAGTATTCGTTCCCTATATTTGAGTTCCCGAACTGGAGCGGCTGGAAATCGGGAGAGACGAGGTCGACGTCAATGGCATCGGATGGTCGTTCTAACTCCAAGTTCGTCGAGATCTGCGGCGTGGGCTGTGATCTTGGGTCTAGTTTGGCGCTCTGCGCCTCACAATACTTCGGGTTAAATCGTGACATTGTCGCCGCTGAGATGCGGTCCAACACATCACGACTCCTATTTGCCTCTGGCCAGTACTCCCCTGTTGCGCTGAGAATGTCGGACGTCGATTTTAGCGCTCTCATAAGTGTTTCGGCTTCGACTTCATCAGCAATTCCATTAGGTGTCCAGACGCAGTAAAACATGGTGATAACGCAGAGGAAAAGCGAATGAGCGCTGATCCAACTGTAATGAAGCTTGTTGGCGGTGTAGAGTTTGTGGTAGAGCTTGCTGCACTTCATGGCACTTGCAAAACATTCGCGGAGAGCTGCCTTGGTGGGATGCTGGAAAACAGGGTTCGGTCGGAGAACCAGCATGATGAGCTCGTGGTATTTGATTTCGCAGAGGTGATTTATATAACACCGTTCGCTGCCTTCTGGTTGTCGCGGGATATCCTCCTTCCATTTCCGAAGTCGATTCAACATATCCTCTCTCCATCGAGCGACATCACTGGTAGCTGGTTGCGTGTACGGTGGGTATTGCCGACCAACACAGTACAAGACACATTTTATTTCCGAGTTGAATCTTGCAAGCTTGAAGAGGTGGATTGCACTGGACAAGTTCGTCAGAGAGTCAATACTCTGACCGGGCTGTTTTTGGCTCGATTCAAGATCCTTGTCGTTGGTATCCAAAGGTAACTATGGGAGTTAGTCCTGATTGGCAAACAGTTACGATCAGGGTCATGGAGCTCACCGTCAAATCGCACTGCTCGTCAATTAACCCCAGTGGCCTTCCCATGATAGTGCACAGGATGCGATCAATCGTGTAAACACACCAGAAAACTCTGGTTCGCAGCTCTCGCTCGACAACAGAAAATAAGTTTCTGGGAGCATTGCGCTGCAAACCCAGCTCTATTGTCCATGCCAGACAATGGTAATGAAGAGACCAGAGACTCAGTCCAGATGACGGATTGTTCATGGTATACATCTGCAGAAGCAAGATGCATTGAACCCCTGTGAAAGACGCCCTTTGGAAGATGTTATCGAGCCGACTCATTGCCGAAGCGCAGTAGCCTTCCGCGCATAGGGGTACTTTGGCTCGGCGTGCCAGAATAGTGGCACCGATTGCCAGGACCATGAAAACCTGAAATTCGCATGTTGGCCCGACCTCAGCACCAGCATACAGTTGTGCGAGGATTTCCATATATGTAGATTCATGCAAGAAGGGAAATTGCATGTGAACGTTTTCGAAATACGCCTGGGACAACCACCGCGCATGTCTGTGATCTGACGGCAACTCTTGGGGTTGAATGATGAGGAGATCGGCGGGGATCGTTTCTCGATCCCTCGTAGGTTCAGGCGGGTACTGTCTCTCAACTTGGATCTTTCGTCCCAGTCCGGCTAAGACGAATCTGGTGAAAAACAATCCGCTGGAAGGGCCCAGGTAACGGAGATCTGCTCCCGTGGCGACGGAGACGAGTCCAATCTGATGTGTGATATCGCTAAGTGACTCGTCGTCCTGAGAATAGCTGTCGTGAGCCCCATCTTCATGCTGAGATTGAGATAGATCGGCCTCCCTAGATCGACTGCTAGGTGTGCCATGGGATCGAAAACGTGGCCCTCTGTTTAGGTCGACACTGGGAATATTTTCCCGAACAATGGATTCGAGCCAAGCAACTCGAGCCTCCAAGTCGTGCACATAGCTGAATAGCAAGCGATTAATTCCAGTGACAATCCCATATGTGCAGCTAGCTCACCTTCGAGGGATATCTCGAGATGTTCCCCCACCCACGCAATTCGCTCCTGCTTTTCGACATGCACCACAAGCCGGCAATGCTCCATCACACTAGCGACCCGTCATTATTCCGTGCCAGGCGCCACAGCTAGTATTCATTTTAGGGGTGAAACCGCCAGAAGCGAGAGGACTTACCCGAATTTTCCGCTTCTGACATCGTACGCAGGCGGCGCTGATACGTGATCGCGCTTTGCACGGCCGTTGTGGGTGCTGACTTGGTGAGACATCAGTTGTCTCAACTGCGGCATCGTTCATGTTGCTAACTGCGCAATGAAGATGGGACTTGACGGATGCAGTCCGATTTAACATGGATGCTTCCCGCTATCCTGCGGAAGGCCCGATTTGTCAGCGTCTTCGAATGCGGTGGTATTGCAACCATGCCGCTAACGTGATGATGCGTTTGCCAAAGAATTCGTTGCAAACATCATATGATTGCTCAACACGGCCGCTCCGTTGACGTATTGCATGTTTTTGTGGACAAGGCTGAGTACCGAGGCGGGCCATATCCCGAGAAAACCCCCTGCTGTGGCAACATGTGTATGAGCTCGGCCAAGAGATGTTATGGTCAAGGAGATCGATCTTGTCTTCTGTTGAATGCCTCACAGATTCCAAGGTGAAGCAATTGAACCGAACCGCACCGAGCAATGATCAAAATGTGTCGTGATAGTCTCAATCCGGTTCATCTCCTGGAGCGTCTTGCAACACGCAGAGGACGGATACTATCCGAAGGGCGAAGTGTCATCACGGAAGCTCCGCTCTGCAGGGTTGAGGTTCTTACATTACCCAAACTCCACCCGCAACTTACGGACGAGAGGTTCATTGGATGGGGAAATCGATTTTTGACAAAGGCTCGAAAATAACAAACAGATTTTGCTGTTGCTGGCTGGTGCATGAATCGTCTGGGTTCTGTGGATCGAGGCCTGAATTTGATCCAGTGCCCTTGGCCCCTTGCTGATTATCACGACATCAAAGCCGACTCAAAAGGAGTTAATCTCTGCCGGAGAAGCATGGGCAGCTGGGTGCCCCTCAGGGCCTCAGCAATATAAACCAAGGCGTTTGTTTGCAGCTGGGGGTTCAATTTTGAATCATCAAACATCAATCCGACGATTTGTTGGTCTTGTCTGAATCTTTCGTTGCAATGTCTGTCTCAAAGCCTCGTGTACTCTTCGTCCTAACATCTCACAGCGCACTGGGCACGTCCGGCAAGCCTACTGGCTGGTATCTGGTGGGTAGCCTTTCCACGTTTCATCTGCGTTGAAAGTCCTCACCTGTAATCCATAGCCCGAGTTCGCACACCCGTATCACCAACTGCAAAAGGTCGCGGATATCACGGTGGCATCCCCAGCAGGTGGTGCAGCACCTGTTGACCCGGGCTCGGTCGAAAGCTGGAAGCAGGACGAGGTTTCTAGTCAGTTCTGGGAGAAGCAATCTGCTCTCTGGAAGAACACAGAGAAGCTCTCAAATTTCTTGGGCAAGGCCCCAGACTTCGTCGCAATCTTCTATGTGGGAGGCCACGGTCGTAAGTCCTATCGTGTTTTCTTCGAGCCGATACAACTCCACCCTGCTAAAAGTTGAGCAGCGATGTACGACCTTGCAACGGATGCAGACTCGATCCAGCTCATTCGAGAATTCTTTGAAAGCGGCAAAGTTGTCGGCGCCGTCTGCCACGGTTCCGCTGCCCTGGTCAACGTCAAACTCTCGGATGGCAGCTACCTGGTGGCAGATGCAGAGGTGACAGGCTTCTCCAACGACGAGGAGGACCAAATTGGATTGTCCCAGTTCATGCCGTTCATGCTGGAGACGGAGCTTAACAAACTCAGTAATGGGAAGTATATTAAAGCGGACAGGCCTTGGGGCGAGTGTGTCGCCGTGTCGAAGGGTGGACGACTGATTACCGGCCAGAACCCTATGAGTGCTACAGCAACAGGCAATGCACTTGTCAGTGCAATTAGCAAGCGATAGCGCTGGAATCTTGAAGACTGAAATTGCCCACGGCGGTGAACGGTCCTTGGGTCTCTTCCATATGATATCACTCTGGAATTGAGCTCTGTTTCTTACTCTTGCATGAATGCTTCGACTTGTCAGTGAATCCCCAATTTACTTCCCTCGCTAGAGGTCAGATCACCGTACTCGGTATATCTTTTAGGCAAGGGGTAACCCAGCTCTTGAAACGGAAGATGACTTTTGTTGAGGTACGGATCAGGGAAAACTGGGATCGATAGAAGGGTTTGAGGAATCAGGGGGGTTACGGGAAGGCCCCGTTTGGGCGGAAAGAGAGATCATCCAACATTAAACTGGTCCGTAACTGCGGTATATAAAGTCGAGCGGAACCTTTGAACTTTTGGTAGTGGATATTATTAAGGTATTGGAAGATACAGCCACCTTGGCAAGAAAGATATGGTTGTCGTGTGGGCTGATCCATCAACCTCCCTTGACTAGTCGTTCCGATATTTCAGCCTCGGGCATCGCTTCTTCAAGCTGCAGTTGGAAAAAGCAATTAAGCCTTCCCATTCCTTGCCAATAATAGCATACCTTGCTAAAAGGATATCGTCTTTCCTTCATCTTTGTGCATTTGTCGCGTGCGTTTGTCGGTCAATGTCTGTGCTAGCTTTCTTCACTTAAGCAGCAGCAACCTCCTCGGTCGTGCCGTTGGTACCATTTTCAGTCATCTCAGCACCATCTTCCTTTCCTGGGCTATCGATGGCGACCTTGACAGCGATCTCACGACCCTCGATCTGCTTGCCATTCATCTCTTCAACAGCCTTCTTCTGCATCTCCTCGGATGCAAGTGTGACGAAGCCGAAGCCACGGCCCTTGCGAGGCTCGTTGCGGGCTGCGAGTTTCTTGACCATGAATCGTGGGATGGGACGCAGAGCAATCTTGGCAGAGCTGGGTTGGTAGGCAGCGAAGAGTTCCTTGAGCTAAACAAGCGTTAGCATGCGACCATCTGTTTGGCTTTCGCGGTCCATACCTTTTCCTCGCTCAGGTCGTAGGGCAAGTTGGCAACCATGACTTTGGTGGTTGACGGGATGCCATCTTCTGGAGGACCTCGTTGCTTTGGGGGACGAGGAATTCGAGATTTAGCGTCAGCTGCGGGAGCGGCCTTGTTGGCTTCGGCAGTGACGTCTGTCAAGGGAAGGAGGGTCTCTGCGAGCTCGGTGGCAGGCGCACCAGCCTCCTGTAATGAGTCAGTCGTCCGTTCTTCAGGTCGCAGATTTTTCGCATAACCTACAGCAGTGCCCCTTGCACCTCCACGGCCACGTCCACCTCGGCCACGTCCGCGGCCACCACGACCGCGTCCAGCGGCTCTCTTGCGGTCAGCCTCAGCACCTTCGGCGGCACCCTCAGGGGTTGCGGCTTGATCTGGCTTGCGGGCAACTTGGACAGAGACCTTGCGCTCAAGAATCTCCTTGCCCGATAGGTTCTCGATGGCCTTTTCCGCCTCTTCTGCAGTCTTCAGATCAACAAAGGCGTAGCCGACGGGGCGGTTGGTGCGGGGGTTGACAGGGATGGAGGTTGACTCGCTGTTGCAACAAGATTAGTCACACGGACAGATGGAAAATCTGGACAGTTGCCACCTACACATCGTAGCCAGAAAAGAACTGCTTGAGTTCCGCCTCAGTGGTCGCATAAGCGAGATTCCCGATGTACAATCGACGACCTTCGGCTGCGGAGGCCAGAACGCTCTCGTTGTTGGCAGCAGAGGTATCCTCAAGGCTGGCGTTCTTAAGGTTTTCGGCAAGGTTGTCGACGGCAGTAGACATTGTGGCTGAGGCACAAGTTGGATGAGTTGACAAGTGGTTAAAAATGTGGACTTGTGGAAGGGAACTTGACTCAGGTAGCTAGAGGCTGCCTTGGGAATCAATTGACGGAGGGGTGGGAAGGGTAGCTGGGTGCCCTAGATTCAAAGGATTGTTTTGAAGATGAGCACGGGTTGTGATCAGTTGAAGGATGAACTGGTTGATGAGAAACAAAAGGAAGGGAAATTCCAAAGGGGCCTTTTTGACTGCAGGCCGAGAAGAAAATAAATTGTTTAGCGGCAGTAGCGGTGGGCGCAATTTAGTGACGCGGAAGTGACGAATCGGCGGGCCCAAGCGGGCGGGAGCGAACCGGAAAAGGGCAAGCGCGGGCGACATCCGGTGGCGCTAACGGACATTAACAAGCCCCAAGAATACTACTTAAGAAAGTACCTAATACCAAGTAGGCCCAGTAGGCCCCAAGGCCCCAACAGCCATTAATGTCAGACTGTCGCCACTGGAAGATTCACACCACCAACACTCCCTGCGCTCGTCTCGCGTGTCCAAGGTGATGGCTCCTTCCCCAGTGCAGCTAGTCTTCACTCCTGATTCTCCACTGTTCACTGATGGCTTGCATGCACAGTTTGTACCTGACAGCAGGCGCCCCTTCGACCCGCACAATACCGACGTACTGGCTTCTTCGAGAGAGATGCCTTGCAGACAATGGCACGCCAATCACGGTTGAGACGTCTATTCACGAACAATCGACGTGTGAATGTCACTGGGCGCACCACTCAGCGCCAACGTTTGGTTTGAAGGGAATGCCTAGGTGACGATCACAAGGGGGACCAAACAACACCCGCAACCTTTTCATGTGCAAATCAATCAGCCTTGCTAAGGAGCCTGTGCCAACAATTACCCCTTCATGCCTGCCTCCCACCACTTGCACGAGGCAGTCAAAACCCTAGGACAGATCAACCGGTGTGGCGACCCTATTGTGCATTGCCTCTCTAGAGCCATCAACCAGCATCGCAACCGGTTATTGGTGCCGAGCAATGTTTGGTGGAAGCAAAGAGGAGGGCTGTTCACAAAATCCCCCAGCCTTGGTCCAAATGCCAATTATGACCCCCATCTGTATGCAGGTCTTGGGACTTTGGAGTCTCGGGGAACCGATCGTGCCAATCCCAGAGCGTACTGGGGCCATGCGGTAGGGATTGTTCCACTCGCAGCAGACGGGTTGTGACCAATGAGAATGGATATGAAGAGTTTCCAGCAAGAAGCCTGTCGACTTAGAGCAGGTCAGGAAGGTAGGTAGGAGACATGGTTCTTGAACACCATCTCGAAATTCGGACTGACATAAGTATGGAGTATATACAGTAGATAGTACGAGGTATGTACATAATTGAATACACTCGAGTCGAATATTGAAGCGGCACGGTGAGCCTCAGCCTTACGAGTTACACAGGTTGGAACGCCACACGGCCGCTGCGCCCCATCTTTCGCGTCTCAGTTCCTGCTGCGCCGTGTCTTCGATCTGTTGTGACCGCTTCCTAACCCGGCGTTTGACTCGTATCAAATATATCGTCACTCCTTTGAATTCCTTGTACAGTGCTCCGTAGCGCGCGCTATCTGTATACCTACCCTTTGCTGGTCCTTCTTTCCCATTTGAGCAAGGGTCCTACTTGTCCTCGCCCTGCGAGCAACAGACCTTCCGCCTGACCTCGTATCTCACCCAAGTCGAAAGTGACACAACCAAGGCAAACACATCGCCACTTTGCCAGCCTGAGCTGCGCCCTTCTTCTGAACTGCGGCTCATCGAACGCCCTTGGGATATCCTCGTCCTCGAGTCTCTTCTCTCGCACAAGCGCACTTTGAGGCATCGCGAGCAAAGATGAGGCTCCAACTAGACCAGTTCGGCCAGATCAAGAATTACATTCACATGAGCCAGGCGGCCGTCCTCTTCCTTGCCTGGGTTCTTACAATCGCCTTACTGACAAGACCTGGCACAACGGATGGCCGAGTCGGCTGGTACTTTGGCCTGGTGAGTCCCGTCACCCACTGCCAACTGTCCGGTCTTGACCACAATCTAACGCAAATCTACCTGCAGTGCTGGCTCACTATACCCATCCTAATCTACCTCGTAATGGTCCCCATGTGGTCCCGTGCCCGCCGCTTCTCCAACGTCTATGCTTTCGCCGCGCTTGACTCTCTGGCCGTGATTTTCTGGCTTAGTGCCTGGGCTGCTGTCGCCAGCTACGTCTCTGCGGGGAAGGGCAAAGGGAAGAGTACGGACAAGAACGTTACAGGCTGCGATAATTTTAAGTACGGCAGTCCCGGGCGTTGCAAGCTGTCTGAGACCATAATCGTGTTCGGCGTGATTGAAATGCTGCTGTTCGTTGCTACAGCATTCATCTCTTTTCGAGCCGTTATGACGTTCAAGAGGACGGGAATGATGCCTCAGAATTTGCCTGCTTCCGGAGGCAAGAACGACTTCTCTGCGCAGACGCAGGATGCTTTCTCAAGCAATATGCGGAATGAGGACGAGGACTTCGATGAACACCCCGGTGCGGGTGGAAGGCAAGAATACGCATATCAGAAGCCTTCTCTCGATGATGCATATGCCCCGATCCGCCAAAACGACCACGAAAATGACCTCGCACAGATGCCGGCCGAGCAGCCGACGAGTCCACTGAACCATACTGGACTGGGTATCCATGATTACAACACGAGTTACAACCCAGGGGCGTACAGTGGACAGAACCAACCTATTCTAGCAGGGCGATAACGAATCTCATTGCTTGTCTTCCTTCTCTTTTCTGTGCTTCGACACAAACAAGTACCTTGGGACTGTGTAAAGACATTGTGCCTTCTATGTTACGACGGTTGAAGCGTTCGAGCGTTTCTTCGCTTCTCCTTTCGGTTTACAGGGAGGGGTTTGGTATGTCAGTAGGATAATTTGGAATCCTAAATAGACTAGAAGGGAAGGAATCAGTTGAGGTATGGATGTCATCACGGTCAAGCCAAAAAGCCCACGTTTCAAATATCACCACGCATGCTCCGACGCTCGTCTGAAGCCTGTGGAGGATTCCCCTCTAATTTCCTTGTACTCTCGTCTGGACCGTCTACGTACTCGTGTCTTGGGTAGTTTATCCTGGCTTCAGGTCTAGGTCTGGAGGCGGAGGGAGGAGAATGGAGCTGGGGGCATGACACCGCATCGTCCTCATACCCAGTCCTCGTACTCCGAACCTGCTTGCGTGGCCCTCTCGAAGGGTCTACCCATGTACCATGTATACCGCCCCTAGGGTTGCGGAGTACATACCTAGATACATGGCTAATATGCTTGTGAAGCTGATACCTAGAAAGGCCTCGCTACATAGGCTGCCGTATATCTAGCCAGCTAGGTGTTTGTCTATATATAAATATACCTATGAACATATATCTATAAGGTATGCAGAGTAGGTACAGACGAATATACCGAGCGAACACTAAGTAGGTACAGCTGAAGCATATACTAGCTCGGTACTTACTCCGTCTGTACCTTTTTACCCTTAGCTGTATGGAGTCAGTACGCATGCACATACGTATGGTGGCTGGGTGGCCCGTCGGAGGGGTAGGAGGGAGGTTCGAAGTTTCGTTTCGTGATGACGAATCTTGCGTCGAGTAGTGCGTGCTATGGAGGTACCTACATACCTAGTTCCGCGGACCATGCAAGGTACGGAGTACGTTGTACACAGTACCAAACCTGTCCATCCGCATACTAACACAGCGAGGACAGATTACATAGTTCCATGGTGCATAAGTACTTAAGTACTCTCCCACTGCGGAAGTGAGTGGCGCAGGCTCTCGCAAACCGGACTCTCCCGGCGCGCTCATGAGAAATCCGATACAGGCAGTGGGCACGCAGAAGAGCAGCAAAAGGTATAGGAAAAGCCTTCACTACACCGAAGATCGGTTTCCATATTCGAGTCCTCTGTTATCTCTTCCTGGCTATCTTGTTCTTTACTGCTCATCTCATCGCTTAAAATGCGGACTCTTTCCTGCTAAAATCAAGTAGCTCAATCACGATACGTTTCATTTTGTCCATTGCAAAATTTGCAGGCTCGCGATTCGTAAAAGTTCAGAATCCCAAGCTCTTCAGTCACGTACCATCCGCCCATGTATCATTGACATATGGTATGTTTCCAAAACCGACTCTGACCGAGAACGGGTGTCGATCGTGTTGCTTGCCGTTGTCGTGATCCTGATCGATCGAGAAGAAAAATGAAATGTCGGGGTATTCCAGGCCCAAACCCGCCCCCAGAACACTGCAGTTTGGCAGAGCCCGCAGGGTGCTCGTACCACTTCGCCCCCATCCGGTCTTGCGCCATAACGCCTGTACAAGCCCTTGAGGGCATATCCATACCGTTCGATTCGTGGCCCAGTTGAAGAAAAACCAATACCACAAAGGCTCCTATTGCCAACCCACAGATTCCAATCCCGTCTGTTGTTTTGGGTCCGTCTAACCAGGGGAAGGTATCGAGCACGCACAAGCTCGCTTTTCATATGGTACCCACAATGCCGTTTCCAGGTTGCATGATGTAGTTCCATAGAGTCCAGAAAGTCATGTGCACAGAAGAGAAGGATACAATGTCATCAAATCCGGTCATTAGTGTGATGTCGAGAACCTTGATGGTAACCCGCCATCATTCATAGCGACAACCTCTCCTGAGATCCGTTTTAACCTTGATATGTGTGATTTCATAACAGGATCAAGTAGTTGCTCGGTGCGATACCCGTTTCGCCATTCTCTTTCTTGGCCTGCCACCACCGGCCGCTTACATCAGACACTTCGAGAATCTCGTGCTTGCTAAAGCTGATCTCATTCGCGTCATCTGGGTTGGCCTCATAACTGTAAATGGCTTTGGCGCGGTAGGGGTACTCAGTGGGCGGGCTGACTTCTTGGACTGGAGCGGGGGTGCTGCTTGTGTTGGCTGCCGGTTGTGCAGAGGCCCGAGCCGCTGCTCCTGCAGGTCCGCCTGGGTATCCCGAAACAGGAGAAGAGGTCTCGAAGCCGCTCAGTTGTGCCGAGGTGTACATTTGAGGAGGTTGAGCAGAAGCAGTTGTTTGAGGGCGATCATAAACATTGGTCATGCTTTGTGGGGGACCACGGAAGGATTGGCGTTCTTTGTGCAGGGCAAATTGATCGATGAACTCGCGATGGGCCGCTGCAGGGGTAGAACCGAAGTAGAAAATCCAGATAATCTTGACAAGTCAGCCGACAACCAAAAAAAAGACACGAGCTATCAACTTACCGCCACCATCGAGAGCAGAATGTGGCCAGCAGCAGCAGCCTCCATGGCGCCCTGTGGTTGGTAGACGAGTGAATTGACCGCAGATGTTGTCATGACAAGGCCAGCCGCAAGGTATCCAACAATCTAATGGCTGTTAGTCGAGCCGAATGTAGACGAGCTCAAGAACATACCGCGAGGCTGTATGTGTTTGTGGAGTTCGTAGCAAAGACAATGATGATGCCGATAATGCAGCATAACATGTACGCAACAGTCCACCAAGCATATTTAGGGAAAGGATCTTGGATATTGGCAATGATTGATGCGATGAATGCAATCAACCAAGCAAGCTGTCGTTGGAGTCAGCGCCAGGGTCTGGTGCAGGCAGCTTGAGTCTCTTACCAAACCAATGGAGATGGTAGCCAACGCAAATGGATCACCAACGATGTAGCCGAAATCAATTCGACCACCTCTTCGAGCTTCCAACATGTTGTTTTTCTTTAACGAGGGAGAGTGTAGTGATCCGTATGAGGGCATGAAGGGTCAGCAAACGGCAGTGGTGTTTCTCGTTATGGGGATGCCAGCGCAATCAGGTCGATGCGGATGAAATGGTTGAGGGAATAGTTAATAAGGTGAGGGACTGCGAGCGAGGTCCGAAGTCCAGGCGCAGGCTGGGTTGAGGGTTGATCCGAGCGCAGGACAGCTGTATGAAGTCGAGATCGCGTGCGGTAGGGATATGTTGTAGTCTCTCGGGACTTGGTAGGTCTGCAATGGCGTGTGCCGGATAAAGGAGCAATCGAAAGCCAGAGAGGCAAACAACCACAGCCGCCGATCAATCGACAGAATGTGGGAGGCGAATATCTTGTGACTGGTGGCTACGAAAAGAAGAACAGAGAGTGGATAACAGATTCAGAATGACGGCAGGCGGCGAAAGGGTAGGGTAGCGATCGACAAAGAATGGAATAACGTGAGAAAAGAATAAAAGGTGGTTTGGAAGAAGTTTCGGGGACGATTGAAAGGTGTTGCCTGAACGAGTGTGGGTGGTAAAGGATGGTGTAGTGGTGGTCGAAGAGATGGCCGTGGTGGTTTGAGGAGCGAGGAATCGAGTTCAGGAGGAAGACGCAGAGAGGTTCCAAGGGTACCTTCCCAGAGCAAGCAGCCAGCCAACTCGCCCTGAGAACCCCCTCCCTTTCTGTTCTTAGGTTCTTCGGGGGCCCTTTTCGCGGGAACCCGCCTATACCTTATGGGGATCGTTTAACCCAACGACGCCCACGGAGCCATCCAAGACCCAGGAGCCCTGCGCCTGCAACACGTTTCACTTGTGGTTAGCACCCACCCTGCCCACCTTGCTCGAATCTCCACCCCCTTGCGCTGATCAACCAGATTCAGTCCTTGCCCTTCTGCCTCGAGATTTCCAATTTTTCTCCCTTCCAGGAGCAAATCCTGCATCGGCTCCTCCTTATCATCCTTGCTCCATGGCGTCCTGGGCTGGCATACCCCGACCTTCTGAGCGCCTCGATTTGCTCAATTGCACCAGGCCCTAATAGACGCCACTTAGCTAGCCTCAACCTCCTCGTTCGGCTCTGGATCAATGGCACGTCGCAGCCGGTTGGCCACTTGTACAGCGTCTGGGTCACACACGCCACGCGCTCCATGCAAAGCGCTTTGTGGCACGCAACCTCTCAATTTGGCCCAAGATTGAACAATCTCTACAGGTATCGTCCATTTTGCAATTCTTTCGTGGGCCCGTCCAGTTCGGTTGATGTACGCTATTGCGAACGACGCTTTGCACCAGTTCTGACACGGTCTCCCACGCCTTCCACCCTGCAAATCCTAGCTTGTCTGGCCCTGACACTCGGGTGTCCTCTATTCCGCTCGCATTTTTGTCGAAATGAAACTGGGTCCTGTGCCTGACCCGCCGACTTGGGCGATTGGACAAGACACGCTTCTACCCCTGGCAGCTGCTGATCCATCGTTCTCGACCAATCCCAATGTCTCCACAAGAATGGTCCTGGCACCGCCACATGCACGCTCCCGCAATTCCCACCGTGCAATTATTCTCGGGACGAGGGGCGGGTAAGCGATCCTTCAGCCACAACGAGAAGGACAAGCAATTACATGTGCACCTTCTTCCCACATTTCGGACAAAGAACCCATTTGCCCCCCCAGACGGATGGATAGAAATGCTCGCATCGACCATGGGCTTTGCTGATGCGGCTGTTCTCGCTCGATCTTTCCGGGGAATATGAGTCGTCGAGCACTAACATGGGTCGATTGAACGCGCAGCTGCTGTCGTGCCACCAGAAAAGCGTTGGACTTCTAACGGCGAACCTTGTCCATGCAATATCTCCTTGCCTGCAAATTCTTGCTCTCGAACGTCACATGAACGTCAGACGACTGCCAGATGGCCCATTTGTTTCTAACATCCGATTCGGCTCCAGGGATTTCCGACTCAGGCACCAGGAAATTCACAGTGCTCTGATTGATGTTGCCGGTCTCATCTTTTGTCATTCTTTTCACAGGTAGCCTTGCTGTTCCTTTGCACGGCGCTCCCTACGGATGACATTCCTCTCCACTTCGGCCGTCCGTCTCTCCCAATCTTCCCACATATCTCCCATTCCAACCACTCCAATCTTGACCCACCATTCTAGGCATCTAGCACTGCGCTCGCGCAGCTCTCGAACTTCTTGTTGCATGCGGTCTTCTTCTTGCCTGAGCTTTTCAAGCCTAGGCGCCAGCGACAACAGTTTCGAACTCTGATCTGCGGGTGGAACTTGCAATGTTTGTAGGGAGGACAATCTGGATGCGGTCTCGGGATATAATGTGGCATGAGCGAGGACAATCGAGGCAAGCGTACTCGTATCCTCAGACTTGGGTATTGTAGTAGCCGTCCCGGCAAAAAGATCAGGGTGCATTAATGCTTGGGGCATAATCAGCAAAAATTCTATCGTTGCATTCCCTCACCTACAGAGCTGCTCAATATCCCGTACAACTGACCCAGGTGTACCCGTGAGCCTTCTTAGCTTGACAAGGGCGGCATCGAGAGCATCTAACCTGGCCCACAATGTCTCACTGCCAGAAAGTGTTGTTGCGGTTGGAGGTGGAATCCCATCATTGTTACTGGTGCCGCTGAGGAGGAATTCCAATCGATGGAGACGGGTTTCTAGGAGAGCGAGCGTGCCACGGGCTGCTGCTTCTGGATATTGGACGTCATGTGCCATTTTCAGGGACTTCAGGATCCGAGGTGACTTGATTTTCTATCGTGTTGGGGTACATACATGGACAACAGGGAGGATAGCATCGAGGTGCAGCCTCGGGGCAAACTAAACAAACAAGATAAACGCCAGATACATGGGCAGAGCAAACACGACAAACAAGACTTGGCGGCTCGGCGGCGCATCGCGCACGTGCCATCCACCACTATTTACCTTTCAGCTTTCAGCTTCAGCTGCCCGTATTCTCGACTGCAAACAACTCATCAAACCCCGCCCTAGACAATGCGAGGCCATTATTATTGCTCCAACTGGTAATATTGCGATCATTCGATCCCTGCAGCATGGCGCATGACTGTCTCAGAGCATTACTTCTTTCTGTCTGGAACAGTGTCTTGGTGTCTTGGGTGGCTGGGAGTTCGGACCACCCAACAAGCTTCTCACACCATTCATTTCTCCACCTCTTGTCTTTTCTCACCACCATGATTTGTTCCTTCAATGCCATTACCCTCCGCTTGAGCTAGGGTTCGTATCGCCCTTTCCGTTCAGGTGGCAGGAAAGCTCCTCTCGACTTTGCTTCGCCAATGACGACCGGTCCTTTGACGCAGCTCATACGGTCAATGGCTCTACCTACTGCACGTCAGGGCATGTGTAAAGCTCATCCGAACCCTGTTGCCGTGGCCCTATGAACGACCTAGAGCCTCACTCAGGATAGTCAAAGCGATCGTGGCGTAGACCGTCGAGCTGCAGATGGTCGTGGTCAACCCATCGACTCGATGTATCGCACCACGAGATGCTCAGAACAAACCCATCTTTCAATAGTTATGCGAACGTTAGCCATGGTCGGCTGAGGCCGTTCTAGCGACCATGGATGTCAAAGGGAATCCCTGTTGAGGCTAACCAATCACCCGTTTTCGATGCTCGAGGTCGGCCCCCATGCTCCCAGCCGTCTATATTTCTCCTCCACCCTTATGCTACTATCCATCTTGGAACCTGTTTGTGAATCCCGTCCGCACGCTACAACCGGGCCAGCCGGTATCTGCACCACGAATAACTCTTCTGGTGTCTTTTGTCTCGCCCCCCAAATCGACTTTCCAACGAACCACCCTCTTCTTCATACTTATTCTTCCTTTTACTCACAGGGACAACGACCCCTCTCTCAATGTGATGACTTCTGACCATCAGGCTCGAGCTTGTACCACCTGTACTATGGCACCACCAGATCCAAATCGCTGGACGTTCACGGACTATGTGTGCTTTCTGCGAAGCCATGGATTTCATAATCTTGCTGGCCTCGACGAGTTTCTCCAATGGGGTTTCGAAGCTAGCCGAATGCCGACAATGCAACGACCTCAACGGGCAACTGCCATCCTCCTCGAATTTGGCACGTCCAGTTTCAGAACGTCAGACCTTACGGACACTTCGAAACTGAGGGTCTTGTTAAAGGAATGGACGAGAAGATCTCCAGAAACGCCACCTACATCGCCAGCTTCTGGTTCCCAAGGACGCGGCGGCAGCGCTCAAGGGCGAATCATCATGGTGAACAATATCAACCCGGAGATGGTTGACACCCTTGGCAGTCTTCTCAATATTGAGCCTGCATTTTTTGCTTCACATATTAGTGACTCTGCGACCGGTGGTGCCGGAGACGGCCATACAGGGTCTCCACTAGCGTCACAAAATCTGCGGCACCAGAAGAACTTCTTTACCATTGAATATCCTTGTACATTCATGACCACAAATTGTGGGAAGGATGTCGACATTGAGAAGCTTTACTGCAAGGGAAACTATCACAGACGAGTGGAAGTATGTTCGAAACATGGCAAACAGAAAGTTGCTGTGGCCCGTCGAAAGATTTCGTTTTACATGAAGAAGACTCTCGACCCGTGGATATGTAAGTCCTATCCCCAACTATCTGTTGTGCAAACTGGTTCCTGTGTGTCATTTAGAAATGTGAGAAGGGTGCTAAATATTTTTTTCGCAGGTGTGGTGCTCGTTGACCCGCCAATTTCCTTCTTTACACTTGGAGCAGAACCTTATGGGGCGTACTCTCCCAGCCAACGACTTGAGGTCACCGGCTACCAAGGAGGATACCTTGATTTCCTGGAACAAACGCCACCTTTAAACCGGAACGATCACGACTATCGTTCATGCGGAACTAGGCCAATGTGTCCCAACCCGTTCGACGATCTCTGCCGGTACTGGCAAATTATGGCTCGAGAGGGCCTTTTCAACCCAGCCGAGAAAACCATGATCAACATAATGCGCCCGGCATTTCAAATCGCAGCCAGCGAGTGCACAAATTTCTTCGACTACATTCGCTCCACATTGGAAAGCCAAATCATTTCCACCGCGCTCACAATCGACCCAACAAAGACAAAGAGGATCCTCGACAAAGTCATTTCCCTCGACTCGATGCTCAGCAGGTACAAGCCCATTCTGACGCGGATAAAAACCTACCTCTCATCCGACTCGGAATTGAATGAGGACTACCGCAGTCTGTTGATCGATCTACACCACTACAGAGCGGAATGCGACTCTCAAATGCAGCACATCCTCGCGGTCTCGCAATGCCAAGATACTTCCTCTCTCCGCTCAATAGAGGCCGATTCCCAACGCCAAGCAGACTACTCACGTTACCTGACCATCATCGCCCTCATCTACGCACCCTTTGCACTAGCATGCGCGATATTCACCTTACCGCACGATTTTGCTCCTGGAGCACATTATTTCTACGGGCTTTTGCCCGCGACTGCTGGCGTGGCGATTGTGTTTTTGTTGCTGGTGTTGCCAGAAGCACGGGATCCCCTCCCCAGCATTAAAGCGGCATTTTGCGGGAAGCTCACCAAGAAGAAACTGCTTGCCAAGCCGAGTAGTCGGGCCTCGAGATCAGGGGCAATGAACGAGAAGATGGATTTTGATGAGGTATAACATAGGCAGATTTCAGCGAATGTAAAAAGGGGGGTCGGATCTGAAATCCAGATGCTGTGGAAGCTGAAGAAGCCGGCCTTCTTCTCCCCTCGACGCGCTGAATGGAGCAAACTTCAAGTTCAAAAGACCTATTTCTTGCAATGATGCACGAGAAAAGGACGGTGCAAATAATGACCCAGCCAGGTACATGGAAACTCTTGCGAGCAAGCTTCGCACAGAATGACGGATGTCGACGAGATTCACGACCTTGACAATGACGGTTCTGCGTTTCATGCAGCACTGCATCTCCCATGGCTCTAGAGCGAATCAGACCTCATACAGAGGGCTGTGCAAAAACCACACCGCGACCTAAGAGAGCAAAACGCCAGGTGTGTGAAGATCTCGGGCTTCCTCCAAAAGGCGGATTTCGCATGAACATGGCAGAACATGCCACGCCTCTCCAGGAAAGGAGACAAGACCAGCATTCCTCAGCAGACAGGGCCGCGCGATCGAAATGCGCATGTCGTCTGCGTTGCGTCGCCTTGTCCTCTTTTTCCTTTCCCTTCTCGATCCAACGAGCCCCTACATACCGAAGAGAATGAAGGCGTTACATAGGTCTTTTTAATGAACCAGAATGCAAGCGGCAATGGTGGCGATGATGGTGATGCTCCGAGTTGTAAGCAGAGTTTTCGGCCTTCATCCATCCGTCCATCCATCCATCAATAGCTGGCACGCACGAATGCATGCATGTCCTAATCAAATGTAATGAAATGCCATGAAATGCCATGAACAAATATTAACACTCACGTCGCCACTTATTTCAGAGTCCAGATGCCCTGCAAGATACCCAGGTCCGCCTTATTTCTTTCCTTCAAGGCGAGTGTCGAGTGTCGGGTGTCCCACCGAGCATTCATTCCATTGCATTCCATTTCGGACACATGCATGGGATAGGGCACGCACATGATACACGCCGTGAAGCATACATGGGTGGTTGACATTGACACGATATATATTCTATACTCTGCACTCTATAAATAAAACATATGATACACTTATCTACAGACCTGTGTGTGTGTGTGTGTGTGTGTGTGTGTGTGTGTGTATATATAGATACCTATCTCCTCGCCGTCGGTCTCCGCGACTGACCACGATCAAAAAGCACCTGAGTAGCAAAGCGAGGCACGGTGTACCACGGTGCAGCGTATCGCGAAGGGAAGCAGGAGAGGGTGTGGCAAGCCCAAGAACCTGACGCATCAGAATACATGACAACCGAAAGGCTCAGCTAATGCCTACTGTCATGCGAAAGATATATATACATATACACATACATACGTCCACAGAGACTGGTGGGAAGGGGGCTAAAGGATCGTTGCAAAGGGGCCTCGACACAATGCGACGCGCAAGACACAACGCATCGCAGCGCAACAATCTTCCCGTCGACGGACCTCGATGACGACTGTGACGGGAATGACAGGCTCGCATTCCAGCAATCACCACTTCTCTCACAGCACACCAACGTGGCCTCTCCAATTTCTCCATAACGGCTCAGAAAGAGTCACGATCTGGCTCTGGAACTGGTCCTCTCGGCGAATTCTGCTTTCTTTCTCTCTTTAATTCATTCAGACTTAGACCTCCACTTTGGTAGGAATCTTGACCTGGCCTTTCTTTCTCTCCTGGCTGGGCACACCATACCTCTGGCCCACCGCTCCCTTCCCGGATCCTCGTCCATCTAACCCGATGCCTTGTCTTGTACTCTGCACCTCCGTCACCACAAACTGCCATCTTCCCGCATCGATTCTCGTTTTCTTGCTTTCCTCCTCCTGCTGCAACTTGTTCTTCAGAGCTTGCCGTCTCTCCTCGTCTTTCTCTAAGCGTTCACGATGGCGCGCACGTCTCTCGAGCGGTGTGAGTGAGCGGTTCATTTTGTCTTTTTCAAAGGCGATCAAGTGCGGATGGGGAATGCGTGAGTCCGCTGGCTTCAATACCTCGCGTGTGTGACCAGGCTTGCCGGTGACTTCGGGTTTTGAGTCTCGCCACGCTTCGTGGACTCCCTCGTTTATGGCACTCTCTTGCTCGTCGGAAAGTCGCGGTGCGCCACTGAATACCCGTCCAGCGTCGGTCCGGTTGAACGCGCGTGATTCAGATGTCGGGTAGAAAATTTGTGGGAATGTTAGCGGGTGCTGTTCTAGATCATTGATGGATTCGTGAGGTTCGCTGGCTAAGCGCGTCTTGGGGTTGAGGGTTGTGAGAGGAACCATGCCGTGGATGGCGCGAGCATAGGGAAGTGCGAGGGGTTTGCCCTGGAAAGAAACGAGACATGCCATGTCAGCTTTTGTCCTGGAAATAGCAAAGAAGGAGCATTGAGGTGTGGTTCCCTTTCCGGGTTCAGAGAGTTGTAATTTGTTTTTGTTTTTTTGTAAATCACCATGCTTAGAAGTCTGGAAGACTAATCGATTTTGTTGTTCATCACAGGAAGGTCATTGCGAAATGTAAGTCGAGACGAATAACGTGCTTACCTCTGTCCTCATCCTCCTCTCAACCTCTACGAGTCTCACCACAGCAGCCACCCTCCTCATATCCACGCCCATCTCAATCGAAACTTGCCTCACCGACTTCCCCTGCCGTTGCACTCTGTCCCAGATCTCATTTCTGAGATCCTCTGACAGAATGCTCTGACTCACAAAGTGCTTGTTCCAGGGAAACGGCCGTAGATCGTCCAGTGTTTCTTTCGGGAGCTTATACTCCTGTTCATGTTCCGTGGCGGCGGCTTCCAGAGCTTCTTCATCTGGCGTCATGGCATCTTCAGGGCTCTTTTCTTTCGCTGACTCCCCTGACGGCTCCTGGCCCTTACCGCGAATGAGGTTTCCTCGTTTGTCATACGCGGATAGGTAGTTTGTCGACCCTGCAAGGGGGTGGCGGAAGTTCTCTCCAGGCCCGCGAAGCCAGAGCCAGAACTGCTCGCGGAGTTTGGTCTGTGACAGCGAGGGGGTGGAAGATAAGGCCCGCTGAAAGCATGATTTACAGTGTGTTTGGATCGTAGGCGTCGTAGGGAAGGTGAGAGAGACTGCGGAGGGAGATAGCCGGGGAGGCATGTTTGTTGTGAGTTGCGAGGGTGGGCTAGACTATCGAACTGCTAAAGAGACCATTGGGAAAACTGGACCGTAATATTCTTACAAAGAAAAAAGCCGCGGCACCAGTGGCTCTGCTGTTGATTCTGGGAGCAGATTGTTGAAAATGTACGAAAATTGCGAGCCAGCTTTGAATTGAAGCCGACAAACCTGCCTCTTTGGTCCTTGCTTTGGCCTGTGTTTCCTGGCCTCCAACTACCTACATACCGAGCTGCCTAGGTAGGTACCGAGCGATGTAAAGCCACACGGACTCTCTTGATCGATTGTAAATCGTAGGGAATAGCCCAGGTCTCCTCGTTATCGGGTCTGAGTTCGGATTCCAGACCAGGGTGACCGGCCGTTTGGTCATGATACGGCAAGAAAACTTTAGGGGCTCGAAATATGATCTTCTCGACCAATAATGCTTGCAATGTCAACTAATGATACACACAGAGCTAACTTTCTATGCTCTGATCTTGATCTCATTCCTCATGATCGACTGGTAGTCTAATATTTTTGCTTCAAACATAGATCAAAATGCCGTCTCAAAAGGGTATCTGCTCTAGAGATGTGGAAAAGACAGACTCGCTTGAACGCTGCAAGAAAATGACAAAGGAGATGAAATATAGCCCAGGGCTATAGGCCAGCAAAGAGCTGGAGGGCGATCATGATAGCAAGACGTCCGTGCCTTGAAAGGTTGCGGTGCCAGACCACATACCTCTGATTAAAGGCAGGTGCACCTTACTGATCGTGGTGTTCGTCGAGGCTGCAATGGTTTCAGCCTGCTTCTTGATTGTGGGGTCGTTGTTGATGGTCATATGACCATGAAACACAATCAGTTCGCCACCCTTGATGATGTCCATACCGCCTGGTCCAGTGAGGTCGGCGTCACTGGTGACGAGCAAGGGGCGGCTTGATTTAGTGTAAGGCCCCCAGATATTCGTCGCAGTGGCGTACGAGACGTCGTATTTGGGCGTCGTAAAGCAATTGCTGCTGAAGAACAGGAAGTAGATTCCTTCGTCGGAACGATGGAGAGATGGTGCCTCGATCAATGGTCCGTCAAATTCGTCGCGATCCAAAACCTCGACAGCATCCCCAATCAGAGTGATGCCGTCGGGGCCGACTTCCTGGAGCATGAGGGGTGTCGGTACGATGGGTGCAACAGTGTTGCCGCAGGAGCCGCCGTGGCCAATAGAATTCCCGTCGACTTTGTAAACGACATAGCGTGTATTGGTGGATTCGTCGAGGAAGCCGTCGGGATCAATAGCTCCACCGAGGGCATTAACGTCTGGGCACGCGAAAGGAGTGTCAAGCGGGACATAAGGTCCCAGAACGTCCTTAGAAGTGGCCGCACCCACACAATGATGTGCAGGAGACCACACAACATTATCGGCGTAGTAGAGAACAAATGAACCATCGTCCTGGCGCGAGAATTAGTCATGAGGTCTGAAGAGTACCTTCCGTGCCACTCACCAGCTGGACCACATCTGGCGCCCAGACACCGGCGCCTGTCTCCCATGCCCCTAGAGAAGGTAGAGCGTCGTGATGGTCCAGTAGTGTCCACGTCTGGTTATCGGTCGAAGTGGCCACTTGAACATGGACCAGGTCCGGTCCGAGGGCTCGATTATTGGTCGCAAAAGCATAGGACACGCCATCAACATGAATAACGGCAGGATCGGGGAAATTGGACGATATATGGGGTCCGATTATAGAAGCGAAAGGACTCGAACCGGGATCTGACATTAGACTTGTCGACGAAGACTGCGGCGATGGCTCCGGTGATCGGATAACAGAGTTTCGAGGAGTCAAGGGCCCCAGGCTGGTCACGGCCGACGAGGCCAGGAGATACGTAGGAATGGCAACCATGACGCCGAGTAAAATCTGAATTTGCAATGAAAGTGGGAAGAATCGACTGTCCCTTTCTTTGGGAGGTAAATCTGAAGAAGTAGATTGTGGAAAAGAAGGAATCGAGTGCTTCTCTGAACGAATGTGAGAAGATTGTACCCCTCCCTGGTGAGGGCGCCTGGAATGAGCGGCGAGCAAAGGCTCTTTTTCTGTACTGTGCAAATGAGTCGCCATGGTGTCAGAGGGTAATGGCAGTGATAATATAGTCGAGTGCCAGGGGGTTGGATCTGAGGTTGTTTGTGTCGCGCCAACTGCGAGGCCCCGTCCCTCGGCTGGCTGGCGTAAGAGGTTCAGGGGGGAGTGGATTGTTTGAAGCTGAGAGGGGCACAATGACCATCTGGCGCACGGCAAATGCCCTAGGCAAAGGAGTGAGCGATATTGTGGGAGATACTTTTGGGCAGATTTGGGCACCGTGGTATCGTGGGGTGGAGGTCCTGTTTCCAACTGTACCTGTACACCGTTTCAGTCAGCATGCAAAAAGGCAACAGTGTCAATGCGATGCGATGGGAAACGGTGTTGAGCCACGGTGAGTTGACCGACGCCTCCCAAGTACCCGGTAGGGCGCAGATGACCCGAGCATTCAAAAGTAGCACGCGCTTAGCATGTTTCTGGGAATGGCACGGGGCTATTTTGGAGCATCAGCCGCGACGGTGAGTGGCCAGCAGCGAGTCTGAGGTGATGTTTCGGAGTGTTTGTGCGAGCGTCATTCGTGGGCTGGGCTGCGCATGTTGTAACAGTAGAACAGCACAGCCCCAAGGAGTCCCTCGGAATGTGGGTGCATGTGGGTGCCGGGGTCACGTGGACGGGCTCGCAGTTCGTGAAATTAAGCTTTTTCATGCCAAGCTGCTCGCTAGTAATTCCCTATTCGGTGACATCAACCCCTTCTTTCCCCATTCCCCCCTTTTGCCATTTCCTACCCTTTCTGCCCTTCTTCAGCTTGAGCGAGCTGGTACACCGACTGCCGAGACCTCAGCTTGTGGTAGTCATGATGATGTATTCGCCTCGCACGAGGAATTATGATCTCTACCTACGGTCCATGACGAGGACAGAGGCACTTTGGTGCCATGGTCTTCCTGTTCCTCTATCTCCCCTCCCGCGCCAGCCGACTTGTCTTAAGCCAAAAAAGTGCCTCTGATATCTTTCCCCAGGTGCAATCATAATGTCTCACATTGGTCAACCAGTGGACCACGCCATCATCCGTCGCGGTTATCGGGGTCGCTCTCACCAACAGTTTCCCGCTGCTAGACTTTCGACGCTGTAACGTCTCTAACGTGCAGACAGAAGTATGTTGTTCCAGATTGTCTGGTCGGTAAGTGCGGCCAGCTGGCGACACGGCAGCCATCACTGCATCCGTTTCTGCTGTTGCGCCGACATGAGTATATATTCATCTCGCATGCGGCGATTTCTGCACATCCAGGGCTGATGAGGCCGATGCCGCTGCGTATGCAATGCCTGCATTCCCTTATCTATCGGGCTGACCGGATATGTATGTACATATGTACTTCATGCAGCAATTTCCTTCTGCACCCATTTTTCCAGACCGCCTTTGGCGATAATCTCTTGCACATTCGGGGGCAGCTCTCCAACCTTTTCCGTCCATCTCTTCCCGTTGGCGCCCTCCGTTACTTCGATCTGGGATTTTTTCACATCCCAGACTAATGTCCATCCGGTGCGACGCGACAGTTGCTTTTCTCGTGGCTGTGTCGTAGCCGGCGGAGGTGAGTCGAGACTCTGCTGCGCTTCTTTATTGCCCATTGGCTCTGTAACTTGAGTGGACGGCCGGGGCGTGTTTAAGTCCGAGAATGTTTCACGTAGTCGTCGGATGAGCTTTGGCACCTCGAGACCCATCAAGCCATTGTTGATACTGTTTCGCGAGAAGATGTTCCCAAAAGAACCGGCAACCACCAAAGGAATCTTTCTGGCCAAGATTGAGGTCGCTGCTTGTTCGCGTGAGCTACCGCATCCGAAGTTGAACCCAGACACCAAAATATCTCCTGGTCGTGCAATCGAGGAGAACTTAGGGTCATAATTCTCCATACATACCTCGGCCATCTTCTCCACAGGCACATTGTCTTGATATGTGTATTTTCCGGGATAGATGCCGTCGGTGTTGATGTTGTCTGCATCACAGAAAACAATCTCTCCTTCCACTCTCTCAGGGAAACCGGGATAGACTTCAGTTGAGCCTGACGTGGCTTCCTCCACCGATTTGCCCTCCCCGAACGTCTCCTCAGCGGATTCGATCATGCTGTCCAGCTGGTTGATAATCTTCTGGAATGCTTCATCCGCAGTGATCATTCGATCCTCTTCTTTGATGCCGTCGCCCTCACCACGGATGACTCCAGACCACCCTTGGGGCCTCTCGTACCAACCGGGACCACTGATCTTCCCGCTAAGAGCACTGGCGGCAACGACTTCGGGGCTTGCGAGGTAAGCCTTTGCTTCGGTGCTGCCCATGCGACCTTTGAAGTTTCTATTCGTGGCACTGATACCGACTTCGCCAGGTTCTAGGAGGCCTGTTCCCAACCCAATACAGGGTCCACACCCTGCTGGAAGGGTGACCGCACCCGCATCAACGAGAGTCTGCCAATCGCCGGCATCTTCGGCTATTTGCTGCTCAGGCAGCGAAGCTGCGGCGATGTAAAACTTGACGCCTTCGGCAACTCTTGGGACTTTCCCGTCATTGTTTGCTGCCTCGGCCTTGAATACCTTTGCCGCTGCAGCGAGATCGGAAGCGCGCGAATTCGTGCAAGATACCAAATACGCCTTGTCGACTTTGATATTTTGATCCTCCAACTCGTTCAATGGTGTTGCAACCTTGACGGAGTTAGGTCCAGACACGTAGGGCGCAAGTGTGCTGAGGTCTAGGTATAGGTACTTTGCATACTGAGCCTCTCTGTCGGCTGCGAGCTGGTTGCCGAAGAGTTCATCCAGTCTTGCATGCGAAAATCGTTCATTTCCACCCCTACCTTCGGATGCATCCAGCGCGGACATGGTAGCCTTCGAGCGTAGCCAGCCTTGTAACAAGGTGTCCATTGGGAACAGTCCAGACAAGGCACCCCATTCCGTGGTCATATTCGCAATCGTTAAGCGAGCATCAATGGGTAGACTTCGAAGTGTTTCCTCCGATCCTGCAAACTCTATTGCATGATTGAGAACATCATCTTTGTCAAACAACCCACACAGGGCAACAATCACATCTTTGCCGGTGACGCCTTGGGGTAAGACGCCAGTAAAAGTGACCTTTGCCACCGGAGGGATCTGCCACCAAGTGCGTCCAGTAGCCCAGATACTGGCGGCATCCGTCCGCACTACAGGAGTACCAAGGCAGCCTATGCCGCCATACATATTGGTGTGACTGTCACTTGCAACGACCAACGTCCCTGGCCATGCGTAGCCTTCCTCCACCATGATCTGATGTCCTATGCCCCGACCAGCAGGGTAGAAGTCGACGCCTTGCTTATTGGCAAACTCTTCAATTTGTCGGTACTTTGTCAGATTCTTCTCCGACTTGTTTTGCACATCGTGATCCAGCGTCATCACAATTTGTTTCGGATTCTTCAGCTTTGAAGCTCCTATCGACATGAACTTCAACGCGACGGGCCACGAATTATCGTGGGTCATGCAATGGTGGGGTGCGATCGTAACATAGTCGCCCGACTTCACAAACTTGTCTCTGGGCAAGCCCACGGCATATTGCTGAACAATTTTTTCTGTGAGCGTCTGGGGCACTCTCGGGGAGGTCTTCAGTGACGAGAGGATTGCGGCTGCGTTGGAATCTTCGAGCTGTGCATGGAATACATCCTGGCGGCGTCGCGCCGTTATGCGAAAGCTGCGACTCTGCGTTAATCGCACCGGGATGGGCTGACAGATGGCCCGCGAGGTACCAGTCCCGGTTAAGCGCAAAGAAAACTGTCGCAGAGTTAGTCCGGCTTGTTCAGAACACAGCTTCAGAGAGCACCGACCATCCTGCGCCAACAAATAAACGAATGGCGCACAGAACAATTAGCTGGTTAACATCTTCCTCAAAAATCCTCCACGTCAAAAAGCATTCAGTAGGGAAGAAGGTAGGGTATATGACAGGCAATATGCGCAAAATGATCTAGATCCACGGAGCACACCGTATTTGAAGCGATTCCGGTGGAGTGGAAAAAAAGCACCGATGCTGGAGAGAAGAAGTCTCCAAATTGCTACAGCAGAAATATGATTGGATGATCCAAGTCGGCACGTCACCGACGAGGCTGAGCAAGGCTGAATGGCTTGCGACACGAGGCTCCGAGGTTCGGAGGGGGGAGTAACGCGATTATGAGCAGATGGGGACAATTCCAGACTTCGGTTTTCCCCATTGCAATTGATGATAGGAATACTAATTTAGATAAATCAAACCTCTCCTATCAGAGGAAGAACCTCCATTGTCACGAATGCAGTGTTCTTGTCTCTTGAGAGGCCAGCAGGAAGAAGGGCAGCTCTAACGGATGCATTGCCACCAGTATAACCACCATCTTCAAACTATATTGTTTGACGCTCTGTGGATATATATATTTCATATAGCACCGCTTAGCCCCTTTAAACGTATCTTTCCGTCTATCGTCGGATCTAAAGCCTGCAATTCCTTTGGACGCGTTTGGAATCGTATTCCAACCCCAAAAGGTCGACCTGAGATCAATCACTCAAACGGTGTAGCGGAAGAAAGTCGCGTTATCGCCTTTTTCCCTCTCCGCGGCCTTGTCCTGGTCGGTATATTGGTCTGGCGCTTTATACTCGCGATTGCGACGGGCGTTTTCGCGCCGAAGATAGGTGGTCATGAAGACCTGCAGGCACGTGCTCATGGTGAGCAGGCCGATCAAGATGGCGTGGCCCTTTGTGAACTTGGGAGAGTCGGAACTAAGGTAAATGAATCCAGAAACGGCCCCACCGAGGTTGCCTAGTAATAGTCACCGTCAGAGGCGAGTCTAGCTTGCGAGGGATATAGGTCTTCAGACCGGGAAGGGGCGGCCTTACCAAAACCAACATGCATTGCAATACCCACTGCTCTCTTAACGGAGCCACCAATATTATTGCCATTCCAAGCAACACCTTGAGGAACATTAGGATAGATTCCCGCGACGAAGAGGAAGCACCCAGCATATTTGACGTGAGGGTTCTGGGATGAAATGAGTAAGATAAGCCCAAGAATTGCTGAGAGGTTAAATCCTATCATGAAGAGTCCGCGGGTCTTGAGCTTGTCAGCGGCATAGCCTCCGGTGATACAGCAGAAGCAGGCCACAATATAGGGCGGCACTGTCATGAGCTGAGCTGTCTCGTTTGTGTAGCCCAATGTCTTGACGATTGTTGGCAAGAAGAGGGAGACGGAATACAAAGGTGTGTAGATCCTAGACACCAGTTAGTAGGGGGAGATCGGGCCGCAATAAGTGGCTTACCCAATGGTGATGAACATATGAACCCAGATTTTCCAGTCCTTAAGTGCGTCCCAGCAATATTTCATGTCGAACTCGTCGGCGAGAGAGCTTCGGTCTCGTTCCAGGCGTCGAGTCACTTCGTGTTTCTCCTCTGGGGTGAGGAATTTTGCAGTGGAAGGATAGTCGTTCATGGTCCAGAATGCAATGATAGCTGATGCCAAACACTTTAGCACACGTACTTTCCCACAATCTTCCACCAGCCGCTACTCACCAATGATAAATGTCAAAAGGCCTTCGAGAATGAAAAGCCACGACCATCTGTACTCTTGTCAGTCATCTACACAGCACAACGCGCGTCCCAGAATACACATACCCAGATTTGCCACCAACCCCATCCATTTCGACGATTCCGCGCGCCAGGAGACCGCCAAAAGCCCCAGCGGCCGTAGCTGCGGAGAAAAAGATAGCCTATTAAATTTGTGAGAACAGAGCACAATGGAGGAGACTCCGAGCGACGAAGCTGCCGTACTCACCATTCTCAGACCACATTCATGGCGCTTATACCACATGGTGATGTAAAATGTCACTCCAGGAAATAAGCCTCCTTCTGCAATGCCCAAAGCAGCCCGAGCAACAAGAAGGCCTGTAAAGTTATGAACAAGACCCATAAGAGTCGTGCAGACTGCCCATGCAACCATGATAGAGGGAATCCAAATCGAAGGTCGTGTGCGCTTCATCATGAGATTGGACAGTGGCTCGACGAGGACGTAAAATGGAAAGAAGATTGCAAGAGCCACCTGAACAATTGTAAGTGACAGATACGTTTACAGAGGGAGAGATTGAACAGACATTGTAGTCCAAGCCTGACATCCCAAGGTCCTTCTCGAGGCCAGCAAGCCGGGCGTTCCCAATATTGGTGCGATCGAGGAAGCTGAGAAGATAAAGAAGTGCCAGAAATGGGAGAAGTGTCCAATCAATCTTCCTAATCAGCTTCTTCGTAGCCTTTACGTCAAAGCCCAAATCTTGGGAGCTCGAAGATGCGGATTCCAACATCTCAATCTTCGTTTCGACAGCTTTGCTGTCAGGGCTCTCGATGGAGATCTCAACCTCGGTGGGGCCCATCTTGTTCTTTTGCTAGGGATACTAGGAGATTTGTAGTGTATTAATAAGAGGGAATTTTACCGACTGTCTGGGTCTGTGTAACAACAGCCGCGGGTAGAAACCGTCTCAGGAGACTGTCAGAGAACACAAAAGGATAGGAAGCCACGCACGAAGTTGAACAGGTAATCTGGGTCACAGCGGACAATATATAGATTTGCAATGCAAGCACTCACCGTTGATGGAGGGCACGAGCGAGGGCAGCAGTCTACTTCCCCGTGTAACAAGCCCTGCTCCGCATTGCTCCAGGCTCTCACCCCAGATCCACTGATGGTCTCTCAGTGAATCCATCCGTTTTTGCGACGGAAGGGGGAGGAATCGATTCTCAACGTTTCTGACCAGGATTTGGTGCTTTGTTGATTTCGTCTGTTCGGACAAAGGGAGATTCAGGAAGAATTTCTAGGCAGACCAGGCATGTCTGTCCAAAGTCGTAGTCGTCGGATCCGAATGACGGCATAGTGGGATCTACATGTGCAACTGGGGGAGGATGCAAGGAGCGACGTTATAGGACCATCTCTCGTATCGAAGATGCCGCCAGGTACTGCCGAATGGTGTGCTATCCTTGGCACACTGGGATTGTTCGACAAAACCAGATTGGGTTCGGAGGGAAGGACAAGAAGATCTCCCCTAGGCGAACCAGGGGCTGTCGCAGGAGTAACACAGATGCTACAAGCCCCTGAGTTGGTAACACCACGTATCTGGTGCGGAAAGGCCGCCGCGTGGATAGATAGCCCTTGAGACGACCGTGGGTTCGTCCAACCTGTATTTTTTTGGTGTAAGTACATGCAATGTCAGCTGATCGGTCGAGAGGAAGGCTACACATAATATTGGGGGGGAAAAAGAGGCCAAAGCAGAATTGCTCAGCCTTGGCTTCTAGGCAGGCGGGCGGCCATGCGCGGAGCATGTGCTGATTCAGAATGGCAAAGCGAGATAGCGGTCGATTTCTATCAGAAAAGAGGAGGAAATGTAACCCCAGATCCCCGAGTGAGATCCCTAGTGGTGTGCCAAGTTGGTGCCAAGACATAGCGCCAAGAGCGAAATGGATTCAAATTCCGGACTACGTCAGGCATTCACCGGACCGCCATCCGGTGGCCACATGTGAAGCCAGCAGCCAAGCATTCCCAAGAAATAGCCAGCACGAGTCACTACCCGAACACGACGGTCTAGAACTCCTTCATCTCGAATTGCCTTGGCCTGGTTTGTATGATGAGAGGTCGAGTTGGTACTTTGGTTTCGCTCTTCGTGGCAGCGGCACTACCACGCGGAGAGCTCGACCCGTGGGGAAACAGTCCCTTCATCCGCCCCTATCACTGACGTCCCCGTGCGCCAGCGTCTCACTCCTGCAGACCAAAACCTACGTGGACGTCCTTGGACTCTGGTCTGTAGAAAGCTTGTGTCTACTGTTGACATGCCATATTAACCAATTGTTTCCTCCAGATGTTTCAGCATAACCAAGCCAACCTCATGCCATTAGGCATCCTATCACATCCGACGAAAATTGTTGAGCAGTGTTCAGACCCAGGGGTGTCGAGGTATTCCTCAGAGGTCGCCATAGCCTCGTATCAAGCACCTAGATTCACTGCAAAACAGGGTTTCTTTTGCGAACCATGAGCATGTACCGCGGCTTTCGCCAAATTCTCCCGAAAGAAGACCGCAGATGTCTCCTGGGATTCGGTCTCCTCTTCTGCAAATCAGCCTGCGTGATCGACGTTGATGACTTGGTAATTTGGGCTCTGTGATCTCCTGGCACTGCGACAATACACCCCATATAACCCGGTATCATTCCAGTGTCTATCCTTTACGGAAATCTCATCCATGTTAGAGCGAATCATCATAGGGCGTCTGTATGTTCACTTTTGCTTTCCATTGAACGCCATATATATGCTTTTTCTCGCCTTGCTTTATGCTCCCTGGCTGATAGAGAAGTTTTTGAGGCTTAATATCAAAGAGATGCTATTTCATACGTTCAGGGAGAGATATGGTTCTGGTGGCTCCCTGCCACGATGCAATGAACGCGAATCACCCGACCACCATTCAGAGATCAGATGGCACAATCCGCCCCGGGGCTCCACGCCTGCAGGCTTCAAAAGCGGGCGGAAGGAGTATGAGGATTTTGAAAGACTTCAATTGACAGAAATGGGTCTTCGTGAGACAACTATCCGAGGGCAGACATGCTGAGTTGTGCGAGGGTATTTGCTCGCTCGAATGTTGGCAAATGGGCAGACCAGATCAAGGTATCCGCCAGGAACTCGAAGTAGTTCATCCCATACCTGTTCGAATTTCTCCGTTGCTAAAAGCACCCAGATTCTGCCTCCCAGTGGATGGAAAGCATAGCCACACTGACACACAGCCCAAACGACCCATATTCATCGACTCGTCTGGCGTTCCCCCTCATTCCGCACAAAGTGGCCCGAACTCTCTGTGAGGAATGCGCGAGTCTCGAAAGCATCTTGCTGGAAGGGAATAGGACTCTATATGGGTGGATGCCAATTAAATCTGCTGCGCGAAACACATGGGCTTTCAAGATTATAGGCTCTCCCATTCGGTGGCGGCTGAGTTGACATGGGAATCAGCCACGTGCTTCCTTGCCCTTTTCGCTGTGCCTTTCTGTAAAAGAGACTCCACATGAACTGCATACAAGAGCATTGAGCGTCTTTATAACACCCTTGGAATGGTCACCAGTGTTCCATCAGATCTAACAAGCCACGATCGATCTGTATAAGAGTCCACTCGAGTCCACCCGACGTAAAAGCACTTGCGACTAGGGCTCGGACCGGCTTGGATACCGGGAACTCTGTCATATTGCAGTATACTGTGCTGACTGTGGTATGAAGGCCCTCCACATTTTGTCACCCCACGGAGTCTGTCCGTGCGGCTGAATTACTGGCTGAATTTAGCCGGAGCATGTGCGGAAATCCACTTCATAACATCATGCGACAATGGGCCGAGCAGCATCAAAACGAATGAGGGACTAAAACACAGCATCTTTATTGCCAGATATATCGGTAACGGCAAACGAAGTAAGCGACACAGATCCTGGGGACCTGCTTTTTGAAAATCCCATCACATCCACTCCAACAATCTCGACACTTGAAGTGGTAAGGGTTATATCAAATGGAGCCAATTCGTCTCGGCCTCATAGGCTATGGCTTTTCCGCCAAATGCTTCCATCTACCGTTCATCAACGCGTGCCCGGACTTCAAAGTCGTCGCTTTCTTCCAACGAACAGAGGCACCGACGGAACCCAAGGGCGCAGAACCCGGTTCACATTGCACGGTCGACTATCCCGACGCCAAGCACTATCGAACTGCAGACGACTTTTTTGCCGACAAGGACATTGATGTCGTGATTGTTTGCAGCAAACAGGATACGCATGCAGAATATGCCGAGAAGGCTTTAAATGCTGGGAAACACGGTATGATCTTCTAGGCCTTCTTCTTGGAGCTGTCTGAAAATGAGAGGGTTTCTAACCCTTGTCTGTGTGTGAAATAGTTGTTGTGGAGAAGCCCTTCACCAGGACGACAGAAGAGGCCGACCATCTCATCTCTCTGGCAAAGGACAAAGGCAAGATCTTGACAGTCTTCCAAAACCGAAGATGGGTAAGTCGATCAGATCATCGTCATCACCCAGGCAACGACGCTCCCCCGTTCGCTTCTCTCGAGCGAGTATCTGCAAAATATTCTCTCCCTGATGCCAATGATTTTGACTCTCTAGGACAATGACTTCCTAACTCTCCGACACCTGCTCGACAAAGACGCCTTTGGAACCATCGAAGAATGCGAGATCCATTACGACGTCGACTTCCCATTTTGGATGAGGGGCATGAACAAGAAGGAGTACTCGCCGGGAGACGGCATGACATTTGGTCTAGGTATTGTATTTTCTCCTCCCCGTCTCTCTATCACACAGCTTTCCAAGTCCCCTGCCGGCTCGCGTGGCCTAAAGGACGAACTCAAAAAAGAAATGAGCAATTTTTCTAACGTGTGACCTGCCGTGCCCCTTTTGCAGGAAGCCACACCTTTGACCAAGCACTCCTGCTCTTTGGGCGGCCCAAGTCCGTGACGGGATTTCTGCGCGTGCTTCGCGGCGTCGAGAGCGAGATCGAGGACAGTTTCACGGCCATCCTACAGTACGATGCACCGCAGCAGGATTTGCTGGTTACGGTGAAGACGATGGTGGTCTCGACGATGAAAGATCAGTTGAAGTACTTCGTCAGAGGAACGAAAGGGTCGTTTGTCAAGGTTCGTTTCGCGCCTGGTCGTCTTTTTTTGTTCCCTCCTATCATATGCTCCGTTCTTTTCTTTTCTCTGCCCATTCATCAACGAGGTCCCAACTCGCTCCTATCCCTGCCCCTCCGTATTCCTCCTTTTCCGCCCATCAAAGAAAACCCTCCATATCAACCTCGTCAGCATAAGTTGCCAACATGGCCTGAACCTGAACCTGAATCTGAACCTGAGCTGACATGAACGCGACACGCATATAGCACGGCACATGCATCCAAGAAGAACAGATCCTCTCTTCGCCGTCCATGTCCCCGACGGACCCGGATTTTGGCAGGGAGCCACCGCACCTGTACGGGCTGCTGACGACAAAGGGTGAGCCCGCGTTCGACCACGCGCACCAGATCTACGAGCCCGACTTCAACCTCCACGTCGGCCGCTATCCCACAATCCCGGGCCACTGGCTGGGCTTCTACGAAAACCTCCGCGACGCCGTCCGTGGCAAGGCCGACATTGCCGTCAGGCCCGAGCAGTCGAGGGACGGGATCCGGCTGATTGAGCTAGTCAGGATGAGTAGTCAGAAGGGCGAGGCTGTCGAGTGGCATTGAAGGGCTGCAGCAGTGATTGCGACGAGACTGGCAACTACGACTACGGGGAGAGCAGTGAATCGACAAGCGGAGTGATGCAATCGTCTCAAAGCTGTGACATGCGCATGTCGAGGGTTCCCTTTGCAGGACGGGAGCAGAATGAGCAGTTGAGCAGAAAAAGGGGTTATAGGATTCGACTGCCTTCAGTCTCTGTAGCCATAGTCATCCGCCAGTACCGCTGCCTATATAATCCCATCCACACTGGTCTTGCCGGGCTGTTTCCCACTTCCTCAAAGGACTCCTTTGCAACCCAGTCCTCCCTTCCAGTCCAGCGCAGTGAATGTGCAATTTTGACCTTTCCACAACCCAGAACCAAACCAATACCAAACAACAAGCATCCAAGAGCAGCCATAATTACGCGATGAAGAACGTCCCCCAGATGCAACTCCCCTAGAAAACACTGGTGCCAGATATAAAAGAAACCCTCCTTCAATCCCTGTTGTTTCGAAAAAGGATCCCAATCTCACCAACCACCCCTTCCACAACGCCATGCTTTCACGAGGGGAATGTGGACACTAGCCATGTCCATCTGAACAGCACAGAACTGCCCCATTTGCCTGTTGCAAACCCCTCCCACGGCCCGTACCAAAGGAGCCAATGCTTTGTCTCCATTGCCACCCACCCTTCGATGCCATTTGTCATGATTCCGAAGACTAACCCAATGTCCATAGATTCCCTCCTTCCACTTTTTGGTAATCAAGATGTTGCCCAAATCTCCAACCCTCCACCACCTGACAACCCTTGGTGAGACCCAATGACCACCCGCTAAACGACTGAAAGATCGCTGCAAAATGATCCCCGTCCCCGTAACACGCTATGTGGAAGCATCATGAAGACCCCAACATGCATAACGAACCACGAGCACTCCCACCTATGCAATGCCCTGTACACCGAAGATATGCTTCAAAAGGCAACACAACTCCGCGCATACAAAACATGTCATGTCCAGGTCGTGTCTTCATAACTCATTCAACCCCATACTGAGGTCGTGCCGATTTTGTTAGAACCCCAAACACCGCTGCCTGTGCCCCAAGCACCCATTCCGGAATTCGAAGACTCTTTCTGCGCATTTGAATTCGAGTTCGCCGACCCTGCTCGATCAGCATTCTGTTCATTCGATCCGAACCCGTATCCCAAAGAAGAAGGCAGGGGGGACGTCGTGCGCTTGTTAATTGACTGGTTTGGCGCCTGTTGCATGTTGGGACGGCTGCCAATTGGCCCCATGCCGCCACTGACGGGTGCAGTGGTTGACTTGGAAATCTGCCGTGAGTGCGATGACTCTTCTCCAGACGGTGGCGTAGGTGCCTTTCCGGAAGCTTGAATGGAAGTATCGAACGTACCGAATCCTGACGACGTTTGCGCAGATGGAGACGTTGCTTTTTCCGCACGAGAGGCTTCCTGACCCGAAGATGCTCCCTGAGCGCCGGATTCACCTTGCGTGGTTTGCCCTGGCACGCCAAAGGGATCAGACGTGCGGGGTGAAGGACCACGAGGGGCCCCTGGAGCAATGCCAGAAACAGCTCCAGCTTGATCTCGACTGTTGCCATCCTCAGTGGAAAAGGGTACTTGTCCGACGAAAGCTGCGGGGTCACCGCCGTATAACGCACGATGTTGACGAGCAATCAGCTCCCGGCGGCCTTCCTCACTCAAGGCACTAGGGCTCATTGAACGATCCGATTTGTTAGACGACATTTCTGCCAGCAGACCTGTTCTGAGTCTCAGTGTGGTGCTCTGTTCCACCTCCGTGCACAGGGTGCTTACTCCGATTATACTGCTGTTCTTGATGATAATTGCGGAGCTCGCGTTCTCGCTGCGCTGCCATCCTCCTTTTTGCTTGCATCATCTGATCGGCGTCCCCATGACGGCCTTGATGCCTTTGCGCGGCGTAAAAGTTCTGAAGGTTCGAACCGGGGTGCGATCGTGAAGGGTCGAAGTCACCAATGGGATGGCGGCCTCCGTGCATTCGGGGGGCTGCATACAATCAGATTCTCGTCCACGGCGTGCAGGTGCTGGGATAGCACGCACCATACTCCACTCCTGGGCGCAATGGGCCAGCTGGCATTGATCGTTGTCCACCACCGCCACCGCCATAGAATTTGCCACTCTTGACAAGATTATCCATTGCTCGATCCACCTCTAGTTTCTGGAATCAGTACTTCGAGTGACAGTTTCTGAGTGACAGTCAACGCACCTTCGAATTGCATCGCGAAAGCACTGCCGTCTTCGCGCTGAGAGGTGGAACTGGCACCTGGGATGTGACTATCAGTACCTAGCGAGGCATTCCATGTGGTCCAGCGTCACGCACCTGATCTTGACGGCGGAGGCGGCTGCTCCCAAGAGGGCTGCCGAACCGGCGCCTGCCATCCTTGAGGTTCGTAGGGGAACGCCATATTTCTCAATTTTTACCCGGCCCCTCGTTTGACAGAGTCTTGGGCACTTCACCCGTCGAGATTGTATGACCGGCCGAAATGATAGGGAATGCTCGCAAGGTGAAGACTAGCTATAGAACCGATGAGTCGATTAAGTGTTGCAAACAAAAGGCGATGATTAGGCTGGATGCGACTGGCCAAAGGGTCGAGAGAAGAAAACGTGCAGGTTGGAGGGGAGAGGGGTTGGACATTTGGTGTATGTGTGTGGTCCGGTTCTTTGGTTTTTTGGGGGGGGGGAAGTTCTGGTACGCTGGTTCGGTGCGAGGATGTGGGTGGGGAGAGCGTTCATTTTTCTCGAGGGATCGCTTCGGCCGACTCGAGCCAATGATGGCTTCTGTGTAATCGCTCGAATTGCCCCGGGGGGAGGGGTTGCCACGGGAAAGAAATGCGATTGAAAGAGTGAGATGACTTACAGATCAACCCAGAGCCGAGCTCGGAACCTCGCAGGTCGCAGTCGCAGTCGCGGTCGCAGTCGCAGTCGCAGTCACAGGTCGCAGGAGGCAGAGGGCAGAGGGCAGATGGCAGATGTCAGTATCGCGCAGGACAAGATGGATGTGGATGGAAGCCCACACTGCAGCGGCAGGCGGCAGGCGGCAGGCGACACAGGTAAAAGGTAAGAAACGAGGAGGAAGGGGACAGAAGGAAAAGAGAGCGCAGGCGGAGAAAGATGGAGAGATGGTTAAAAAAAAGTTCTGCGATGAGAAGCGAGAATTGACGTTAGCACCACCACCACCACCACCACCACCAAAACCACCAACACCACTTGCAACAGCCACCCACTCGGTGTCAGTGCACCCACCGCTTTTCCCGACCGAAAAGAGGGCGACAAAGGAAATTCGAAAGGGCCTCCAGGAGGCAAAAATAACCCCCACGACCACGGCTTACTAGGCTTCAGAACCCCCTAAAAGACTTACCCTACCTACCTAGGTAGGTACAAGTACCGACTACTTAGGTGCCTCGGTCCCCTAAACTTGTACGCCGTCCCCCTGTTAGACACCTCCTACCCACAGTGTTAACAGGTACGGAGTACTCGGTACCCTGGCAAGTATCGCCCTCTTCATATTGCAATCCCTTTTCCTCCTCACTTTTCCTCTTCTCCTAGCAACCAGTCGGCTCCCTCATCCTCCTCCCCCCTCTCACGTTTCTTGCCGGAGAATTCTCAGCGAGACAATTGCTAGGCGCAGGCGGGTCATCCCCGACCATCAACTACCCACGAGCTAGCGATGACCGGCTTAAGGCTGGTTCGCTGGATAAGCGGCAATGCGAGACCCCAAAGAACCCCCTTCACACAATATAGCTCTACGGAATCCTGTAAACCGGACTGAATTGGCAAACCTCAACTGCGGCTGCCCCCCTCGAGATCGGCCCTCTTACGAGTATTCCAGGCGAAGCTGGATAAGGAAAAGAAGTCGAAGCCGTCGGGTCCGTTCTTATGAATTACCGAGTACTTGGTATCCCATCGCCCCGACCTTGTCGAAGCAAATTGTCTCTCCGTGGTGGAGACCACTGGAATGACCGGTAAAATTGTTCTGAGTGTTCCAGGTGGGGGACATTTGGAAGCATTACGAGTACGGAGCATTTACTTTGGTCAATTTCCCTCTCGACGGTCGACTGGGCTCGAGTCAGAGATTCACTGGTGCCGAGTACAAGCGCACGAGGAGAGTGTTGGTTACCTGGTGTCTTCCAAAAGCACCACGACACCAACGACACGAAGCTGATGAAGATCCTATGACGCAAACGAATGCAGGAGACACTGTCGATTCCCGTCTTGCCCGAGCGCGTCTTGAGCATCGATGGCTTCTCTGCCCCTCAATGTCTGAATGGTTCTAGGGCCCTGCACGATAATTACGACCATGCGTCTACCAATCCGAGCCTTCCGGCTTTATGGGGGGATGTCTGGGATGTCCGGGATGTCCCAGTCACGCTTTCGAGAAACCTGACAACAGGATATTGCCAACCAGTCACTAATCACATGGGCGACGGGGTCTTGAGTGATCGGTCCTCTGGCGAGAGAGCTCATTCTCCCGAATTGGCATAGGCAGAGCTGAAGATTGCCCTTAAACTCATGTTCGTCACGCTTCGGCTGCAGCAAAAACCCGCAGGACTACCTAGCCATTTCATGCAGCCATCCTTTTTCGTTCGTCGCACGGGAGGACAGAGTACCGGCCACTCTCCAAGCACCTGGTCTGTCCAGTTCCAAGATCTCTTAGACTCCCAGAGATTCCCCAGCTCCTCCGCGTGATTCGATCAAATTGCGAACTTCTTCTCGTCCTCAAATTTCGAAATGTTCCACAAATAATCGAGCGGCATGGGTCTAGAAGATCTAGTTAACCATCAAAAGACATGTTAGGCGAGCATAATGTAAGGCTCAAGGCGCTTTAGACCAGCCTGGAGCCGAGCCCGAGGCGCCCACGACGCCATAAAGAGCCTGTAAAAATATATAAGGATCTCCGTCTCCTCCAGACGTGGTAGCTGCCCGACCGTGAGAAACGAAGGCAACTGGACTCTGAGGAGTGCATGCGTGACGTACAATCTGCCGCCGCTGATGACAGCAGAGTCGATTGGTCAAGAGCAAAATTGGTATGGTGTCCCTCGTATACAGAGGACTCCGTGCTCTACCACAATTCTGGATCAGGAGGTTCATTGAAAAAGAAACCGCCCACACCTTCGGACTCTGGCAACGGCTGGACCATATTATAGAGTATAATAGAGCGTCAGCTCCTTCGAAAATGGACCTTCTCTGTTGTCGAAATACATAGAAGAGATCAAAATTATCATTGCAAGAATAGGGGCGGAAAGAAATTGCTGTTGGCAAAGACTCGGGTGTCCTGTCCCAAGTACGGAGTACTGGGTACTCTTGGCTCCGTACTCGGGCAGGTTGAGCTCAAGCATAGTACAAAGTCTCCTTCCAAATGTCTCAGGGGTCATAGACCGGTTGAGTCAGCCTAAATTGCGGAGGAGGGCGCCTGGTCTATAATTGGCACCGGGGCAGCAGCTGTTGCGGTCAGAATCTCAAGACAGCATCTCGGATCACAAATTTTGCATCCAGCTCACAGGAATATGCAAAGGCTGAGCATCGCTGACCCCAAGATGGCAGTGGGATCCAAATCACCCCTCCCCCCAGGAAGACTTTGTCCAGAACGAGTAGAAAGGATCGAGGGCGTCTTACGCTCCCGCCAGTCGCCTCCAGAGCCAACATGGCTCACTGGGCTTTTGGGAATCTGATGTGTGTAATAGCTAGCATGATCTGGAAATTTTTCGAATTTGCTTCCTGGCGGTGACCCCGGCGATGCCGTGTTCGCCTTTTCGATGGATGATTAGCCTCTGAAACAGTAAAGAACGCGGTGTCCTGTCGAACGCGACGCGCTAGTAGAAATCTGACAGGTGCATCTCTATATATATATATATATATATATCTATATACTTGGAATATGTATAGACACCGGTATACCGCACATGCCGCTGTGAAAGACGGTCAGAATGAGGCAGCGCAGAGCCAGCACCGCCAGGCAGGGCTTGGAACTGTTGCAGCAGACTTGGACGAGCAACGCAGGCGTCCTCGTCCTCATGGAAAACGAACTTGGCTGGGCTCTACCCGGCCATCCCCTGCTTTGCCTCTGGCCTGCAATGCTGTGTAGCGTAGCTAAACTTCCCCCCTTCACCGTTGTCCCAGGTCAGCAAGGGCAGCACTGCGAAAGCCCCATCACCAGACCGGGGTCTGTTGGATGAAGGTGAAGCTGAAAGTGAGGATAGCTGAACGTGGTGACAGACGTAGATGGGCCGATTGCTGCTTGCTGCTTGCTGCTTGCAAGCAGCTGGCAAGTGGCTGCTGTTTGTCTCGTGTCACTTGGTTTACAGTTGCTCGAGACCAATATTCAGCACGAGGAGAAACAAGGGAGTCTTTCTGCCGTTTATATGAAATTGAGGCTTGGCACCAACGGACCAGAACGAGGGCATTTTTCTTTGCTGGCTCGCTGGGTGACCCACGAACCCACCACGGGGCGTAGAATGCAAGACTGTTCGGCGGCCTTCGCACTGCTCGGTCCAACTGCTAACTGCTACCTACGGGCTGCCACGGGCCACCCAGCAAGAGCACCCAGTGCGAGCACCATAGGCTGGTCAGGCCTAGTGGCCACAGGGCACACGGCACAGGCCACCGGCCACAAGGGCCCTCCCTCTCCTTCACTAACTCCTTCGCTGGTAACCACCGACAAGCAACAGTCCTCCGTACGAGTAAGTCGTGCACTGACCTGCACCGCAACGCACCCGCAGCAGCCAGGAACAAGCGAGGATCATCTCTCATTGCACCTCGCACCTCACACTTCACACCTCACACCTCGACCACTCCCATCCCTCATCTACCTACTCAACTACCTTCTTCTCGACTCTATCCTCGTCCAATCCTCGACATATCTTCCTCTTGACACGCGCCTAGAGGCCCTATCCTACTTCTGCCCGCATTCTCAATCCTGTATATCACCAATTTCCCCCCCGTCCCCCGTATTCTGCTCCCCGACCAAGCAGAAATCTCAACGTCCTCCCAGCCCAGAATCAAAAGTCCCCAGACGCTCGACTTTCTCCTGATTGTACCTCGCACTGCGGCTCTACGCCTTCCTTCAAGTCGAGCCCACTTCGGTTCGCCAACAGAATCGTCGATTGACCTCTCTTTCACCTCGCCGCCCTCGACGGGCTTACTCAGACACTCCTCGACACAGACGAGGTCCTCTTGCTCTGGCCGGCCAGCGTCGTCACTGGTCATAAAATCAAGGCCGGTGGTGTGTCGCATCACACGGTTCGCTGAGCTCGGTGCTCCTCCTTGCTCCGGAACGTTGCATACAGCACTTTGCAAACCCATCCCTAAGCAGTACTCGGACCCCCTCTCAAAAGACTCGCGACCGGGCTGCTGCCATTTCGATCTTATACATACATTGGAAGCAGGATCAGACTCTACGTACGCCTGATCCGGCGCGACTGTCCTCGCAGCAATTATTCAACCAGGATAATTCAAGTCCAACCTCCTCCTGGACCGTCATATGACTTGCAGAGTGCCCAAAGATGAGGGAAACAGTATACCTACACCGATGACCGCGCCATCTGCTCAGGCTCTTCCGCCCAACATGGAAATGGAGTCAAACGCTAGCCCTTCACACCCTACACGACGTTCGCACCACGTCTCCTCACACTCCAAGTCGACGCCGTCCACCCCTTTCCATCGACCCGAATCCCGTTCGCATTCAAGAGCTTCCCTTTCCCCAGAACCCCCGGCAAAAACCAATTCGCCCCGTTCGCTACCATCCGACAAGAGCCACACACCGCCTGCAGGCCGGAAGCAGTACGGAGGTTGTAAATATGAGACCGGCATGCAAAGAGCACGGCGGCGTGTCCCTTACTCCTTGGGGCCAGAGCCCTTGGAAAAGGATAAGTCCGAGTTAAAGACCAAGTTGACCCATGAGGAAGATGAAACACTAACGCAGGACATGCAAAAGCTCTATGAAGAACTACAACCAACTGCCGAGAGTGAAGCTCGCCGGTCAAAGTTCATCGAGAAGCTCGACAAGATACTGCGGGCAAGATGGCCAACGTCCTCAATCAAAGTCAATGTCTTTGGCTCTACAGGGAACAACCTGGGAACCTCGGATTCCGACGTCGATATCTGCATCACGACTGATTGCAGGGAGATGGAACGGGTTTGCAATCTCGCAGAGCTGCTGGCAAAACATGGAATGGAAAGAGTGGTATGCGTCTCTTCCGCCAAGGTGCCAATTGTCAAGGTTTGGGACCCTGAATTACACGTCGCTTGTGACATCAACGTCAATAATCCGCTGGCTTTGGAGAACACGCAACTGGTCCGGACGTATGTCAGTATTGACAACCGAGTGAGGCCATTGGCCATGATCATCAAACATTGGGCGAAGCGAAGGATGTTGAACGACGCTGGTATGTGGTTTTTTTTTTTTCCACGCTGTTGACTTTGCGACCTTTGGTACTGATGTTTCCCAAGCCCTCGGAGGCACGCTTAGTTCGTATACGTGGATATGTTTGGCCTTGAATTTTCTGCAAACAAGAGACCCTCCAATCTTGCCTACTTTGCAACAACAGCCTAACTTGCAGCAGAAAGAGGTGGCTGGAGTGAATGTATCTTTCGATCGCAACATCGAGGCTCACAGAGATTTCGGGAGCCGCAACAAGTCTTCCCTGGGCGAACTTTTGTTTCATTTCTTCCGCTACTATGGTCATGAGCTTGATTTTGAGCAAAGCGTGGTTTCGGTGCGACTGGGTCGAGTGCTGTCCAAGGTTGAAAAGTCGTGGCACCTTCTCCAGGACAATCGGCTCTGCGTTGAGGAACCTTTCAACGTATCAAGAAACTTGGCAAACACTGCTGACGACACGTCGATGCGAGGCATCCATCTGGAGTTACGGCGGGCTTTCGGGTTGCTCGGGGAGGGCAAGCTTGAAAGGTGCTGTGAACAATTTGTCCATCCTCCAGATGAGATCAAACCCTCGGAGCATTTTGTGCCACCCTCGGCGCGACCGGTGATTCCACAACCTCCAACGCAGCCATCACGAGGAGCTCGGAATGCAACTCGAGGTGGTAGCAGGAATCTAAGTCAAATGGGTAGAAATCCCCGACGGTCTTCGAATCCGACCACACGAACCTCCAATTACTTGCGCAATCCTCCATTCCAGATGACAACTCATGAGTTGCAACTTCAACAGCAGCATCAGCAACATCTCCTGCACGACCAGCTGTTTCAACAATACCAGTATCTCCAGCTTCAGGAACAGGAATTAAGAATGCAGCTCTATCAACAAAATCTTCGGCAAAGAGGGTTGATGGCTGCTTATAGTCAACCCACAGGATATAGTCAGTTTGTCTCGCAAGATGACGGCCTTGATCTTGGTTCTAATCCACAGGTCAACGGCATTGGTCGAGCTCCCTTGTCAGCACCACTGTACCAGCACAGCTTTCCTCGATCGCCGTACCTGTCTGCAAGCCAACCGAGCCAAGGTGTTTCAACGAACCCGCCGTCACCGAGACTGAATTCGGTGCTTCCGGACAATCGAAGGTACTCGCGCCGAACGTCTGTAACACAATCATCCACAGGAGGCTCCTTGCGAGCTCAGTCGCAACCTGCACGGGCAGTTCCAGTCTCTTCTTTGGGACACTTGCAGCGGCCTGATATCGCAAGCCTTCAGGATTCTGCTATTGGACGGAGATCGTCCTCATCTTCAACATCGCAAGAACCGTATACTGCCTATATGGAGAATGCCTACGGTATGATTGGACCAATCTATGATCCAGTACGAAGGCCCGCCGAATATCTGGGATATTACGTCGGTCAATCGCCGTCGCTGTCTGCTTATACTCAGAGCACGGCGATTTCTCCCATCCCTTCACACATTGGCCTCGCCATCCAGAATGGAGGCCTATCTCCACGACTTGCTCCAACATCGACTCGACCTTCTGGGACCATGCAAACTCCCCCGCTCCAGACGATTTCTACTGCCACAGTCGAGACGCATCCGGAACCAGATCAGGGACCGAGGAATGGTGATGGTGGCAATACTGAATCAGACCTATCGAGGCCTAGGACAGGCCCGTTAATAGTGGATGGGTCGATCAATTCGCCGCTGCGGAGGCGCACGACCCATTCCTTCAACGATCCCGAGGACCATATCAGTTTCAGCGCATCCACATCGGAGGACTTGGCCTTCGACACCCCCTCAAGCTCAGATGAACAATCCCAAGACGCTTTTGAGTGCAGTGCACATGGAAAGATTTCGCCAATCAGTCCCAGCCAGACACGAAATCATGCTCAGCATCCAAACGGTGCTCCAGATTTTGTGAATGGGCATCAACCACCGAGAGCAACGGGAAAGAGTTCAAAGGAAGAGCGGCAGGTTCCAGTGGCCAAGGCAGGGGAGTCGTTGGGGATGACCGTCCTGAATACGATCAAGAAAGCGGGCAGCCCAGCATGGTCTCTTGATCGGCAACTTTCCTCCGTGGAGGAAGTACGCACTCCTTCTCCCAGGGTTGAGACATTCAATGGGGAGGGCTCTTTTCCCAAGCAGAGCAAGGGTCACACCGGCCAGGATGAGCGCTCATCCAATGGTCAGACAATGTTGGCCAATGGCGAAGAACGTGATTTTGCAAGACCGCTTGCGTCAAGAACCAACGGGACTGCGGGATCCTCGGGTCATGGACCCAGTTCAGCGCCGAATGCCAATGTACCTAGCGGCTGGCAAATGCAAAAGAAGAAGAAAAATAAGAGAAAGACGGTCAAATCAGAAAACGATGCGCAGACGTCGAATCTTGCCTTGGGAGAAATACTACCTGCCGACGAGTCCCTCCGGAAAGGCGGCTAGGCGCTCCTTTGCTAAACATTTCCCCTGACCTGCAGCATATTTTGCCTGTCCACTTTATGAAAGATGCCGTCTTGTCAGCCCGATGAGTGGGTTCTGGCCCCATCTTGCGCTCCGCATTCTGGTCCGGGCAGATGGCCTCGACAAAAGGCAGCATTTATGATATCAACAGCACACATCTAGTCGTTCTATGGATTTTGGGTTATGCATGGATCAAATTTGTTGGCGTTTGTCGATCTAGCAGGAAGCAGCATCCCTGATCGGGATGCAACGCATGGGGATGGCCGCGGCGTTTCTTCAATACCAAGGGACGTTTTCACATACCCCCCTGAAAGTTGTGGGATGCATTCGCATATACGGCTCGATTGAAGGCCGGATCTTTGATGGCTCGAGGGCTCCATGGAAGGCCACGCCGCTTCGACAGGACATGGCGATTCTCACGGCCTCGAGACAAAGCTTGATTGATGTTTTTGCAAAAAGGTGGAAGCCGGATGATCATGAGATTGGCATTAGAAATGGATCCCTTGCGAACCCAGCCAGTCGTCGGGGCTTTGATTTTCTTTTATTCCTTTTACTTTGATTGTGGACAGGTGGGAGAATAGAGCAAGGGGGTCACAAAAGCGTCAAATTTCAAATGGCTTCAGCCCGCTACTGGAGCGATATAAACCGACTAGGGGAAAAACCAAGGCTGAGAAGAAAGGAGAGATTGTAAGATTGCTCGGGCGGGGGGGAAGCCGGGACAGTAGATGAGCAGATTAGAGAGAATGAACGAAAGGAACGTGACCATTGTTAAACCCAAGAAGGGCGTTTGTGCAAATCCCTCTGGCCCTCCTTACCGAGAACCTCCCTCCAAGCCTCCCTCGCCCCTTACCAGGCGAGGCTGCAATGGTCACGTGAGCCAGGCGAGGCTGACCAATGTCGACTCGCTCGTACGATTCGGAAGGAGACAAAGCCACGACTTGCTGTGCCTTGCATGATCCTCTCAAGTTTACCCCCCTCGCTTGATATGCGTGGCCAATGACCAGCCGTCCTGGTATTTTATTGTGGTCCCCAGCGTTTCTCGACCTTGTGTACGAAGTAAAGTCGTCACACTCAGCACAATGCGGCATGCAGTCGCCGCAAAGTCTTGATGGGACTCTTCTCAACTCCTTCTGCTGTTTATCACACCACGCCTCACGCCACAGAACCCTTCATGTTCCACAACAAAGCCTCTTGGTCTTAAAAGCAACTTCTTTCCCTTCGACGATCTCGACACCGCTGGTTCATGCCTAGATAACGTTTCTCCTCGACGCATTCTCTCACCTGCCCACCTCCCATAATGCCTCTTATACTCGACACCCCCTCAGAGTCCTCGGTCGACTCGGACTTGGACCACCAGGAAGAGAGACGAAAGCTACATCATGACGCCGATGTTGTTATCGTGGGCGCGGGCGTCGTGGGGGCTTCGTTGGCGGTGGCGTTGGCAAATCAAGGGCGCAGTGTCATCCTCCTCGAGAGATCGTTGAAAGAGCCGGATCGCATAGTCGGGGAACTCCTGCAGCCTGGTGGTGTACAGGCATTGAAAAAGTTGGGTTTGCGCCATACCCTCGACGACATCGATGCGATCCCAGTCAATGGATACACCGTGATTTATTATGACGAGCAGGTGCCCATTCCCTATCCCGCAATACCGGGTGACGCACGGCATCAGGCTTCAGAAAAGCCAGGAAATCCCAAGAGAGCAGAGGGGCGGTCGTTCCACCATGGTCGGTTTGTGTCTCGATTGCGCGCTACAGCAATGTCACATCCAAACATTACCGTCTTCGAGACTGAGGCTACTTCACTCATAGCGTCCTCTCATACCGCAGAAATTCTTGGAGTCGAGTCCATCACTCAAAAAACACACAAGGACTTTTTCTTTGGGTCGTTGACCGTCATCTGCGACGGATATGCCTCCAAATTCCGGAAGTCGTACATCTCTCACACCCCCAAGGTCAAGTCAAAATTTTGGGGCCTGGAACTTATTGATTGTCCTCTCCCAATCCCGCAACACGGAACGGTCGTCTTGGGTGACAATGCTCCAGTATTGCTATATCAGATCGGCACCCACGAGACTCGGGCGCTGGTGGATATTCCAGACGGGTTAGCATCCACATCGACGGCCAACGGTGGCGTCAAAGGTCATCTCCAGAAGGTTGTGCTCCCGGCTCTACCGGCTATGGTGCGACCATCGTTTCAGGCTGCTTTGGAGAAAGGCAATCTTCGAAGCATGCCCAATTCCTTCCTCCCTCCGACGACCAACACAACTCCAGGTCTAGCCATCCTCGGAGATGCCATGAACATGCGCCATCCCTTGACTGGAGGCGGCATGACTGTTGCTTTCAGTGACGTCGTCTTGCTCTCCGAGTTACTCTCTCCAACCAAAGTCCCAGATCTCGCAGATACCAGGCTTGTACTCCGGCAGTTCCGCGCGTTTCACTGGCGACGCAAGAACCTAAGCTCCGTGATCAACATCCTCGCTCAAGCGTTGTACTCGCTGTTCGCCGCCGACGACTGGCAACTCAAGTACCTTCAACGGGGCTGTTTTCGATACTTTCAACGAGGCGGCAAATGCATCGACGAGCCTGTGGGGTTGCTGGGGGGAATCATCCCGCAGCCCTTCGTGCTGTTTTATCACTTCTTTAGCGTGGCGTTGCTGAGTATCTGGGTGCTTGTACACGAGAACGGCTTGCTTCTGTTTCCGGTCAGCGTGGTTCAGGGGGTGTTGGTGTTTTTGAAGGCGTGCGAGGTCATTTTCCCGTATATTTTTGCGGAATTGAGGCGTTGATCGGAGGGCGGGAATAGAGATACAACAGCAATGACAACGACGCCACCAAGAAGACGGGAGTCGGATTTCCGGACATGATGCTAGCGAGACAGAGGGGAAGAGGGGGAACAGAAAGCGATGTACAGACACCGATGGATGGATGCTGATCAGCACAGTCGCGAATATAACGAACAAGAGCAAGAAGCACTGGAAGTGGAAGCCCCGAAAAGAAGGAGCACGCTGGATCCTTCCTCGTCTGGAGAAATGGAACGTCTTGTTTAGAGCGAGGTACATACACAGTCCTCCGTATGGTGTATATACATCATCTTCAGCCTTGTAGCGAGCAAATCACTCAACTACGGTATTTCCTCATCACGGGGCAGCATCATTTTCGTCATCATTCTCTTCCTCTCGTTCTTCCCCTTACTCAACGAATTCGTTGGGGTCACATCTTCCCGCCCTTGGCCTTTTGTTGCTGCTCTGTCTTCTCTTTGACTTTGAACGCATTGATGGCGCCAACGATCAAAGCCCCGTCGTTGAAGCGCGTGGGCCATCGCTGCTTCATGCGGGCGACGAGATCGCGGGCAGTCGCGACCTGGCCGCCCTCGACCAGCGCGTCAAAGTCCTGGATGTACCGCCTCGTGCGCTCCAGGTGCCAGGCACCGCATAGCTCGTGCGGCTTGACGTGGCCCGGCACCACGACCTCGGGCCGCGGCGTCAAGGATTGGATGGTCTCGACGGCGCGCACCCATTCCATGCGCAGCGCGTGCGTGCTGGCCTCGCCGAGCATGCAGTGCACGTCGCCGTAGACGACGTCGCCGGCGGCCACGAGCCGGAGGTGCGGCACGAACAGCACCGTCGACGAGTGCGTGTCCGTGTGTCCGACCTCGACGGCCTGGAACTTGTAGCCCTCTGGATCGCTTGGCCTGTCTTTTTCTGATTCTTCCCCCTCGTCAGAGAAGGGCAGGTAGAACGCGCCCGTCTCCGGCAGCGGCTCCGCGAGCCGGAACGCCGTGTCGATCTGGCCTGGGAAACGCGACGCCCACATGGCCTTGAACGCGGCCGGCGCGATCTGGCCCTCCATGTGCGCGATGGTGCCGCGCGTGGCCACCGCGCGCGCGCCCGGGAAGCGCTGCAGCAGCATGTTCAGCCCGAACCAGTGGTCGCCGTGGCCGTGCGTGATGTAGATGTACGCCAGCTTCGCGCCCGGTTGCAGCGTCTGCTCGATCCAGGCAATCAGCGCCGAGGTCTGCGACACCGTGATGGGCGTGTCGACAAGCACCGCGTGCGAAGCTGTGTGGATCAGCGTGCACGCGATCGGCGACCACGGCCCGCCCGGTTTGCCGCTGGGTGCGGTCCACGGGATTGAGGGGGAGACGTGCACTGAGGCGTAGAGTGGCATGATGCTTGGAGATTGTGTGTGCCGTATACACAAGTATGTGGTTGTGATTGTGGTTGTGGCTGTGTGTGGGTTTTGCCTGAGAATGTGTGTGCGTACCTGTGCGATAGAGAAACCTGGCGGATGGATATTGTAAACAACAGGGCGATGAACCGGCGTTGTGTATTCAAGAAACACAAGGCTACCGTGACCAGATGGGAGGCCGGGGTGAGGGAGGGAGGAATGGAAGCGAGACAAGAATATATTACTTTCCTTCTTTGCTTCCTTACCTTTGACCTGTTCCCACAGGCCGGATGAGATGAGAAAAGCCGCCTCTAACGGCAGGGGGGGTTAGATATAATAGCAGTGGCATTTCCATTTCCATCATGACGGGGGAGAACAGAAGAGGAGTAGGGGGAGGAAATAATATTTGTATAGTAATCCGTCGACCGAGGGTGGAAGCTGATTGGACACAGGGGCAAACGCACGGTTATGTAGATATAGCCAAGAGGACGAGCAAGGGACCCCAGCAGTCGAAGCCGAGAGATTGAAAAAGACCAGAAGGAGACCTTGGGGATTCATTCTGTCATGGAGACGGAATGGACCAGGAGACTTAATGCTCTTTTCGTAAGCTCCCTGACTTCATTCGTCCTAACACGAGGGTGTCGCAGAAAAAGTAAACCCCCCCTTGTCTTGTGCTCTTGGGATTCGAACAAGCGCCATCACCTCGGTCCATTGTCTCTCTCTCACATAGTCGTCGCCCTCAGCCTCTCCAGAATATACTCCCCGGCCTTGACCGGCTGCCAGTTACTCGGTCCCACCACGCTTTCCGGCAACGGCACCACCTCGGTGTCGTAGTTGATGCTGAAGAAGAACGGCACCGAGTATCTCTCCCCGGTCCCCGGCTTGCTCACGACGCGGTGGATGGTGGACTTGTACAGCCCGTTTGTCCAGCGCATGAGGAAGTCTGCCACGTTGACCGTCAACGTTCCCGGCCGGACAGGGCAGGGGAGCCAGACGGGCCGGTTGTTTGTGAGGGGTGAGGGCGGGAAGAGGATCTGCAGGCCCGGATTGGACGAGGAGAGGAGCAGCGTGAAGCATTCGTAGTCGGTGTGTGCGCCGAGCCCAAGCTTGCTGCCTTCTTCTTCGTGGGCTGTAGTGGTGTCGTTCGTGCTGGCTTCCCCGTTGGTGGCAGAGTTCGCAACCGGCTGACCAGCGTAATATAACAACCTCGCAATTCCGCCTGGGTGGGTCATGACTCCGTCGAAATAGCCCTCCTCCAGGCCCAGAGACAGGGCAAAGAGGCGAAACAAATGTCTTGCCAGCTGGAGCACTTGGCCATAGTAGAGTCTGATTGCCTCGTAGAAGCCCGGGAGATCCTCCTCGGCAGGCCAAATGTTTCCCAGACCTGTCGATGCAGGCGATTGCCCGTCCAACTCGACATACTTCCCATCTCCGCCCGTCGGGTCTAGCTGTTCCTCATACCCCCAATTGAACCCTTCTTTCGTCTCGGGTTCAGGCTGCTGTTGAGAGGTCGAGGCGTCACTTCCTCCCATGTCGTCGGGATTCACGTACGTGTAATCGTGGGGCTCGTATCCTCGGAAGAGCGGAGAGTGCTTCATGTGCAGCTTGTCCTTCTTCTCCGGCGACAGCTGGTGGAAGAAGCGCTCTGCCTGCTTCAACACCCCGGCCATGGCTTTGGACGAGATGCCGTGGTTGCTGATCTGGAAGAAGCCCGTCGTCACGCACGCTTCACGGATCTGCATTGCCACGGCCTTGCGCAGAGTGCTGTCGTCGGAGAAAGAAGGCCCAATGTCGATCAGAGGCACGGTCGGTAACGTCTCTGGCGCAGTCTTGGGCGGAGGGTTGGTGAGGGCCCCGGCCAGGCGTGTTCGAAGATGTTCTTGAGCTGCCGCAACTTCGTCAAGAATGCTGAGGCCCGAGGGCTTTTCCGACAAAGGGTTTAGGAAGGGCGGCGGTGACATGACGGATGCGGCCATTGTGATATAACGCTCCTTTTATTTGCAGAGTACGACCAGAGCCAACGAGGGGGTTGTAATGGATGTGACGTTGTGAAGAAAGATAAAGATGATACAATGGAGTCGAGGAAATCAAAGAATGAATTACCCAGTAGTTGTCCTTGTTCCGCTCAAGACATGAGATTCTCAAGAGTCACACATCCAACTACTCGGTACTACTCACCCTCGATTCACCATGCCATTCGAGCGTATGTATGTACCACGCGGTGGCGCACGATAAGGATATAAAGGATAAGAATAAGAAATAAGAATGCAACACACGGAGAGCGGAGTTTTCCGCCCGCAGGACAAGGCTCAACAAGGCTGAAACATGTCAGGCTAGGCATGTGTACCTACGTAGTAAATAGGGGCAGCGTCGAGTCAGATGAAGATCAAGCGCGTGTCGAGACAAATATAGCATGTTCAGCTTGTCTGGTGTTTCACCACATATGCCTCTGCCGCCATGCAAATCCAGAATTAATTGGACAGGGTGTCCTTGCTCGTCAAGGCCTCATAACACATTTACGTCGTTGCGAAGAAACAGGAACTGACGTGCTGTTGTAATACCAGCCCGAACATTCGGCACAGCTGCGGGGATATCACGCGGCAAGACACGTTCCATCTCGTCCTTCCAGTATACCGGCTTCTCCACGGCGGCAGGCCACCAGTCAAACAGGAGAAACGCCTCGTCTGCAGTCCAAGGTCCTTTGGGCCCGTCGGAGCCCTCTTCGGTCAACCCTCCCATAGGTTGGTTGTCTCTGTCCACTGCATTTGTGTCTGAGGCGCATCGCTGGAGTTTGCTGGGACTCTCAGACTTGGCCAGACTCCTCCTCGCCGCTAGGTTGCTGAGCACTGGTAAGAGGCTCCGTGGTTGAGGGACAGCATGTTCTGGCATCAGAGTGAATGTGTCGTTCTCTAGAGCATCATTTTCAGACAAGACTCGTCGGAATGGACGTGTATCAAGGCTATCGGGTCGTCCCGGTGACAGGACAGGCTGGTTGGGACTTTGTGAATGGGCCATTAAGGGAGGGTTTGGAGGCGGGCACTCATCATGGACCGCTGCTCGAACATCCATCTGAAGCTGCTGTGCGGGTACAGTCACCGGATCAGTTATGGCAGACAACGGGCCACTAGATTTCGGTAGACTTTGACACAGCTCGCTGTTGTCGGACGCGGGAAAGGGAAATTCCTCCTGGGTCGGAAGGGGTCGGGGAGAAGGTGAATTCTGCGCAGAGTTCTGCTCTGGTATGAACAGCGGGCTGGAATCGATGTTGTCATCTTGGACCAGCTCATGCGCGCTCGACTGGCCGGAGCACGGAATCTGAATCGGTTGCCTACCGTCATCGACACTGGCCCGGGCCACGTGCTTCGATAACAACGACGCTTCTTCCTCACGAGGGCAGCATGTGCTGATACTCTTTTGAGGCGACAGTTGGCATGAACCTTCCAGGGTTTGTGGCCTTGATGTACCTTTCGAGAACGGTAGCAGACATGTCAGCTGGGGCCTAGGCCTCGGTTGGCCGATTAGCAGTCGTGAACGGTGAGCAACTGGCGGAGGGAACGCGTTCAAAGACTCGCCATTGGTGGATTTCTTCGGATTTCCAGGGGGGCTAGATCTCTTCCGTCTCCCTTTGCTCGGTTTCACTTTACTGTAACCGACCTGAGCAAGTGCCGTAGGGCTCGGACATGACAGTTCGGGTGTAAGCCATTGCTTTTCTGGGCTTCCCTTTTGACATTCTCCGGGTCCAGTCCCTAGCCTCATCGGCTTTGTGGGCGGCCGTTTACTTGTAGGTTCTTCGTCTGACGACAGTTCGATCAAGCCTTCGCATTCCGTTGGAGCTCCGCCGCGGCGAGCGGTTTGCAGAACGGTCTGACTTGGCTGCATGGGCTGAGGTAAGCGAGGCCTTCCAGGTCTAACCGGGTGGTGGACATGATCGAAATAGTTCTCCTTGTCACTGTCAAGTCGCAGTCGTTTTCGAGGCGATTCAACTGGCCCGACGCGACTGGATGACCATCTTTGTTCAAAAGGAGAGTGCACGGGTAATCTTGCACGCCCGAGTCGACCTTGAGAAGGTCCTAGCACTTCTAGCAACGACTTGGGTCTTTGAGAGGGGCCAGTTGACAAAGGGCGATTTGCGAGGACCGTTGCCTGTCGGGGTGGAAGAGCAGGCTTTTCTGGTCGCGATCTTTCGAGAATTGGGGCCAAGTCCGTTTGAGTCTCACCGAGACGCTCTCCGACTTCCACCATGACACCGCGGTCGAGCTGGATCTCAACGCCCTCAGCAAACTCCCCCTCTTGCCTATAGTGGAGGTCCCCAATGTAATTTTTCGCGTCGTCGTAGACCATGACGCGTCGGTTGAAGGTGTGGAAACGCAGAGAGCCATCGTGCCATTTCTTGGCCTTCTTGTGCAGGTCGCGCGTGTAGAGGCAGCGGAACTCATGAACGGGAGCGGTGTTTTGGGTGGGAGCAACGGTCAAGCTGGCAGGACCGAACCCGCGGTGAGTGGAAGTAAGGGTGTCCATGGTCACATTTCACTGATTGTACCCGGAATGAATGGGAGGAGCCGAGGCTGAGGTGGTTGTCAGCGACATCATGTCGGGGCCCGGCCAATGGAGAGGATGGCGGAAGCTGTGTCGGTCGTTAGTCAGTCCAGGAGTAGAGGGAGCAGCAGGAAGAGAAGTCTCGTTAGAGCATGTCATTGACGGATGGTGAGTGGATTTGATGGTGGGAGAGTGGGTGGGAAACGCGCGTCAACTGAGGCTGGAACTCGGGCGCAGGCTGCAGACTCCAAAGAGGAGGCTGCAGGGAGGCTAAGGCTAGTGAGGCTCAGACTTGGAAGCACCCGGTTAAACCCCCCCCTCCCTATCCCATGCCCTCCTATGCCCACTAGCCCTGTCTCTCCTTAGCTAACCCTTAGGTATCATACCCAGTACACGGTACGCCTCCCGCCGTGCCTCCTTCCCTTTCCCTGGCTCAACCTGCACCCCTACATTTTGCTGCTTGACTTTATGTACCTCGTACTGTCCAACTAATTTTCTCGCATTCTCCTCGTGTACTTCACTCGCATGGAAAGAAAGGCTAAACTTTTTAGACTGCTGGCCAGTTAGCAATTTTAATACATTTTCTCTCCTTACCATCCCCGCCGCCGCCGCCGTTCGTTTCCTCCCAGCCTGACGAGCCTCTTCGCTGTTGATCGAAGCCCTAACCTTAAATCCCCCCGACTACCGGGAGAGCGACACTGGTGGCAGCGGCAACAGTCCTGTGCCACCAAGCAACCTGCGTACCGCTCTTCTTGAGTGGGCTTGCGGTCTGACATCTGGAAATCATATCCGCCTCCGCCGTTGTCTCAACATCCTCATTCTGGCCTCCTCACAAGAAATTCCTCAGGCCACTGTGCTTGTGACGGTCTTGCCCTTGCCCGATACCCAGCAAGCCAGCAGCCACCATGCACAGTGTCCAGCGGCATTTTGGCAAGTACATGAAAAGGTCTGCCGATGAACAACAGGTCTCGGTTTTGCTCAAGGACTTTGAAGAGGCGGATAAGTTGTTGACTAAGGTACGTGCCCAACTATCCCGCCAAATGTCCTGCCCTCCACCAACTGACTTCGGTTCAGATCATTGAGGCCTCCAAAGCATGGCGAGAGTCTTGGACCTCCATCCTCACTCACCAACATCGGGTATTCGACGAGTTCAGCCTCCTGTACGCTCCGATTGTGGGTGCCAGCGACGACTACCACGGCCATGTCCCAGTCCAGACGCCCGATCACATTGTCCGCAGGACCGCGAGAATTAAGAGTGAGTACGAGGATTTGAAGAGAGATCTCACCGAGGACCTCGGTCAGGTCGAGGAAAGGCTCATCAGGCCCGCTCAAAATGCAAAGGACAGCTTGCACACCATGAAGAAGACGATCAAAAAGCGCGAGGATCGGAAACTCGATTTTGAACGGTACCAAAACAGGGTCGACTCCTATCTCAAGAAGACCAAGCGGTCGGAACGAGACAATGCGGCCCTCGTCAAGTCCCAGTCCGAGCTGGAAGCAGCCACCGAAGCATACCACGCCGCCGATGACAACTTGAGAGGCTGTCTTCCTCGACTCTTGACGTCGGTTTTCTCGCTGCTTCCCCACTTTCTGGCTGCTCAAATTCAGATCCAAAACAACTTGCTGGGGCATTATTACACCATGCTTCACACTTACTGTACAGAGGAAGGTTTCCCTTCTCCGGCTCCGCCCATGGACGAAGTGATCCGATTGTGGAACGATGCCTTCAAACCCGTGCAACGTGAGGCTGAGTCGTTGGCTATCTTGGCCAATGGAAAAGCAGCGAGGACGTCGATGGAGAACGGTCAGCAACCGGCCAATGGGTATCGCCGTCCAAGTGCCTCAGCCTTCAGTGCTCACCGCCAACAGTCTGTCTCCCCGGCCAGGGCCCTTCCACCTTCCCCGTCATTTGAGCCGAAAGTCAAGCTGTCATCCTCGCCCGCAGCGTCATCTGTGCTGAGTGCAGCCACTCCGCAGGAATTCATAGCCAGCCCATCCCCTTCACAGTCGGTCTATCAGACACCGATGGCCTATTCTCCAGCAGGGCCGAACACAGACTATTTCTCTCGTGATCGACATCCCTCTGGTACGCCGGCCGTGTCTGCTGCGACAGCGGCGTCAATTGCACAGAAGAAACGACCCCCGCCACCTCCGCCGCCGAGGTTACCTTCGCAGCAAACCATTTTTGTAACAGCACTGTACGATTTTGACGGCCAAAGTGAGGGAGACCTGGCATTTCGAGAAGGCGATCGGATTCGAGTCATCAAGAAAACTGAAAGTACCGATGATTGGTGGCAGGGGGAGCTCAGGGGAATGAAAGGACCATTTCCCGCAAATTACTGCCAATGAGTGACCAGCCTAATGGGAACAAGCACGAGGATCTTGATTCAAAAACTGGTTGAGAGGGCTTGGCTTTGATGGACTGTGATGTCTTTTCTTTCTGACGGCATACAAGGGGCGGGATGGAGCTCAAAAGACAGGAAACAAGCCCATAATAATAGCAGCAAGTTGAAACAACATAGAAGTGAGCGAGCGAGCGAGCACACCATGATTTGAACACAGGCAACCTGCACGGCATTGGAGCATAGCAGAAGGCGTGGGATAGGGCGTCGAGATTCCATTTCCAGGCAGAAAAGGTCAAATATACCCAACAATACGGAGTCAAGGATTTGATCGGATGTGCCCAGCATTCCCATTCCCATTCCCATTCCCATTCCCATTCGCCATTTATCGTAGATTCGGTGGATTCATACTAGCTAGTAGACGGACTCCAGGCATGCCACTTCTTCAATTCGGCTTGTGCGGACTCATGCTAATCATGTCATACATAAAAACGGGGCACAGACCGATTGGTCGAATCAAAGCCGCGTCGTGTGCTCAAATATCAAAGAAAACCCTTCGATGGATCTTCTCGAGTCTTATTTCACCTCCACTCATTCAGTCCTCACACTTTCTAGAAAGAAAGAGAGAAAGGAAGGAAGGGAAAACAATGTCGTCGGAGGAGTCCTCAAACCCGACTCGACACAAGCCGGACATCGTGGTCAGAGGGCTCAACTACAAGTTCCCCGATGGAACGGCCGGGCTGCACGACATCAACCTCGAGCTGCCGGCGGGCTCGAGGACGCTGTTGATCGGGGCCAACGGGGCGGGCAAGACGACACTCCTCAGGCTGCTGTCCGGCAAGAAGCTGGCGCCCTCGCGCTCCATCTTCATCGCCGGCGTCGACCCCTTCGCCGCCGGGCTCGAGGGCGTCACCTATCTGGGGCTGGAGTGGGTGCTCAACCCCATTGTGCGCACCGACATTGCCGTGCCCATCCTGCTGGACTCGGTCGGCGGGCTACATTACCCCGAGCGGCGGGATGAGCTGGTGCGGATCCTGGACATCGATCTTCGATGGCGGAGTGAGTTTTCGATCCATGTCTCTCTGTGTTTTCTCTCTCTTTCCCGCCTTCTCTCCCTTCCATCGTCTTCACACAACTATTCCCTATTCCCTGTTCGGTCCAGCGCAGTTCTGACAGAATCTCCTTGGCTCCGGGGGGGGGGTAAAAAGTGCACATGGTCTCGGACGGCGAAAGACGGCGGGTGCAGCTGGCCATGGGCCTGATCCGACCCTGGGACGTGCTCCTGTTGGACGAAATCACGGTAGATTTGGATTTGCTGAGCCGGAGCAACTTCCTGAGCTGGCTGAGAGGCGAGACGGAGCGGCGGGGGGCCACGATCGTTTACGCGACGCACATCCTCGACAACCTGGTCGGCTGGCCCACGCACCTCGTGCACATGCACATGGGTCGCGTCAAGGAGTGGGGGCCCATGGCCAAGTACCACGCCGAGTTCGACCGTTACGACAACAGCGGCAATAGCAAGCTCGGCGAGTTGGTGCTCAAGTGGCTCAAGGACGACCTGGCGGAGCGCGGGCCCAGATACCACGGCGGCCAGGCCAAGACGTACGAGAGCTACGACGGCAAGGGAGGGTACGGGGCCGAGAAACCGCTGGCGGCTGATGAGAAAGAAAAGGAGCGCGAAGCGAAAGATGACTGGGGGTGGAAATAAGGCAACAGACGCTTTACACCGTGAAGGTGAAAGTGGAGGTGAAAGTGGAGGATCTGCTTTCTGTCCTCTCTCGAGCTATCTCTCGCCCACCACTGCCTGAGGCTGTTTTTGGAGCGTACCCCGTACTTGTACATACATACAAGCTCTGATGCCCCCCGTCTGTTCTTCAACAAAATCACTGAGCGCATCATCTCGCATTTGCCAGGCGCTTGAGGAGAGGAGACATCCGGGAGATGGGTGGCGGCAGCGGAGCCGTTTTTGGTCTTAACACCATATGTATCTGAGGAATAGAAGTGAGATGGTTTTTTGGTTTCGTACCTCTGGTATCTGTCCTCGTTCCCGGCCAGAAAAGGTGTCGAGATGATAGGAATGGCAACAACAAATGGTAGCCGTGTCGTCGCGGTGTGCCTTTTCCAAGCTTATTCCTTCTCCCCTTCTGACTGTGGCCAGCCGCCATCCGGCCTGCACTGCCTTGCCGAGGAAGGCATATCCTTCCGGTAGCTGGCTCGGAGTCAGAATCAATCATACCAGGAAGAAGTGGGCTCCTTTGATACCCCTGGTACCTCCCCAGTCCCGGGGAGGGTCATGTCGCGGATTGGGGGGTTTGAACTGCTGCATTGTCCTACAGAGGTTGAGGTTAACTAGGTCTATGCATTGAAAAGAAGAGGTTGGGCATGTCTTCCTGGCAGGCCAGCGACCGCCGCAGGGGAGCATGGGGGGACAAATTCTGGCCACACATTCCATCCCTACAAGGACGTTTGGAGACTGTGTTCGCCACGCAAAGTGCTTGCACAGTCCGGTCACGTGCCATCGCGTTTCATTCGTGTTGAAGGGGCCTCCAACTGCGACGCGTCGAGCGTGTCGGGCTTCCGACAGCTTCATCTAGGCCTGATGCGGACAACCCGTTGTGCAGTCCCATCTCCTCCAAGGACGACTGGACAGTGATGCAGCACAGAGAAATGAGGGCGAAATCACATTCCCCGTGCGGACTGGGGACTCAGCAGCCTCACTCTTCGAAGGAGAGTCCCCTAGCCGTCATGTTCGAGGGATAAAAGCAGCTCTGATTTCTGCTCTCAGGATGCTCTTCTCGATTTTCGCTCCTCAACCTGACCAACTCGATCGTCGTGTAGACTCGGATTGATTCGATTCTTTTTTGAATGAATAGCCTCACGGCCGGCACTCACTCATTCTCGACGTGTTTCAGAATCCAATCCCATTTCCGGATAACGCTCCTGCTTTTTGTGGGCATTCTTTCGTTTATTCTCAAAATGTCGGTCCTTTTCCTATGGACCTTCTTCTCGGTCCTTGCAACTGCAATGGTTCGTCCGTAACCCGAGTTCGATGCTTTCCTTCTGACAGGGACTTCAGGATCCATCAATTGAGAGGAGAGACGACCCTGTCTGCGGGCGAAGGCCCGCCGAAAATAAAGTCTCTGATGGGCTTCACCACTGGCACGCGGTGGTGTTGCCATTGGGCTTCTGCTGGCGTCAATTGCCTGGTTAACAACCAAGCACACCCATCATTCTGACGGCCAACACACTGCCAGCCGAGCGGGCGCCCATCAGACTTTGTCATTTTGGGTATCCATGATCTGCTTCCTCAGTTTCATGCCCTCAGCACATGTTGGGGACCTTTGGCAGGGAATGGTGGTCGCGCTGTGCCTGGCAAGTCTTGAGATGTTTTGACAAGCCCAGAACGAATGGTTCGGCATCAGAATGAACCTCGCTCGGCATGCACCTTCCCTAGTGGCATTCCTTATTGTCGTTTTCATCGGACTTCATGGTCCCGGTGCTGATGGCTCCTATATCTCACTGACGGGGATGTGGGGACCACCAGCGTTCTGGTTGAGTCTGTCATTTCTACCCTCATTGATGAGCGATGATCGAGGCCGTATGCCCACCTCTGGGACAGCACATACGCTGTAACAGAAGCACCAAACCAGCAACATATTCACCCTTCCTTCATTTTGGGAGTTGTTTTGAGAACGATCTCGGAGACGCTACTCCCCTTTTACCCTCATTCTCGGCTGCATCTGGTCCTAACTCGGCCTCCTGGCGTTATCGGATCGAAACGCAGAGACAGCAGGTTCCTATCGACATCCGGACACATTTGTTCAAATGTATGTGGACATAAGATCTGTACAACACATAATGTGCAAAAGGAACCAGGCGGTATAGCGCTCAACACGAATCATATGGAGGGATTTGGGTTGATTAGTGCGAGTTGGACAAGCGAAGTCATAAAAGTTGATAATAGACCAGGTGCCAGGATATACCTTCTCGCTCTGTATTGCTTCGCTGGAGGATGTATAGTACGCCCGGAAATCGGAAAAAAAAAAAGATTCAGCATGTCGGCTAGCAGGGGTCTCATGGTTAATGCCACAGTATCTTGACCATTTCTTCTCTGGCCGGCCAGCCACATTGAGTAGTGGGGGGCCGACCGACCTCGCATCTGAGTCTGGCTGCTCTTCTGCTGGTAGAATCTAGCCTCCGGCTACACCCGGATCTCAATCACGCTGTCTTGGAGGGAAGGATGCCCTCTGTTTTCAAAGTCCTCCTTCACCACACATACCAGGGGGCACCAAGGAAATGAACTCTCTGGAGGAGCCCAGTTGAGAATTTCGACTCCCGTCACGTCATTGATTTGTCGATTTCTGCCCAGTTTATCCTCAGTATCCGCACTGTTCCGTCAGCCGAGGCCACTGCTAATTGGCCTTGTTCTTTGTGATCACGTCCGTCATCGTTGGTGGTTGGTCGCCAGGCGAGCCGATTGACGGTCTTCGAGGGACAGAGGTGTCTGGGGACCTCAATAGTCCGCAATATCTTGAGGTCGCTGTTTACGTCGATAGTATGCAGCGAGATGCTGCCGTCGTCCTCGCCCACGGCGAGCACGCCACTCATCTTGCAGGAGGTGGAAGAGACAGCCGTAACCGGGGATTTTCGCGCGATCGAGAATCGCATTGCGAAGGTGTTCTCATTCTCGCTGTTGTCGGGATCCCGTGACCATATCTTGATAAGCTTGTCCCTGCCAGCGGTGGCGAAGCTCGGATTCGCGTTGGTAGTACTCGTGAGCCACGTGGCGTCGAGAATCATCCTCGTGTGCGCCTTTGCATTCAAGGCGACGCGGATCCAGCTCTTGGGACTGTCGCTTGATCTCTTAAACACTGCCCACTGCCGATCTCGTCCTACACTCAGTAGGTATCCCGCATTCTGTGAGGAGAACGCAAGTCTCGTGACGGTCAGAGAATGCGCCGACAGAGGCGGTTTGATCTCGTTCCAGTCCTTGGTGTCGTACAGGCGGATCACCGCGTGGTCGAGGGAACTCGCCTTGCATGCTGTGGCGAGGACACTGCCGTCCGGGGCCGTCGCTACCTCGGAGATTTCCGAACCGTGGCCGTATAGTTTCTCGTGCTCGGGCCATAGAGTGTGGCGCGCTAGCAGGTCCTCCGTCGGTGGTTCTTGGATGTTAAGCAGTGAAAGCCCGAGTCTGGTTGAAATAGGGGTCGAACTAAGGGCCTCATTCGCAGTACCGTCTCCAGTCTCCTCACTATTCTCCATGGCCTTGTTCGACAGGCCCAGCACAGGGATGGCAGCGGTGTCGGGCATGTGCGCTAATTCCGGAGGCGATGGAATCTCGCACAGTCGATGGAGCATGTTCGCGATATCCTTTGGTTCGTTGAACACGCGCAACAGCTTCTCGTCTGCCCCCGAGGAGAACTGATACGGCGTCGTGCTCGCGATGCAATTGAGGTCGTATCCGTGAATCTGAGGCCGCGAGAACTCATGCCAGCTCCGCTGCTGACCTCTTTTCCATTCTGCATGAAGCCTGGTCGTCTGATCGGAACTTGTGGAGAGAAGGTAGCTCCCGTCCGGGGTCCAACAGATGCCGTTGACGGAGTTGGTGTGGCCGCTGATGCCAAATCTCTGTGTCCAAAACTGTGAGGCCTCGTCATACTGCCACAGTCGCCAGCTGCCCGTGCGGCCGAGACAAGTGACGGTCTTGCCGTCAGGACCCCATAATCCTGTCCAGAACCCTCCCGCTGAACCTGTCGCAGTGGTGGCCCCTTTTGCTCCACTGATCTCTCCCAAGCGAGACATACTGATCCATATTCCCGACGACGGGTCCGGTTTCCATATCGAAAGAGAACCGTCGGCTGAGGCGGTGAGGAGTTGTGAGCTAGTGGGACTCCACGCCGCCGAATAGATCCAATCTTCGTGGCCGACAAGGAGTGCCTCGAATGTAATAGAGTATTTGTACTCCCCGGCCGACACGGTCTGGACCTTTGCTGATAGGGTTCGGCTTACGGCAGATACTGCGTCCAGCTCGGCGTGTTGCTGTGTGGGTTTGCTGTCACTCGGTTGAAAGCGCCAGATCCGGACATACTTGTCCTGGCTCGCAGAAGCTAGCAGGGCACCTCCGTCTGGAAATTGTGCAAGTGCCAGAGATCGCACCCATGCTTCGTGTCCAGTGAGAGTGACGCAATGATGGAACACTGGGGCCGATAATAGACCCTCGATGGCGCACACTTGGATATCATTCCGAGTGCCTCCGGCGACCAAGTAAGCATGGTCAGGAGGAGATGGAGATGGAAAGGGGCTGACAGCTAGAGCCAGCGGAATGAATCTGGGTTTGAGGGCGAGTGTAGCCAAGGCTCGGATTTCTGTTTCACAGACTTTCCAAAGTTTCACATTCGCGTCGGCTCCTCCGGTCACCAGGATGTTGCTCTGACTTAAACAGGTGATGGCGTTGACAGCGCCCTCATGGGCCATTGTCTTAACTAGGCATACCCAGTGCAGGTTTGGAGCGTCTTGTCTCCATACCGCGATCTCTCCATTTGCACTGGCCGAGGCCAACAGCTCAGTAGATCCATTCTGGGCTGTGCTCAGAAATTTCACACTTGTCACTTTCCCAGTGTGTCCAGAGAGCAAGGCGGATATGCCGTGTCCCGAGTCATTCCCCGGCGACCATACCCCCACATTTTGATCGGCGCCAAAGGCGAGGATGCCTGACGTTCTTGACCAGTCGGCTGCTGCGCTGTGTCTGTTTCCGCCGACGCTGAGGTACTCGTCTTGAACGAGAGGAGGAGACATTGATCGAGAAGACCGGAGCGGAATGAGGCAGAAATTGAGGTTGATCAATATGGAAAAACGACGCCAAGGGGTTGAAAATTCCCGGCAGGCTCAGCCTTGTTTAGGTAAAAGAGCGACGCCGCCCTACCCAGTATGCCCTTGGGACATGGGCCTCAGACGGCAGAGAGAAACGTGCGACTCATAGGGAACCCATCTGGTTGCCGCGGGACGCGGACATGGCTACGACTATTGAGAGGGAGTTCAAGGCGTAATTAGAAAAATACATGGCATCCCGTGTGCGAAAGGGCATGGACAACAGTAGCTCTATAGACGATCGTCTCGAGGAAATCGTCCTCGCTCAGCCAGGGGGTTTGGTCGTTCAGCGAGACTGCAGAATCCTGGGAGCACAGTACCAAGTATTTGATTAATGCCGGCTAAGTCCTCAAGCTTACCAGCGAGCACTCCAAGGATACCGCACCAGGTCCGTCACACATTGCTCATCTCAGGAGTTGCGTAAAGACCGCAAACTGGACCACTGAAGGCGAGGATCTTGGTTTCGTGTACTCCGCTTTCGAACATAAGAGATTCATCAATGTCGACAATCCTGCCAACACGTTGGACTATATTCCTCTGGGAATATTCGATAGCTTCTTCTTGGCAGGCACGCAAAGACGAGGTAAATCGACACCGAGCTCATGTGGGCGCTGGCCAGCCCGACGCCGCTTTTAAACGCCGCTCACTTCCTGCTCGCCTCGACTCACCCTCCATCACCCTCCTCACCCTTGGCCATCCCTCCCCACCTTTGTTCTCGACGATGGCATTTTCGCTTCTGCGCCAAACCAGGATCCCGCGTGCGCCGGACGGGCTGGGCGATGGCCACAATTCTGTTGGCTTGTTCCCGACCCCGAAAATTCCACTTTGTAGCATCTGCTGCGTACGTGCCTGATTTTGGGCATCCTGGAAGCGGGTCGCCATTCCTCTCCCTTCGACCCCCTCTCCTCATCCCTCTCTGAAGAAAGGTCTTCTCGGTGTATTAGATGGCCCCCCTCCCGGTTCAAGGGCTGCGAAGCCCTCAGGATTGTCCCCTCTTTTCACGGCCCAACGGTACTCTAAATAGCGGCTTACTGGGACTTTCGCCCACGTTCGGGGTTTGGAAAACCAGCTCTCCAAAAACAGATTCCACAAGATTCTTTGTTTCTAGACTGGAGCACCAGTAGGTCCGCACCTTGCCAGATCGCTCTTCCAATATTAGAGAGGAACCACAATGTTAGAAGGGACTTACAATATTGAAGGGGGGGCTAGAATCTTGAAGAGGGGGAGGAGAACGATATCGGATCCCCTCCAATCTTGGGTCAATCACCAGCGGTACGCAATCGCCAGCAGCGTGTAAGACGGGCGATGACATCTTCGAAGAGCTGTCGTAGTAAACCTTGACGTAACTGGCAGCTTCATATTCATGTGGTGTCTGCCTTGGAAAAGCGCCGCAGATTGATGCGGATGTTTTTATCGGACGATCAAGTGAAGTGCGACAGCGCGAAATCTGCTCATACCGAATGCGAAGGATGAAACTGGCTGGAGATAAAGTATGCCACACTTGGTACAGTGATTGATCGCGAGTCTACGACTACAGCAGTACAAAACGCGGATGACGAGACGGTCCAGGGTCGAGCGCGAGCGGCGATAGTTATCCGAGCCTAGGAACTAGTTGGGGCTGTTGATCTTCGACAATTACGATGATCCATAGTTGCCTGGGATACCGTCGTCGACAGGGTACGATATTCGACCATTCTTCCCTCCTTGCTCTCAGAGCCACATTATCATCAACAGTAGGTTCGCGAGGCTGGCTTGCCAAAGGCTGTGGAAAGCATTGAAGAGTGCAGCGACTGTGTGAGGGCGAGACGGCGCGCTGATCTTGTCACAGCGATCAGGCCAATATTTCTCCCAATGTAAAATAGAGAATTTGTAACATATTATTCATTTCTACTAACGAAGTACTGGATGTGATAGGCACCGATCTTGCGAAACACCTGGATAGCTCCCCTTTGGCCTGGCGATGGCAGGCACCTATCTGAGACGGACGGGGCATCACCCGTTACGAAGAGCTCGAGGCATATGAGTCGGCATGGACGGAGCTGGTCGGAGTGGACGCTGAAGAGCTGTCTGAGCATGAAGCATGCACGATGACTTCCACCTGGACGATAACGCTCGAGCAAACAAAAAGACAGGACGCAGACGCCGGGGAGGTGTTGTCATTCTGGGCCTATCTCAGTAACCATGATACACGGTATGAGCTTATCAAATCACGCGCAAATGGGGAGGTGCCATAGATGCGTCGTGTCAAGGAGTGTTAGACTGACTCAATTGTATTGATATTGTGTTCATCGGAACTATTGAGGAAGAGCACAAAAAGGCCGTGTGCCTGTGAGCGTGCCGCAGAAAACCCTACGATTTTATTGGTCAGATCCATTGGCACGTGACTGTCATCTGTCGAAACCTGCCTACCCACAGACGTGGGAAGTGCCTGGCTCCCGCGGGGGTTTTGTGCGGATTCAACGTGCTGCCTCTGCCCGCATTAGCCGGGCTGTTCCGGCCGTGGTTAGGGGCAACCTGAGCCGCACACTTTCTGGGGGGCGGCACCCTGCTCTAGCTGGTGCAGATCTTGTCAGAACAAGCCTCGAGATATTTGATTCTCCATTAGACGCGACTTCTCCTGTCCGAAGTGTTCATGGCATGTGGGAACGCGCCGACCGCCGTGTCTCCTCAGCCATGCGCGCCTGCAGTGGCAACCAGCTCCATGGCCCATTTGTACTCTGCGCTGCGCGCTGCAGTACTTTGGGCTCCTGTCTTCGATGATCTTACCGACTTTCTTCGAGCTCAAAAGCGATAAACCCAGACGCGGAGGGTAGATCGGACGTGGCGTGGTGCCACTTCGAGTGTGAGGTGTCACGAAGATCGCGATGCCTCCGCAGCGTTCCAACCCATTCGGTGTCATTGAAATCGGCTCCCTCGGCTGAAATATGGGTTAAAAGAGTTGGATGATCGAACACAGGATGAAATGATACCCACTGGACCGGTTCTGATTGGAAACGAGAGACATACTATGCGAGATGATGTGCGGTGTTGGTGAGAGGGAGGGGAAAGAGAAATGGAACCCCAAACCCAGGGCGCGGGAAACGTCCTACAACTGGCGTTGGATCTGTTGATTTTGGCATGATCGGAATGGCACTAACAAATGTACTGTACGCTGATCCAGATGCAGGAGAAGGAATTATTGTGCGTGAAGAGAGGTACGGGTAACAGTGATGAGATGCGATCAAGGTGCGAAGGTGTTCACTTGCGGACCGCAGGGAGACTTGGGGACCAGATACCTTCCACCCACTTCGACATCAACCCATCTCAACCCCTACCCCCACTAGACCTCCATTATCGCCATGAGCGAGTATCCTGATTTGGATGAAGTATTTCGTGTTGCAATGGCCATCTCAGCTGCTTCACAAGGTCATTCACAATTGCCAGGTACCGTCACGACCTATGGAGACGGCGACTCACCCTCCCCCCTTCCTGAACCCGTCGTCCCTCGCAGGAGACCGAACGAAACTCCACACGCGCGGAGCCAGCATCCATCTTCACATCCAGAGAAATTGTCATTTTTGGAAGAGAAGGATTAGGACCCACAGAAGACATATGACGAGGACCGTTTCCATTACTTAATCGAGTGGAAGGTGAGATTGAACAACAAGGCGGTCGCTACCCAGTCTGAGCCCGACGTGGCGGTTTCTCTCAGCGGCTACCGGAGGTTGGCCTTGCAAGACCGGCTCAAGCAATTGGTGAACCGAAGGTTCCCTGGAAGCCGACGACTACGGCACGACGACACCAAGGTAGTGGTCTCCGTCATAGAGCGTTCGCAATCAGACTTCACTAGGGGATATGACGGAACTGAGATTGATTGAGTCGCACAGACAAGCAACTGCTCGACCGGAGCCCGTATTTCTAGAAGGGCAAGAGAGTCCAAGTCAAACTCTTCTTCTACTATGTGGAAACTAATTCACAGTCAGCCAGTCAGTCCAAGAGAAGAGTTGGTAAGCGAGGACCGAGATCAGCCAGTAGTTATACGCTGGCGAAACGGGACCGAGAGATCGCCCCCAGAGCAAGAAGAGTCGGGGCGACCGCGCATTTGGTGGCAGGATGTGTACGTACTCATGCGCTGTCCGAACGTCATGAGAGTCGGGTTCGCACTGCTGGATTGACTCCGAGGGGAATCATCACAAGTGGAGAAAGGAATACTTCAAAATCGTTGAAGCACACGTTGCGCAGCACGGAATGCCGACCACGGATAATGACGTGCCCCTCAACCTTCAGCGACAATTGATTGCGGACCGGCAAAAAAAAGTGACCGAAGAGGAAAACAGGCTTCGATCTCTAACCCTGGCATACTCCCCATCAGCATCACTCACGTGTTGCCTAGCCAGTCTCAGGAAATGTCACAGGCCGAAGGTGAGAAACGGTCGCTTGACTCCAGGGCATCATTCGGACGCAGCCAGACTCCAGCCACTGGAATTTCCTGGTCTTCGCGATGATGCTCTGCGAGAATACGCCACCTGGCAGTAGTCGAGGGTCCGGGATCCTTTAGTAAGCCCGCTCCGAAAAAGCTTACGTTGTATCGTTGAAAGAAGGGGGTTTTCCTAGAATCGATCTACGAAGATCCGAATCCCTGGTATATTTACAGATACGTCCGTTTCCTGGCTTTTCAATACTTTTGTTATCTCGACTATAAGTTAGTCCGACCTCGATGCGCTTTCACGTTTCCGCTAGAAGGTGGATTAAGACGCTGTCCGCGAGTCTAGGAAACGTCCCATCCTTCACAGGACCGCGAGCCTCCCAGCTAGACCGATGCTATCGAAGCCGGAGGCTCCTCTGAAAGTCGAGAGGGTGATAACCATGGAGCCGCAAAATTTTGTGACAATATCTAAAAGTGAACATTGCACTCCGCAGTAGCTCGAATCTAGTCCGACACAGGCAGAATAGTCATGAGCACAGAAGCCAGGACATCGAGTAGAACTGGCGCAGATAAATCGAAGGGGAGCGAGCAGGTGGGCAGAGACTTGTGGGGTGCAGGAGTTCACGGGACGTGGTCGGTCAGACTTGCGTAGGTTCGAGTGATTCTTTCCAATGACTGATGAATACCCAGTACACGAGGGTTAGCTTTGTTGAACAGGAAACCGAAGGTGAGAGCGGAAGGGTGACGGCGATAGGATATCTTTGAACATGGACCCAAGTGAAGGCTGCGAGGCGTTTTCGCATCCTGCGCCCAAGGGGACTCGGTAGTATTGCTCGAATAAGCGTAACGAAGGAGCAGCCCCTTACCAATCTAGCGCGAAGCTTCAGTACCTGCGACCCTTCTTCACTTTCGCCATGATGGCATTGATTGATTCTTACAAGGAGATGGGCGAGGCGACGACACTCTTTGGCAGACTTTTTCTTGTTCCCGGCCCTGCATCTCCTTTCTGCATTCTCGACACGGATACCTCGTTTGGGGCCACCTCGAAGCAGACCATGGTTTCGCTGTTGCCCTAACAAGTCTGGACAGTTCCCTTTCCTTTGTACAAGGAAAAGAAAGTTCTCTGGACTTTTGGTCCTTTTATCTTATTGCCTTTGGTCTAATCTGTGCTCTAGCTATCTCGTCCCTTTTCCGTCCCGGCAGTTAAGCTGTCCCTCTCCTTTACTTGGTCAACCTCGTTTTGTACGGGCTGCCCATTAATGTCTGCCCGCGTCCAATACTCTCGCAATCGACCTTGAGCCTGAGGCTGCGAGTTTCGCCATCTTGGCTCGTGCTGCGCTGTCCTCTAGCGCGTCACTCGCTCTTAAGCGCGGTTGCAAGATGCCTCCTTATGGACTCAGACAAATTGGTTGGGCAGATGGCCGAGAGATTGTTATTCGATGAATCAGAGATATTGGAGGCACTGGGCAGAGGTGGGAGATCCTCGATCACTTTGAGAGCCCTGGCAAGAGCTGAGAGAAGGAGTCGGGCGTACAAATACAATGTCGGATGTAGAAAAGGAATACTCTTTGTACAATACTAGGTGTCGTCCCGACATTTTTGTGTCATGCTCAAATGTTTGAGCAAGGGGACGATCTCTGCTGCCGACCGTCACGTCTAACTTCATTCCTATTACGTGGTAGTCCATAAAACCTGCAGGACTTTTAGGAGTAGCACTGACGGTATGTCCATGTCTCGCTCGTTGCAGGACACCAATGGCTCATTTTTGGGCCTCCTATAATGCAGTCAGATTTGCAGTGATACGAACAGCTTGACTGCCGACTAGCTAGATCCCTTAAATCGGAACGAAACGAAAACGTGAAGTCAGCGATGGGGCAGCTACAGCAGCTGGCAGAGCAATAGACACGGATCAGCCCTCATGCCGGCACACTGTCGAATGGCTATCGTCAAGCAAGAGAGGACGGCGATGAGGACGGACCAGGGAAAGCGACCATTGATTCCATGCGTCCGGGCATGATCGCTCCTCCCGTCGTAGGCGGTGTGCGTCCAAGATAGAAAAGCAATGACGAAACATTCTTGGGATTAATCATTACGCCGGTTGATTTGATCGGCACGCAGATTGTCCGATCCACGTCTTCGAAGCTGACGGAAAGTAGCTCAGTTTGGTTTTGGCGTGCCTCAAGCAAGTCAGTGTAGGCGCGTGCTTTCCTAACCCCCATTGCGCTATTCCCATCACGCAAACGAGCCTAGTCGTTCGATCATCGCTCTCGTGAACCGTTTCGAACGATGAAGCCGTGAGTTACGTGCAGGTGTTATAACCGTCCCATGACGAAGTCCGTCCTCCGTAGAAGGGCGTTGGACTGCTGAGCAGCTGTTCACTGAGTGTAGGCATGGCGCAGCTGAGTTTGAATACACATCAGAGTGATGGCCGTGCCGTCCGCGGCCAAGACCTTGCCGTCGTCGGATCCTCTGTCAGGTCGTACGGTAGGGAGTGATCGAACGCTTCAAACTCACCTTAATGGACCAACAGAGGCCCAATAGTATAAAAACAGGGCCAGAGATGGCCGGCAATGAACATCGAGGAAAAAGGCCATGTGGATTGTCTATAGATGTCCTATCTAAGTAGGTTTGAGTAGACAATGATTTTTCCTCGTGGATTTTATTGTTTCAATTTCCCAATGCCGCTCAACTCGACTTGACTGCCCTCCTATTGCGACCGATACCAAACACATTTTAGGGTTTTGTTGCGTCGCCGTGATGGTTCGGGGTGCCGGCGAGATTGCCGTCGTGGTTGCCAGGGTAGTTGGCAACATTCTTGCCGTGGTGGGGAGCGTCGATGCTCGCCTTAGCCTGCATGACGCTGAACATCCTCGTTTGCAATGCCATTAGATGGGATTGTTGCTTCACCATGTAGTCCCAGCTGCGGAACGACATCTCTTCCGGAGTGAGGGCGTGCCTGTCCGACTCTGGTAAAACGTTTGTTCCGCGTCAACATAGTTGCACATACCTCTGCGGTTCAGATCGAGGGGCACTCTCATCATGTGGTGCCGATTTGGGAACGGCGTTCGGATCGTCGACTGTGCAACAGTATCCAGTAGTTAGCATTTCGCCGTCAAGCGGTAGGGATTAACACGGACTCCTTGGGTGCGTACCGCCATGTTGACTCATCGCGTCACCACCAGCGGCTTGTGGAACGTGAGAAACTCCACTGTTGGCCATTTTTCCTTTTTCCGCTCCGATCAATGGAATGAAGGCGAACTTGGGCTTAAATGTTGACGGAATAGATGATATATAGGCAAGAAGAGTGTTGAATAGGAGGAAAGAAGCTCAGTATAGCGAGATGGGTTATTTATAGGGGGGGTTTTCTGTAACGGTCGACGCGCTTCGGCTAGGCTGCCGTCCATCGGGCAACAGGATTTTATGCACCGCCGTCGGCTTTCAACCGACGCTGACGTAATTAAGTCGGGCTACAAATCCTCCTCACTCGAACAATTTCGATCCCGCTAGTGATCTGCTCGACGGAATATAGGATTCTTAACTTGAACATGGCTAGTAGAAACATGATCCCTGAGGGCTCCAGAGAACAGCGGACACCTCATAACTACAGCGGTTTCTTTTTATAATGCCTAATAATTCAACTGAGCTCCTACCCGAAGACCTTCCCCCTGCAAAGCGTTCAGCATCTCCCGGAGCGCGAAGAAACTGCTTCGAGCTGATAGTCGATCCTCCGCTGTCAGGCCGTCGCGCATTTTCTGGCGATTCTGAATTATATTATCCTCACAGTGTTTCAACAAGAACCGTAAGAGCCCCGGCACCTTGTGGAGATCAACTGAATAGTTGTTCTGAAATATGTCGTACGAGATGCTCTCGGCTTGCTCATCTGCCCGGAGCTCCTGATCTGATGGCTCATTTTGCCTCGCTTGGGACGCATTTTGGTAACGATTTGTTGCCGCAGGATAGCCAATACCGTTGTCGGGTGGTGAGGATGGGTAACTGATTGCAACACCATTGCCATGAATCAATCTATGCGTATCATCTGTCGTCCTGGGATTTCGTTCTAAGAGAGTGTTTTGTCCGATTGGCCCGAGTTTGTGGGATTCTCCAGCACTCAACCTTTTAGACTGACTCTGTGTTGAGTTCGGGCCAGGAGACTTATCTTCAACCGTAGGGCGTTTATGGTTTGATCTTGCCTCCTTCCCTGCAGGTAGTGCCAGAAATGCATTTTCCGGTACCAGTCTCTTGTAGCTTGTTGCATGTTGGGTAGTGGCGGTTGGTACAGCAGGAGAAACATCGGCCGACATCTCTTCGAAGCCACGTTTTTGTGGGTTGACGGCCGGAGCTGAGTGGGCTCGAGAAGATTGAGCTTGTACAGTGTCCGGAGCATCGGTACGCTTTGCTAGATAAACAACTCGGACACCTGGCTGGTGGAATGGATTAGATGTTGATGTAGGCTGAGCCGAAGATGATGCTACAGTGGGAGGAGTGGTGTCGGCTTCATTGTCATTCAACTCTCGTCGACCTTCTACGGCTCTTTCCGCCGGATTCACGGTCGATGCTCGATCATCCTCCGGATAGTCTACTATGAGTTAGCTGGAAGTTTTGCATCTGCCATTCATGAGCTCACCACCATCATCATCCTCCCCGGGAGGCTCCTCAGAGTCAACAGTCTGTCGGCGATCTCTCTTCATGCGTACATCTAATTGATTTCGACGCTGGCGTTTCAGGATCTCGAATATTTTTGGCTTGATGTCCTTGTCCTTGTCATCGGGATAGACAGGGCCTCGGCCTCTGACGGACCATAGGTCGCTTCCTTTCTTTTCGAGAAAGTCGTCCGCCAACTTTGCGAGTTGTTCATCAGTGGCATCAGCCAAACGGCCGTGCGGGAAAATTGGCGACCAGAAGTCGAAGAGCACCTTGGGAAGTACTTTCGTGTCGGTGAACCCCAACATCTGTGAGAGATTGGAGATGTTCGGCCCGCGGCCTCGCTCCAGTGTCCGACGCGGTCGAGGCATTTCCAGAACGAAACAACGACGGATGAAATACACTTCACAGTTTCAGATTAGAAACCGTGTTGATGAGAAGAAATGGGTTGAGTGTCGGTAGCTTTTGGAGAGACCGATCAGTATTTGCCAACGGGAATTTGAAAATTGCTTCAGACACCAGCAGGCAACGGCTTCGGAAGTTCTGCGGCAGTTTCGGGGCTGACGAGCAGGGGCAATGCTGTCAACTAAATACCCTGGAACAACGGCGCAACGGGGTCCCACACACACAGGGTTGACACGGGCTTGGCGCCGACTCAGCCTTGGAACGGACAGTCTAAAGTGTGCATGTGACCGCGTCGGTAAGGAATCCATAGTCGGGAATTGCCACCCGACAAAAACCCAACAAACGCCAACTCTCGAGCTCACTTGCTCACTTGCTCTCGCAGAAAGTGTCTAGCGAAATCCAAAAGACCATCTTAGGTGAAGCCAACCCACTGAACGGATGTAAAAGTTTTGGTTCTATCAGCAGAGTAGAACAGGGACAAATCGCACCATCCGTCAATTGCCGACAATACCACGGCGGGAAACTCCGTCACTTCGCGGCGACGGCTGATTGACGGACACTTCACCATTATAATCAAAGGACCGAGCACGGCAGAGTCAAAAGCAAAGAGAGCAACGTGGAAGGACGGGGGCGTCATTGCTATGATCCACCCCGATTCCGCTCACCGTGGACTAATCATGGGTGGCACTGACGTCGTTTTAGTACCACCAATGTTCTAGATTGATCGATCGGAGGCAGTTTTGGACGGATTTTCCCGCAAGGCGATTACTACTTTTGGCGCCCCGGTACCGACCAAGCTGCCGGTCAATTCAGGCTGATGCTGACACGGACGGTGGATATTTCAGAGTTCGACATAAATAAGATCTCTGAAATCTCGGCTGAAAGAGCCTTTGAGATCGTTGGGAAGCATAATTATAATGATTTGTGCAAGAAGGTCTGCTTCTGGAGCCGGTTGACGCATCGTGGACGACTCTCTCCAGTTTCAAACAGAGGCCGGCCCATAGTCAGAGCATCTCGACATCCTCCTGTGCCGACCCAAGGGGATTGCTCCAAGAATTGGCTGGACGGAGACAATCGACCCAAGAGGTAGAGGGTGAGCTCGGTGTTAACTTACCTTGTCTTGGCCGCGGGAATGATGGATTGCCAGGCGCATTCCACGTGATATGCAATCTCACCTTCCACAACGACTGGGAGGTGTTGACTGACGACGAAATATACGGCGACCCCGACGTCTTGATACTCTGTGAGAGCGGGCCGCCATTTACCGTGGCGCAAGTTGAAGGCTGAGGTCCTGATCTGCTAGATTCCTCGTGGGACAAAGTACGAGAGGAGAACAAACAGATCCGATTGACGGTGCTCTCAGATCGTATACCCCAGATTATGGAAACAGACTGGAAATACGACGGCGGCGGCGAGAGATTATTCGGTCTATTTCGAGACCTGAAAGGACAGCTGGGGTGAAAGAAAAGCAGCATTTTGGGCCTCTTCAACCCCATATTTCGCGACCCTATGTCAACATGCAGGGTTCCTCGTGGCATTCATGACAACCATTACTGGCCTTCCGCACCCCATCATGTCGCAAACGGTGTAAATCGACGATATGTTCGGTGTCATTCGAATAAAGGCCGAAAGCCTCGGGGGTTTACCACTGGGGTCTTGCCAGCCTTCTCTAGACCAACATTTACCAGCAACGACACGTCAAACTTGCGATTCATGAGTCGCGATATCTGCTCTCGCGAAGGCTTGATCCTTACACTTGATTTTGGTCGATATTGAGACAGAGCTTCGTGGTAGGCTGCCAAGTTGAAAAAGGACGTCTAATGCCCGCCGGCCATTTTGATGACATTGACTTCTATACGGAGTATTGGCTTATTTTGCAGACGCACATATGAAATAGACTTCTGGGATATAGGGGGTGCCCAAGCTCGGTAGCTTAAGAGAGAAGCTTTCTGATCCGGTTTCTGGCGTCTAGAGCCTCGACAAATTCCGCCAAACTTTCAATGTCGAACGCCGTCGTTGTCTTGCTACCCCTCGAGAACAAAACTCATATATCTATTCAGCACTCGTTCAAGGGAACTGCAAATGCATCAATGTTCCCCGTGGAAAGCACGTTTCCGGGATGGAATATATTCACAACCAACAAGGCGAAGAACATTGGCGCGGCGTCAAAGACAGACACGCACCACTCGTGGTTGTTAATGTATGTGTTCAAGCTACTGCCTGAACCGGAAGCGAACTCGACGATGCGGTACACGATGCAGTACTGTGCGGCAGTCTTAGTCGTCGACTCGAACATGTCAAAGAATCATGATGACACATACAGTGATTTAACAGCAATGAGATCTGCACAGCGTGGATTCGTGTTTTGGCGGCCTTGGAAATCCGGCAACGAGGCATGACCCAGTCAATCTTCTGCGTCGTCTGGACGGTCAAGGCAAAGAAGAAGACAATCAATGCTTGCTGGAATACCACGCCAAATGTCACGATGTGGACCCCTGTCTTGGCCGTGTTCGGTGTGCTGCTCAGAGTCAAGAGACCGCCGCCGATCTAGACGACGAATGATCTGAAGACAAAATGTCAGCCGGGGGCTGTTCTCATTGCCTTTGCAATATGGAGGTTCCCAAACATTATGTCACGGCAGACAAAGATCTTTCCCATGACGTTGCCTCCCAAGCCAAAGACCTTGGTCTTCTGCAGGAAACATCTGACCAGTCGAGAGATAACCATGTAATCAAAGGCGTTGACAAAGATCGGTGCCAGGAGAACCAGCAGGAACGGCGCATCATATGGTTCCTTGTCGGTAGGGATTCTAGCCGACTGGAATCGGAAAGCAAAGGAAGCCGTCTCCATAATCACACCGATGATGACGACCAGACAGAAGAGTTGTCGGTGGCGGAAGGCTTGGTATATGTGTGCGACCGTCGTGGCAAGGAAGAGGGCGGTAAAAATCAGCGCCGCGGCGACAGAGGGGCAGTATGGCCAAAGGTTCGAAGGGTCGTTCAGAGCTAAAGGAGTTTCATTGGTTCAGTCAAGCGTGCAAGATCGGTTGCGCGCTGATCACCACTTACGGAGACATTTGGAGGACACCATCTCGAAAGGGCCTGGTACACTGCAGAGAGTCTGGGAGGCTGGCAGGTGTGGGAGTCAGGTAGGTAGGCGTTTATTGATATGGCTGTTGTTCAGATCAAAGTTCATGATTCCCAGCATCGGTGAGGTTCTCTTATATGGAGGAGCTGGTTTCCATTTCTTCTTCTGAAACACGGCCACGGCCACAACTAGGCCATTGGAAGGAAGCGGCGTCAGCCTCTTGTCTGCCCTATCAACCAATGAACGAGTGGATAAGTGAGTGAGTGAGTGAGTGAGTGAGTGAGTGAGTGACAACCGATAAAGGCTGAGCAACCAAACCTCGACCCCGTCAGAGAATATGCCCACGCGAACGCCCAGGTAGGTCCAGGTCCATCATGCCACAGCAGGCGCACAGCAACAACATAGGTAGGCTGGTAGGCTGTGCGACAACAAAAAGCAGAAAGGGAGGAAGAAGCCAGCCTGTTGAGGAATCCCCCCTGAGATCAGCCTGTCTCGGATTTTGCATGTTTAGACGGTCAAGACAAAGGGGGGTGCGGGTAATAAATGGGGGAAGGAGGAATTGTCGAGTTCGAGTAATGATCATAATAATAATATCCATTCGAGATGCATTCCTCTTTTGGGTAGCTGCTGGCTGGCTGGGTCCGCAAAGGGCCTTTTTTTCCCATCCGGAAGCGGTTCATTTTGCGATAGGGATCCTCATCCGGTTCGGTACGCAAAGGGGTCTGTGGGTGCCCTCCGGTCGTCGTAGCAGTGCTGTATTCCGCATGTACCTTTTTGAGGGCCGTCAATGCCTAGTATGTACCTAGTTCATATCACATCGAAATACTTCTGTAGATCGATAGCGTCTTGGTTCTCTGGCGCGCTCTTGCATCATTCTCAAGGCTCTGAAGCATGAGATCAATTGAAATCTTTCTTTCCTGCGGTAGACGATGATGTCCCCCGGTTCTCTCCGTCGGCGCGTGTTGACACAAGTATCTGGTCCTTGACGGGGCGCTTCTTTGAGAGAAGGAAAGCTCCCACCGTAATGCCTTTCAAAAAAGATGGAGTCGAATTCAAGCAAGCTCACAAAGGTTGAGGAAGGAATTCTGATCAGCTTTTGTTTCCTTCCGGTTTTATGTTATTGTAGGTTTCATTGACCGACGACCATTATTGACCATTATTGACCATTATTGACCATTATTGACCATTATTGGAAGAGGGCTTCAGGAACTACATACCGTGGACGCGCATCTGCGTCTTCGTTCTCCCCCTTCTGGTCTTTTGCCAGGATAGTCGAGAATCCCCCTAAAGAGCTGAGGTTGGCCGCAAAGAGATTGCCTCCTCTGCGATATTTGAACGGGTCGTTTTGTTGGTGATCCAAAGACCGCCTCCATCCGAAGCGGTCCCAAAATGCCAGTGCTTCAGATCACCAGTTTTGACCTCCACAGACCGGGGCCTCTGAGACTCTCTCACAGCCTGCGCCATCCACTCGAAGTTCCCGATCGGCGTGTTGTCTTCGATCCACCTCGCATCGTCTGGACTCGTTCGACCGCTCAATATCCTCAATCTCATTGCCATTCCAAGCCAGAAGAAAAATAGGAAACCCAAGAGAAGGAGGGTCAAGCCAGAGAGCATGATGAGCTCCCATAAAATGTGTGTGCGTTGGGTGATGCACCCTTGTGTATCTTCCGACTGGCTGGTGTCCAGTAGGTAGTTGCCCCCTCCTGCAACCATGGTCATTGAGTTGAGAATTTGTTCCAATATACCTCCAGTACTGTTGGATGCAGGTGTGCCTGTGCCCTCGTATACGGCGCCTTGAAAGACTTCAGCCCAGTTTTGGAGAGTTTCGAGTGAGTGTATTCCCTTTTGCACGGCTTGAAGCTCTCCGTATGTGTCGTTAAGACTGCATTCGTAATTTTCCATGTGCTTCGTCTCGTTTCCAAATGCAGTGGTGTCGACAGAGAATCGCACGTCGAAGACCGTGTCAACATTCTGCCCAGCGGACGTATCGATGATCACGAGATGTGATATGTTGCCGATCGCGGCGGAGATGGCGTACGGAGTGTCATAGAGAACACCATGTTGCTGTAGACTGGCTACTATATCGTCGACTGATACATCCCATGGGTAATCTAGTTCAAGGGGATTTCTGAGACAGTGCCACTCGCCAAGCATGTCAGCAGCATCAGCGCTGAAGTCGATGGCACGGTTTGCCTTTTTGTATACTCCCTTCAAGCCATAGTTGAGCAAACTTGTCGTTTGCGCCTGTGAGACGACCGTGTATGGCGCTCCATTCCAGGGGATCTGTCCATTGAGCGTCGTTGAGACGACCAGACCGGTCCCGAATTTGCAACGGTCATGAACAGGTACCGACTGGAGGAGGGCTGATGTAAAATCCGAGCCTAGGTTCAGGAGATAGGCAAAGATCATAAGCAAGCTGAGCCACCCTCCCGGCAGTGTCTTCACCATCTGCAAAGCGTACAAGGAGTCGAAGCTGGCCAGCCAAGAAGTCATGTACGGCAGTGGAACAGTGTGTCCTTGGACAAGCCTGAGTTTTGCGCGCCCAGCGAGACATTTGGTTCCCAAAAGGTTAATGAGGATGAAAGCAGCAACAAAGAAGATCCGAAAGAATAGTCGAACATCGGAGGCAGAATAATCGAGAAGAATTCTTGCCATCTGAACTGTGAGACCATGCGTAAACAGCCACGGGAAGGCTGATTGAAAAAGATTCAGTCAGGACGAAGGCAGGTGCACGGCATTTTCTAGAGAGTCGGCACGACTTCCAGGAGGCTCTGCGGACATAAATCAGGATGGGGTGGATAAATCTCTCACCATCGTGGAATCTCCAGGATGCACCAAAAGTCCATCCCGTGTCTGGAACCAGTGTGGCTGCCTGAAGTGTTGGTTCTGGCATCTTATTTTAAGCGAGAATCGCCCGATTTGGCGAGTCGCGTGGTGTTCGGTTGAGCTAATTAGTGAATAGTGACTTACCATTAGTACAAATCCGGTCGAAGCTTGCAGGCAATCACCTCTAGTCGCCCACGCCGCATGTCTCACTGTGGAAGGCTTGCGAAAAGCTTGCGTGGACAAGAGGTCCAGATGCGTATCCACAACCAATATTGTTTTGGGCTTTTGTGCTCGCTTGGGACAAAAGTGCCGAGGGGGGGCATAAATGTTGAGGGCCTCCCTCTATCGTGGCTCAGCCTGATCTTAGATGCGATCGTCCTGTTGCCTTGATTTCCTTGCAAACCTAACCATGACTCTTGCTCTCTTGTCGAGTGTTCTTTTGAGCGGGCTCGTGAGATCTGCTGCAGCCGACACGAATGTTTTCCGTGCAAGACAGGAGGCACAGACCACGTCGGATCTCTCCTATTCGGCCTTGTATACATCCTGCACCAACTATGCAGCCACATGCCCTCCCATTCTGAGCTGTAAGCGCCTTCCCGATGTGTTCCTTTTCGAAAACCTCTCTCGGACGCTGACTGTGGGATAGCTTGCGTCGACAATTTCTGTACTTCCTGTGCTTCTTTGGGGGGCAGCCAATTCATCTCGTGTTGCGGCCAAACCACAGCAGCCAATTGCTTTTCATCCTTGTTGCTTGCTACCACGACCACGGATGAGACCACTTCTTCAGGAGCTGGGACCGCGTCAATCACAGGCGCGGCGTCAATGCCCACGGACTCGTACTCGGCCAGTTGTCTCAATGCCTTTTCAATGATCAGCTCGTGTGCTGCCGAAACTTCAGGATTCACCACGCTGGATGATGGCGGTCAAGCCAGTTGCCTGTGTTACTCGGGCGCAACTTATGACCCAGGGCCGTTCGACCAGCTGCAGAGTGCGTGTATTCCTTGGGCATCCACTGCTGATCCAGGCGGTGTTTCAGTGTATCAAGCCGCTGCGGGGCTCTGTACCCGGGTTGGGAATGTGAGGAACGCAACGGCAACAATCAGCATCACGGAGCCGCCAGCCCCAGCCCCAACCACATCAATTCCTGTGGCCACTCATACGCTGCCTTCGGTTACCACAAGTGCTCCATCGACCTCAATCCCGGCTGCAAGCGGTGCTTCCTCTAGACAAAATGTGAGTACTGTTTGGGAGAGACCAACCGTCCGCTAACTGAGCTAACAGGTTCGGACCGGCTGGCTCTTGCTTCAATTACTCTGGTTCTTCTGAAGCCCTTCTAAGCCTGCGGCTGCTTCGACTTAGGTGGATGAACTGATTGTGGGATTGGGTTGGAAGAGTGGGCTGAACCGAATGGTTACACACCCGCGGCAAGCTGATACGCAATCGTGTGACGAATTGAACCCTCACTTGGTGAACGTCCTGCCTAAAGATGTAATATTTCAAAGTAGCCCGTTGGAACAAAACCTGAGATAAACAGAATGGATTGATGACCCATTCTCGTTGATCAGTCAAATGAGCCTCGACCTTTTGACTTTGGAAGAGAGACAAGCGAGTATTAAGAGCGTGGTAAAACCAAAAGTAACACCGATGGCAGCGACACTCACGTGACATCACGTGACATGATGACTAAGATTACCGAAAATATATCTCCCGCGATCTCGAAGTGGAGGCGAGGAGGCCAGAGAGGGGTGAAAACATGGTACGGAGCAAATCTCATCCCCAGCTACTCTGATTAAGACTTGGGGATCTTGAATACCACGGCGTGGGCCAATCTCCGCAACATGTCCGGCAAGATCGATGTCACGGTTGAGTTCACGTGGGTTTGACCCCCTTCGTGCCTACGGATTGCTTTGACTGATGAAACACAAGTGGTGGCTTAGAAATACTCTTTGACAATGTTTCGAAGCACTCATTGTCGCTTGCCAATGACGCCGACGAGGGAAAGCCTCCCACCGTTAGGTACCTGGTCAAGTACCTCTGCAGCCATCTGATGAAAGATTCGAGAAAAGAGTTGTTTGTGCTCGACGGCAATGTGTAAGTAAAGACCGGACGTGTTCGTTCGGCCACAGTACTAACGCTGCGGCTGGAAGTCGACCAGGCATTCTGGTCTTGATCAACGACTCCGATTGGGAGCTCGAGGGCGAAGACAAATACGAACTCGTCAATAAAGATACTATTCTATTCGTGTCTACTCTCCACGGCGGCTGAGCATGGATAGAGCCAGGACCGGATACCACTGCCGACAATGTTGAATCTACATGTGACAGTCGGATAGACACCCTACATTGAATGATATGACCGCGAACCTTTCGAGGCTCCCATGCGACGTTGCCTCATTGCCACACCCGCCGACCATATCACACCACGTCGTGCATCCTCACCGACAGATTCTCAGAGTCTTCTGGGGTCTTGTATCCAGAACCTGGCTCCGGCGTGCTTCTCCCGGTTCTGGGGCTGGCGAGGCCACTACCCAGGCCAGGCACAGGAGTTGCAAATCCGCTGGGCGGAGCGGCCGCCTTGATTCCCTCTGGTGAGGCGGGGATGATCTCTGGAGGGAGGTTTGGAATCTTTATCCGCTTCGCCTCATTGTTGTAACTGGCGGGAATGATCTGGACTGGTGTCAGTGTCGGTTTGCGATTGACGACTTTTGGGAATTACCTCGATTATCTCGTCTCGTGGGAACGATAGGAAGGGTATGTCGGCAGCATTGCAGGCCATTAGGTACCCGTACAGCACACGGAGGACGCTCTCGTGGGCAATGATGAGAAGATCATTCTGTTCCCTTTCCAATTCGAGAATGATGGGCTCCAATCGAACTGCAACATCATGATAGGACTGCCATTGTCAGCGCCAGTAAACAGCATCTAGATGAAATTGTCCTCACCTCTGCTCTGGGGAAGCGGTGGTGGTATGGATCAAGGTCATGCTTCACCACCTCCTCGGGATATTCCTGTCGAATTCTGCGCTCCGATTTCTTTTCACACACGCCGGGATTGAGCTGACTCATCTGAGATCTCTGCCTCACTTTGAAACCTCTGGCTTCTAAGAATGCCGCAGTTTCTACAGTCCTCCGTCTCGTTGATGTCCATACGATGAGTGGTTTCAGCGGAGTGTCAATCCCTCCCTTTTCGATCAGAGCCCGTCTCTCTTCCTCTCGATGCTTGAGCAATGTCTCACTCATCTTCTTTGCATAGTCCTTGCCTTGAGGAGACAGACGTGCATCGGCCTTGAAGGACTCCTCTTCCAAAGTCGTGCCCGCACGAGCAAAATAAGTATGCCGAGATTTGATGTGTAGATTTAACAGATAGAACACAATCCGGTGCGACAGATAACCGAAGCTCGTGTTGTTGACCACTAGTCTCTCTCCTGCATTGATCATCTTGATCCAGTCGAGGTCTGGCTCCTCCATTGTCTCGAAGTGCGGGATTTTGGCAGTTACTCTGTTCAGGTAATGCTTTACTGCATCTGTCTCGGGCCATCCAATGTAGTCGGGCGAGGAGATTTTGACGCTGCGGACATTCTCCTCGATTATCCGCTGATCATCACAACTTGATTCGATAAACAGACACTTGATGTCGTGCTTCGCGAATTCCTTGGCCAGTGACCTTCGACCGGCAGACAGAGGGTTGACTGCATCGTAGATTGCAATTTGGCCGTTCTCATGGTTGAGGAAGTTGTAAATATCCTCTCTGCACTTCTTGAGGATCTTCTGTCGTAGCAGTACCGACGACGCCGAGGCGTTGACGAAGAAATAATCATCAGGGACATCCTTCCCTGGACCTACGATAGCTCTGCGATAGTCACCAAGGTGAAAAATCCTGGTTTTAACCCCGAGCCATCGTAGATACCGAGCCAACGCCACCGAGATGTGGGTCTTGCCGCGAGCAGGTAGTCCTACTGTGGTAATGGCAATCCGACCAGCATGGAACAGTCGTCCTGACTCAGTACTGTAGAGCTGAGCTGGTGCCATCTCGGTTTTCTCCGGGAGGTCATGGATTGCGTCGATAAAGGTGCTCGACTTCCGTCGGTAGCGAGGCGAATTGACCGCCGACTCGGCGGTTAGCAGAGTATCCATGGTGAACGATGAGCTTTGCGAAGGAGGTCTAAGAGAAATGGTAATTGCCAACCAGGCTCAGGCGTATTAATGCTGACCAGACGATTATGGAGTCTCAACTGCTCGTCCGCACGGGCCTACGGAACTCGTTGATTTTGCTCAATGTTCGGTTCCAGCTCGGTCCCGTTTGTTGGCAAGCTGTTAGCGGGAAGCGCGATATCTTTCTTCCTGTATCTATACACCCACAACAGACATTAGCTGGATATCGTCATAAGTATCGAGACTCGATCTAACAAGCTCTTTATGAAGGATGAATGACTGTCGAGGCACCGGGGCAACCGAAGCAAGTCGTGCGGGTCATTTGATAAGGCAAAAAGTATGGACAGCATGAAGACCGCCGAGGTACTGGGTAGTTGCCGCCTGGTCTCGAATTTCCACTCTCTTCCTCCCATTGGCCATGGTCTAGCGTGTGAGTTCAAAGCGGCGATCAATCTGCCAATTGGTCCCATTTGCATGCTTGGCACGGGCTGCCCGCGGACGACTTGCCTTCTACGGAGTTACAGGCTCATTTCTTCATGGATTTCCCTGCGCCTGCAAAAAGTCAAGCTCCAACAGACAGCAAATCATTGCGGTCACGGGAGCATCTTTCAGCTCATCAATTCTCTTCCTTTTCTTCCTTCCCGATTTTGATCGATCCCTCAATCCTTCCACGGCCGAGAGTCCCCTTCTCAGACGGTTGGTAGCACTTGCAGAAGTGCTGCACTCCCAGCCTCAAACATGTCGGTCGCGGTCGAGGAGAAGTCATCATCGACGTCTACATGGTCCTTCTTAACAGACAATGCCATCGCCGCAACCATCGCAGACTCTTACTCTAATCTTTCGGCGAAAAGGAAGCTCTTAGGCCTCGAGAATCCCGGAACGGTCGATAATATCGCGCGCGAAGTTCAGAAGGATGTTCTCCTGTCGAATTTCATGTTCTCCGGCTTGCGCTGCGACTTACAGAAGGTCTTCAGCATAAATCCTCTATTTCGCCTACAACATGGCTTCGCAATGGGTTCCCAAGCTCTACCGCCGTGGCAACTAATGGCCTTGTATGGCACTTCTGATGTACGTGTCCCTTTCTTTCGATTTCGCGATGAGGAGCACCTAATCCGACTGACCGTTATGATAGATTTTCATGCAAGCCGCCTACTCGAGCGACCGATCTTTGACGGCCTGGGGAAACCTCAGATGGACTCCACGATTCGTGACCAAGACGCAGACCTCGATTGACCCACGACAGACCCAGACCATGGTGCAAATCGAGAACGAATACACGGGTGATGATTTTTCGGCATCGATCAAGGCCCTCAGCCCATCTGTCATGGAAGGTGGCCTCACCGGCATCTTCATCGGAAGTTACCTGCAATCAATTACACCAAAGCTGGCATTGGGTCTTGAGGGTGTGTGGCAGCGACCCGCATTGAACAGCAAACCGGAGACTGCGTTGTCGTACTGTGCGAGATACAAGAGTACAGACTGGATTGCCAGTGCACAATGGCTGAGCCAAGGCTCATTGGGAGTTACATACTGGAGACGATTGACCGACAAGGTCGAGGCCGGCGTTGATTGTCAACTGCAATTTGCTCCCGGCATGGGTGCCAGCATGTTTGGAGGCGTTCGACGAGAAGGCACTACAACTGTTGGTCTCAAATACAGCTTTACCAACTCGGTCTACCGTGCGCAAGTCGACAGCACTGGAAAATTTGGCGTTGTGCTAGAGAGGCGGGTTGCACCTCCGGTGACATTGACTTTCGCCGCCGAGATCGATCAGTGGAAGGTAAGTTTTGATTGATCTCTGATCAAATTATTCCCCATGTCATGCCGGACAGTAACTGAGTTCCATGCAGAACACCCACAAGCTTGGCGTCGCTGTCTCACTCGAAGGTGCTCCGGAAGAATTGCAGGAAATCATGGAACGTCCAGAGAATCAGAGCGCCATTCCGCCGCCTATTTAGTGAGCTTTGCGGCATAGCTTCAACACGCTCTTCGAAAATGTTTTACTACCTCTCCTCTTCACTCTCAAGCCAGTACCTTCGACAAGATTTGACGCCTCAGGGGTTTCATACATTGGTGCAGTGAGCAGATCATGAAGACATGGCAAAGACCCACCCTCATTCATGCCAGACCTGTTCACGACTGGCGACTCTGCCAGTTTTGGAATCTTTCCTCCCGTTCAAGGCGACATCAAAGGAGGAGTGTTGAAATAGCTCACTTGTCTCTGTGTATCTGTATGTATGGGCAGAAAGATCATGCCGAAGTTGGGTGAGCGAAACGTGTTTGGTCTGGGATGGCCACCCTCGCAAGATGAGACTCGACCACGAAATCTAACAATACTGCATCATAGAAAAAAGAAGGCCTGTATCAATAAAACCAGCTGCTGGAGTTTTGTGACTGCTTTTGGACAGAACCTCTTCGCCAGTGACCAAACATCTTCTGTTGTGCATGTTGGTACAGACAGTGATTAAGTGAATGCTTTTGCCCGCTGAATTCGATAAGTGTGCTCGTTTGTGAACTCCATGATTTCCCTTAACGATGCATTACGTTTCGGTTTCTACCATAGAAGTGATTTTGAGCCAGATGATTTCTGACAATAGCACAGCCTCTCCTTACGGTCCGTAGTTGGGTCGTGCTTTCGGATGTTCTTGCCAGCGCCGGCTGATTGTGGCCGCTGCAGGGCCACCGTCGCTATTGAGAAGAGAAGAAGAAGCTGAGGCAAGAGGACCTGGGCCATTCTCGATTCAACTGCCACCGATTCGACTTCTCCCTTAGATCGAGCGCAGAGGCACCGGCACCAGTGTCCCTGAGCACGACAGCAGCGGGAAAACAGTGGTGTGAATGATACAGACCACCTTTCTCATCGACGGCAGACACTACAGCCTAGCGACGCAGTCGTCAGTGCGAAGAATGATCGGGGAGCCTGGTAAATCGAATTCCGTCACGTCTTGATGCGGGACATTTTCGTGGCCGAGCTACAAGTACTTGTAAATAGGACACGAAGCCCCGGATGCCTTCCGATCTAGACTCATGCCAATAATACATTCATGGGGATTTGGATTATTTGGATGAGGTGGAAGAACGAGTGGGCCACCCACATAGATGCCTCGAGTCGTCATTCTTTTCCGGAGTTCAACTCCACTGGCTGCTGGTTGGCGTAGCCGGAGCGAAAAGGCGAATGACGGATGCATCAAGTGCAGACGGGGTTGCATGCATGGCTGGCCAGAGGGCAGGGCGACATCTGACACTCATCCACAATTGGGCTCTTGCATAGAGCGCTAAACAGGACAGAATGGTTGCTGGTTCCCACTGGTCTCGAAGACGCCTCCTTGCTTCAGTAGCCCCCTTTTGCCCCCTTCAACAAATTCTGCTGCAGCTTATGTTCGACTTGAATGGATGGGCCGGGCTGTGGGTGATGCATCGTGAAGATTGAGGGTCTTGTGTTCTCTGGCCAGTATAACTATGGTTGGCGGATCTGGATCAAGCGCCGGGAGCAAATACGAGATGTTCCTTGGTGAGTTTTGTATCCTATTGCACGAGATATCAGATCCTGGTTTGCAGGATCATTTGTTCAGCGGACAATTGATGTTCGACAGCCTTGTGGGAAAGACCAAGTACCCTGTCTATTGGCGGTCCAGTCAGGCTGAGAAGGAGTCGAGTCAACTTTGGCTTAGACGGACTGATCCTGCGAAAGTCGAACTGTCGAACCCACACAAGATGTCGATACGACCTCATGTGTGGCCAAAACAAGTTACGAAGAATATGCACGGGTGAAAATGAGGCGAGATGACAGCTGGGGGCATGCACGGCGCATGTGGTGACCGAAACGAACTTAGAATTTGACTCCCCAAAGCTGGCAAGCAGGCGAGCAGGTTACTGGACCCCTGTTCAGCCTTCCCCTTGGAATGTAATTGAAGTCGAAAGCGGAAAGTCTGGCTGATGGTGTAACACAGCATGCGAGTACTCGTAGCTAGCTACGGAGTAGAGGTAAGGTAATTTTGTTCATGCACATCATCTTTGGGTAGGTGGACGCGGGAGGTAAAAGAGTTGGTGCCCTCTACCGACCATGATTAGTCTATCCGGATCCCAGATCGACAAGAGGGATCATGTGTGCAACTCGGTCTTTCCAGTCTCGCAATAGGAAATAGGGGCAATACTGGATGGCAACGCGGCTGTGCACGTAAATGGATAGATTTTCGATGGAAGGCCTTGGTCAGCCTACGAGGTAGTTTGAGCCCAGCCGCTGTACTTGTATTTGGTTCGCATCGAAAGTTTTCTGACCTCGCACTGTCTCGTGCTTTCATCGTTTCGGATGCTGATCTTGCCCTTGATGCCTGTTGGTGTGTTGAAAATTGGCCACTCTCGGACAGGTCATGTTGGTGGTGGCAAGGCTCGGACCTGAGCGTGCTGATATTGTTTAATCTCACCAGACAATTGCTCGCCTGCAGCAACCACGACGTTCCCGTTGGATGGGTCGTGGTGCCTTGAGCTCCAATTTGGCGGCAGTTACTCGAATTCACGTCCGCTAAGGACCGGATTGTTTTGAATTCTAGGAACTAGTACAAAGCATACCTAAAGGGACGTATCCCTCCTCCAGAGTCAGGGATGGTCATGGCTCCTGTCTCCGTACCTTACAAGTACTTGCATACGTGACAGCTATGGTCGAGTCTCGCTTGCGAGCTGAAGCGCAGTTCAGTAGTCAAGGCCCTTTTTTTTTAGAGTTCCGGAATGCTCTAAGCGTATGCTGGATGACGTTTTGGCATGTGTGGGCGCCGCAAATTAGTCCTTGGCCTGGGATCAACCATGCTACCCAGTACTGTACATGGGACAGGTTTGTCGAGCGCGAGCCGTTGCACCCCTGCCCACCGCGAGACTGGTAGATTGCTTGCCCCGTGCGATGCCTGCCACCATTTCGATCATCATGACCAGTGCCACTCAAGCTTCTCTGTGGTGAACTGGAGGTGGTCAATCGGCAGGATCTAGCAGCACAGGGCAACAAGAGCCGTGACCTTGATCGTGTATTTGGACGCAGGGCCTGGTCGCCCCGAACTTGCATGAAGAATATGTCGTGTCACTCTGATGAGAAGAGATTCCGGGAAGCACACAGGCGCCGGCGAGGGCGGGTGGTGAGACCACAAGTCAGAGATCAACAAGCGAGAACGGTGATTCATTGGCCGTCCCGCCGGGGAGTTGATCAGAGACCACACAGCTTGTAGGAGCACGTGGAGGGGGGGCGTCTTTTGTCCAACCTCCCTGTTTGAGGAAGGAGATGGGGAGCCCTTGGCAACAAAATAAATATCACAGTCAAGCACAGTCCAGGGAAGCCTTCAAAAGAAGTGGTATAAGTTGAGATCTGGCTGGTGGATTCTGCCGTGAGGTCTAGGGCCTGGTGGCTTGCTGCAATAATAATACTCGGAGCTTAGCTGGAGGGGCAAGTTGACGGCAAGCCGGGGGGGGAGTCGAGTGGATCTGGATCCTTTGCGGGCGAGCCTAACAGGCGATTTGTGCAAGGTGAATGGGCCCCCAGTTAGCATGCAGAGTTAATGGAGATGGAGCTCCAGCGCAATGGAGACATGATGCAGTATAGCCGGCGGCAGGGCCTTTCACAAGGCATCATCTGACCTGCAACCTCTTCTTTCTTCATGGCTTTATTGAATGTCAATGGCCTTTTCTGGGTTTTGATGCCCGCTCTGGGTCTCGCCTATTCCGTCCCAACCTCAGTGTGTCTTTGCTGCTCTTGATCCCACTGGCCGTGCCATTGTCCAGGGGAGTTTCGAGACCCGTCCAAAGTCGACCCCTTGCCCCGGGTGCCGAACCAGCGGCCAAGGAAAAGGTGGAAAGAGGCGAGGGATCTCGTGGTCAGCATCATCGGACATGTGACGGAAAAAGTTCTTTGCGGACGGTGGTGACATGAATGACATGGAGATTGCTCTTTGGATCTGATTATCTGAAACGAGGTGAAGCAGGCAGGGGCAGGATGACAGTGCTCACATACCAAGGTGATCAACTCTTGACAGCGCAGTCAAAGGCGTGAGTGCATGGGTTGAATGAGTGAGTGCAAGGTGAGTCGTGAGTGAATGGAGGGATGGAGGTGGATGGCAGGATGAATAATTGGCCCCCTCTGTTTCCCTGCTCGCCTGCCCCTCGCCGCCCTCGCCGCCCTTCGCCCTCTGCAGTCTGCAGGCTCTGCTGCTCGTGGTGCTTTTAGGGGTCCTGGGTTCTGGCGCTGCGCCTGCATCTGAACTCACGCGGCACCTACGCCTTAAGTTAGATGCGCTAAGCTCGCCCAAGTAATAATGCAAAGTGCTACGGCAACCTGACCTGTGAACCGCTGGTGAACTTGAACCTAACCAGTTAACAGATTCTTATTATTATTCCTGGTTCTCCTGCGCTGCACTTTCCTCCTCCTCGACCTCATTTCTGGCTGACCCGAACGTGAAGTCGCCGCTGCAAAACTGCAAAAGTTCCCTTTGCCTGGCCTCCATCTCCATCTCAATCTCGACCTCTTCTTCGCCTCTGCTTCCTCTTTCCCCGTCTTCCCCTAGACTCATCCATTTGGCCCTTTCAACCATCCTATTTTCCTCACCAACACGCCCTATTTTCTCATCCTTAACTCGCCTGCTGTACACTCCCACCTCGACACGAGTGTTTCCTCCTTTCTCTCCCTATCCCACGGTACTTGTCCCTCCCTCTTCGTCCACTGATCTACTGGCCTAATCAACGCCTCCAGCAACCCCAGTTTCATCATAGCGGCGCAAGTTTCCACACCTCATTTCGAAAGCCTCACCAACTACGCAAAGTGGGGAAATTAGCGCTTCGTCCGCCAAACCCAGCCCAACCCTCCTCCCTCCTCCTCCTCACCTGCATCGCATACCTATCCCTCGTCTTCGTCCCCTCGACCATCTCTCCTCTCGAGTCTCGATATCGGCTGTCCTCGTGGTCGTTGCCATTTTGACGCCCTTCGAACTCAAGGCGTTGTCCGACGTTCCTTTTGCTCTCATTCTCTTGCATTACACCTCTCCCTCCTCGCGCCTGTCGTGGAACAGTGTTGCTGTCCTCCCCTTCCAACGACACCGTCGCCAAAGTGGATTCCAGATACCCTTAATCCTCGACTATGTCACAAAACAGGCCCGGTGGAGTGTTCTCTGGCTTGCGCATGGGTGGTACGTTTCCTTGTGCTACTTGACACAATCACGAGAGTAGCAGCCTTCGCAGAGCACGTGCGCTGACACATTTTTTCAGAGGTGGTGCGTGAAAAGGTGCAGGATGGCCTCACCGGAGAAACAAGAGAGATGCAATATACCCAGTGCAAGATTGTCGGCAACGGTTCCTTCGGTGTGGTCTTCCAGACAAAGTTGTCGCCCAGCGGAGAGGATGCTGCGATCAAGCGGGTGCTTCAAGACAAGCGGTTCAAGGTAACATCCCTACTCCATTTTGCGGTCCCTTCTCTCCCCAGCAAGCACTGACTGTCGCCAGAATCGCGAGCTGCAGATCATGCGGATTGTCCGACACCCCAACATTGTCGAATTGAAGGCGTTTTACTACTCGAACGGTGAACGGGTATGGGACACTCACAGCCCTCCACTTGGCCCTTGATCGTAATCCTAACCAAAGCTGTGGTAATAGAAAGACGAAGTCTACCTCAACTTAGTCCTCGAGTACGTCCCCGAGACCGTGTATAGAGCCTCTCGATACTTCAACAAGATGAAGACTACGATGCCCATCTTGGAGGTCAAACTCTACATCTACCAGCTATTCCGCTCGCTGGCATACATCCACTCTCAAGGCATATGTCACCGGGACATCAAGCCACAAAACTTGTTACTCGATCCAGCCACCGGAGTGCTGAAGCTGTGCGATTTTGGGAGTGCAAAGATCTTGGTGGAAAACGAGCCAAATGTCTCGTATATTTGCTCTCGATATTACCGCGCCCCCGAGCTGATCTTCGGCGCCACGAATTACACAACCAAGATTGGTATGTACACATTGGCGGTAGCTGTGCCTTTGCATACCTCGCGTACTGATCAGAAGTAGATGTCTGGTCCACCGGTTGCGTCATGGCAGAGTTGATGTTGGGTCAACCCCTCTTTCCTGGCGAGTCGGGCATCGACCAACTTGTTGAGATCATCAAGGTCCTCGGCACGCCCACCAGAGATCAAATCCGCACCATGAATCCAAATTACATGGAGCACAAGTTCCCTCAGATCAAGCCTCATCCCTTCAACAAAGTCTTCCGGAAAGCATCTCCCGATGCGATTGACCTAATTTCGGCGCTTTTGGAATACACGCCAACTCAGCGATTGTCCGCCATCGATGCGATGTGCCAGCCGTTCTTTGACGAATTGAGAGACCCGAACACTCGTCTCCCCGACTCACGCCATGCCGGTGGTGCTTCGCGCGAGCTTCCACCCCTCTTTGATTTCTCTCGACACGGTTCGTACCCGACCAATGTCTTTTCACTTTGCCTGGTTACACGAGACTAACTGACGCAACAGAGTTGTCGATTGCACCTCACCTCAACAGCAAGCTTGTCCCACCGCATGCGCGAACACTTCTAGCATCCCGAGGGATTGACTTGGATAACTTCACCCCAATGACAAAAGAAGAGATGATGGCACGACTTGATTGATTTGAGGCGCTGCCCCCAACTTGTAACGACGTGACGCTGAGGAGGATTTTGTGCGTTGATATGTCCATCATTGCATACATGTTTCGTTTGGCGTCCGCGCCAACATGCGCCGAGAGACTCCTACAGGTAGCATTCCAGTCATCATGTGTCTACATGGATATCTTAGCGTGGGAGCAAAGATATCGGTCACGAAAAGGCAACGGCTTTTTGCATGCAGGTCAGCAAAATGGGCTGGGCTGGCGGTTCGCTGGTTGACGACCCTGAAAAAAGGGATGAGGATGAGCTGAGCGTTTTACAAAAATTGGACCTCTTTGTGGCCTGGCAGGGAAAGTGTGCTCTGGCCATAGGGTCCATCATGTCTGAGCTTATGAAACGAACTGGGCGGGTTGAAACTGAAGGGGCTGGGAGGCTCACACGACTTTGGCAGCTGGCTATTGTGCTCAGAATATGCGTGCAAGCTGTGCCTCTATTGCTACTGCGTCCGCGTACACCACCACAAGGAAGAGGAGGCAATGCCTTCTAGACAATTTGGACCACAGAAACTCGAGGGCTGGGTTTGGTCCTCACCTCAGTCTGTAATTGTTTCCAAAAGATAGAAATTGTGCTCTACCCATTAACTCTATATACCCAATACCCTTTTAACATTTCCCGCTTTTCCCAGCATTCACATGAAAGTTAGACAGCCCATGCGGGTGCGGAGAAGTCGCCAAGCCTTCGATGGTCTAGCTGCGCGACCGAATCCAAGTTTCACATCATCTCCAACGCGTCTCCTATGACTTCTCTGCGGTCCGTCTCCGTGTAATCACAAACATCATCAACCTTGCAATCCCCTTCACGACCTGTTCAGTGTGCAGTCAACGCCCTTCATGGCAGATTATGACCGGCGACGGAGAGGCGGTGGTGGTGGAGGTGGAGGAGGTCATTTCACCAACCGCAAAAGAAGATACAGAGGTAGGTATCCTTTCAGCCCGCTCCACAACCATTCTAGTCTGACGATTCGTAGAGGATGACTACGAAGATCGCCGACCGCAGCGCCGTCGTTATGAGGAGCCGCTGGCCCTGACTCTACGCAAACAAGTTCTCTCCATCGCAGAAAGTGTACGCCGTGGGTGCAGCTGATTTGATCAATTACCGGGCTGACGCAGTGTTAGCCTGTGCGAAGAGCAGAAGATGAAGTCGCAACTATCGCAAAGACTCTGGCCGAGAACTATTTTGACACCGATCTCACCTCGGGATTCCTAGATCTCGTTGTGCAGCTGTAAGAGCGGCTCCAGCCTGTTCTCGTTTACAGTCCATCTAACGAGTACAGCCCCGTCGAACAACCCCTCAAGATCCCCTTTGTTGCGGCTATTCTGCTTCTGGCAAATGTCCAGAAGCCTGAATTTACATCTGAAGTCTTGGTCAAAGTCGGAGAAGCTCTCCAAAAGCAATTGGACGTTGGGGCGTGGCGAGAAGTCAAACTATACTTGCGCCTTCTGGGTTGTCTTCAGGGCATGTTTGAGGGCGATGGGATTTTTCCACTGCTCGAAGAACTCTTCTCGCGCGCGGCTGACTTGCAAATGAAGTCGTCCGAAGACGTAAGTTCCCGTGTGAAGCTCAATCTGAATTCCGCACTAATTCTGCCACAGTCTCTGGGCCTCGAGCTCGTCAAAGTCATCTTGATGACGCTTCCTTACGCTATGGCATCCTCGGCAACCGGCTTTGAGACTCAGGCTATTGCCCTGTTGGACAAGACGGACATCATTGCCTCTACAGCACATCCTCTGGAGTCGTTGGTCGATCCATTTCCGAGCCGCGAAGTCGGCGCATCTACCGGGTCAGAGAGCGCACTTGCACTTCTCCAAAGACACATGCAAGAGGAGTCGAAAAATTCTTGGGAGTTGGCCTGCCTACCTCGCCCATGGAAAGGAAATCGCTCATCTGAAGAAGGGGATCCATTGGATGGGGCACAAAAGCATCAGTTCCCTAAAGTGACCGTTCCGGAGACCGTTAAGACTGGTCCGCGGCCACTGTTCCCCGAGATCTACTTCTCCGTCTATCGCGAACAAGAAATTGAGACGGTCCCTCCGGTCTCGGATCCCGCTGCTTTACTAGTTCGAGATGCCTTGTCTGATACCATCAACGTGCTCGATTTCAATCGAGCGGTAGCCGCCAAATTTCTCATCGACGTCGATTGTTACTTTGCCCCAGGTACTTTTGTGAAGAGAGCCACACCATTTGACAAGTTGCGGGAGGTCGCTGGGGACAAAGCAACCTGGAAACCAGAGGATGTTGTTGTTGATGCGGCATTTTCTCAGCTGCTGCAGTTGCCTGCTCCCGAGCATAAGTTGGTGTACTATCATTCGGTGCTGACTGAAGCGTGCAAGCTAGCTCCTGCAGCTGTTGCGCCTAGCCTGGGCCGAGCAATTCGATTCCTGTACAGGAACGTGGATAAGATGGATTTGGAACTTTCTCAGCGCTTCTTGGACTGGTTTGCCCATCATCTCAGCAATTTTGGATTTACATGGAAGTGGACTGAATGGTACGTCGTTCCTCCTACCACGGCCGGAAATTTCCTAACTCTATAGGGTCGATGATGTCAATCTGCCTGACGTACACCCAAGAAAGGCATTTATTATTGATGCCTTGGACAAAGAGATCCGACTGAGCTTTTCCAAACGGATCAAGGGCACCTTGCCCGAACCCTATCAAGCCCTCATCTCCGAAGCGAAAGAAAAGGAAGTACCAGATTTCAAGTACAATAACGACTCCACGCCGTTTGCCGCCGAAGGAAAAGAAGTTGCCCAGATGGTCCGGCGGAAGGCAACTAGCGAGGAATTTGCTCCCATTTTGGAAAAGATCGAGCAAGAAGTTGCAGCTTCAGGATTGCCCGACCCTTCTCTTGCATCAACAGATGTCTTTGTCACTTCGATGTGCTGGACGGGATCAAAATCGTTGTCTCACGCGTTGGCCTGCATTGAACGGTGCAAGGAACGTCTCTTGGCGATAAGCGCTTCTAGTCCCGCATGCAGAAAACAAATAATCACCTCCGTGGTGGACTACTGGCGTGATCAACGTGGCGTCGGAGTTGTCCTCGTCGACAAGCTACTCAACTACCAAATTCTGACCCCTGACAGCGTTGTTGAATGGGCGCTCATCGATCATGTCTCGCGCGGCACGCTCCTTGCCACGACTTGGTGCTACGAACTCATCAGCAACACAACTCGCAAAGTTGCAGGGCGAGTTCGAAGCATCGTTGGTGCAATTCGCTCGCCTGGTCTCTCGGAAGAACAGAGGCTAGAACTTCAGCAAACATTAAACCGTGAACTGGAAGGAATGAAGTCCCTTTTTGCCATCATTGAAGATGCGGTTGTGAGCATTAGGGACGGGAATCAAGATGAGATGATGGAGAGCTCTGATGCGTTGCGCGCCGAAGAGGAGGAACTATTGAAGTCGTGGGGAGGACGATGGGCAAGAGTATTTCAACGCAGGTACGCAGTTGAAGAGAGCTGGGTGAGGGAGGAGCTGGTGAAGCCATTGCCGGTGGTGGAAGAGAAGGCTGCGGAGGACGAGGTGATGAAGATGGATGACAGCAAGGGCGGAGTGAATGGTAACGGAGCGGTGGGATTGACCGGCGATAATGGAGAAGAAGCCGATGCCATTGACGGGATTGAATAGTTGTGACACAGAAGGTTTCAAGAGATGCATCTCAGCAAGTGGCAAGTCCCAACAGGTCCTTGGGAATGCAGATTTCTTTCGGCATTTCTCGAGGGCGCGGCATTCTCGTCTCGATATTCAGCAACTCAAGGCATCAAAAGTCGATAGCTGTTGCGGCGCGTGGATAAAGCCGGTAAGCTTGGAAGACATATGTACCACAACTACTCCCATCCCTCGTCTCGAATCGCATCAAGACCTCGCTTCATGGACTCTCGGTGAGAGAGAAGGTGTATGTACACTACGGCTCGTTTCTGGTGAAGCTTACAGCTTATTTTATTTTACAATAACAACTTACGGAGAAATACCATATATACATAATCATCATCGTCCACATTATGTGGGCTTCAATGAACCTTTGCCGCCACCATCACCATCACCAACACCACCGTCAGTAGTGGCGGCGGCAGGCTCGCGGTAACAAATGCCTCATGAGTGCCCATCCTGCCCACATTCTCAACCGAAAGAACAGTGGCGGGTATTTTTTGTTTTTGTTTGTTTGGTTTGTTTGTTTTCGGGGCTTGGATGTGCATAACCAACAGTGTCCCGCAGGACGATGTTGATGTGAAAGAACAATGGTCGATGACCCGGCGATGGGGATGAGGATGCTGACGACGTCGGGACTCGACCAGGGTAGAACAGCGGGTGTAGGGGCACAGCTTCCGCTATGCGCTGAACGCTGAACGCGACCATGGACAGACACCTCGACGAAAAAGAAGGCATTGACATTGCTTTCCATGTGCCATCCGGTCAGCCTGTCAGCCTGTCAGCGGGAAAGTCAGTCTTGGTTCTTCTTGCGACCCTTCGTTCCGCATCTCCTTCCCTCTCCGTGCGTTTCCTCTTCCACAACGCCCACTGCTTTCAAATCTAGGTTCCGCTGCTCTGCTCTAGTCTCGTTCGTGCATTTAAGTTCAACCAATTCGGACTCTAGCTCGAGTCTATTGGCGTCCGCCTGGAAAAGCAGCCAGCCCAGATAGGCGATGCGATTGTCTCTGTAGATGATGGTTTGGGTGATGGCTCTGTCCTCTCGAATACTCTTTGGCATCCCGCCTCATCGCGCTATTGGTGCCTCCTGGACACTCGCGGTTTCCAACAACGTCTGCCGGGCCTCCGACGCTTGCATCCGAAAGTCAGAACGGTGACCACTCCACGAGGGGTTTTCTTCTCCCTGTGTCACATCCGCAGCTTGCTCTGAGGCCGCGGTTGCGGTGCTCGACGCCGCGCCTCCATTGTCCTTCATCTTAAGAGGTCTTAGAAAGGTTTTGGCCCGCAGATCCTGGGTGTTGTCGTCCTCAAAGAATATTGTCAATGTAGGTGCGCGTCTTCGACTTCCTCTTCGTCTCCAGTCCCATTCACGAAGTAGATTAAGAGGAATTTCGAGTGGTGAGGTGCCTCTCATCTTCACTAGAAGCCTGCGACAGGCTGTTGCTGAGTTACCATAGGTAAGCATGTAATGGACATTGGCGGAAAGGAATCATAGAATGCACTTGCCTCCACCTGGAGGTGAGGGGATCACAGCTGTTGCAATAGTCGCCATGGTGTTTGATGTTTTTTCTGGTGTTGTGGTAGAGACTCGGGTGCCAGTTGTCCCTATGCTCAAAGTTAGTGGCTCTCTCTATACCACGACCGATCCTGCTAATAGCGGGCACTCACCGTTGTCGGGCGTTTCTGCCCTTGAAGAGTTCAGGGTCACAGGAATTGGGAGGCTGCTCGTGTCTCTCTCTGATGAAGGCAAAGAGGTAGTAGCTGTTGGCATATTGTGTGAATTGGACGTAAAGAGGCGACTTTCACCTGGTCGTTCTCGGTCGTGCGGTTGTGTATCAACATTCTCGTTTTCAGTATCGGTGTCAGAATCTCCTGCAGGCGACACAGGACTCGACATCTTGACAGTCCAAAGGAGACTGGGAGACGGCTGGTCGAAGACGGGAAACACAATGCTTACAAGTCATCCACGGATTCATGGATGTAGGATTGACATGTCGAGGAGAAAAGAAAAAGAAAAGTACCGCCAAACGTCTTGATTGTGTGTTTTATTGTTTGTCCGCTGCCTTGTAAGCGGCGATGTGTCAACGACATCATACACAGTGATTCAAACGTTCCGAAACGTCATGTCGTACCGCCACGTGAAGGAGGTTGATAGACCTTGCAACAAGACCGTCCTGGGGATTCGGTGCTCATTGCCCAGTGCCTGTTAACCGTATAAGCAGACCCAGGGGCAGAAGAATTAGTGATAGAACCCATAAATAATGTTGAAGTAAATTGTCTGTTGTCGCTTCTGCCAACTCAATCTTTCTGTCGCAAGCTGTGTTTCTCATAGACCGGATCCGGATGCTCACATAAACGGTATGAATCGTAATACGGACTTTCATCTGCCACGGGGGAAGTTCTTCGTCTGCGGTAATGCTGATAATTGCCCCGTATTGGTCACGTTGACTTAAATATCCAATATGGGCGTCTCCAAGGGAGACACTCCAGGAAGGCAAGTGCTTGAGTCTGGAGGACATGAAGTTCACCATACTCAACAGATCCTCATTGTCCTTTGACCTGCAACCTCCAACAAAGCATGGCTTCCCAATCTCCGATGTTGCAATCCTCGTTTCCTGTTCCTGATAATACGGTATGCATCCAACATGTTTGGACATAGGCCAACTCTTTGAAAAGCACTGTTGCAACGCAACTGTCAAATCCCCCAAATGGCTGGCTGCTGACTTATGTGCCAGATGTTGATTGCTTTACCGGCACATTCTACTTCTGGTTCTTGCTGGGCAGCACTGGAACTCAAGAGTCCTGCTCCCCGTTCTCCAATGGTATCATCGGATGCATCTCTCTCTGTGTCCGGAGGCTGTGTTGGCCAGGGTCTTCTAGATTGTACGACAGCGTTTGTAATAGATCCGGTCGACCAGGCGCAATGGCGTCATTGACCACGACAACAACAGTTTCAGGTCAGACCCTCGTTGAAAGCACTCAGGCCCCGCCAGGAGGAGATGCCAGACAGAGGTCTAAGAAAAAGGCGAGATTCGAGAATATGAAGAGGGAGCTAGGCAAGAACCAGGAAGATACGTGACCGTGGTTGTGGAAGATATTATCGCATGGCACTGACTACTCAATCGTGTGATAGCCATGATCCTTGGAGGCACTCGCTGCTGATAATTATCATAGCCCTTGGATTTGTTGTCGCTCTCATTTACGGATACCATATCCAGAAAATCCGCCCGGCGGCATAACCGGTGCAGATGGTATGGTACCAGCTTGTGGACCGGCAAAGCCCGGAGGGGGGGCAAACCCAGCAGGCAAGACATTCGGCTGTGGGAAACCTGCAGGTACTTGATTGAACCCTGGTGGCATGAATCCTTGTGGCCCGCCATATCCCGCCTGGCTTGGAGGTGGTCTCGCCGGAAGACCACTTGGTGGAGCCGTGAGTGGCGCACTGGGTGGAGGAGGTGGTCTTGCTTGTACTGGTGGTGGCACAGCCTGATATTGACCGCCTGGTTGTGCAAAGCCAACAGGAGGTACAGGAGTCTGCGGCACGCCTCCAAATACTGGTCCGCCCATCGGAATTGTAGCAGGAGTGGGTTGAACACCATGAGCCTTTGCTTGAGCTGCAAGCATTCTTTCGGCTTGGTCACCATGCCTTTCGCCTTTGCCGTCCTTTTTATAGGCGTATTGGACTGAGACCTCCTTGTTCATGAGGTATTGACCGTTCATGTTGGCAATGGCATCATCCGAGGATTCAAAGTTGGCAAAGGAGACAAACCCGTAGCCTTTTGATAAGTTGTTTTCATCACGAGCAATCTGACTGGTGTTAATAGAGTTCCAAAGGCAAAAAGAAAGAGGAAATAAAACATACCTTTGGAGCAGCCACCAACGTACCAAACCGTCCGAATGTGTCGTAGAGCATTCTTTCGTCGACCATTGGGTCCAGATTACCAATGAACAACTCTGCACCAACTTCGACAGATTTCTGCTTATCAGCACTAGCTTTGTTGACACGGATAGGCTTGCCGTAAAGCCTGACTTGGTTCATGACCCTGGCCGCATATTCGGCATCTTCTTCTGAGTTGAATTCGACGAAGCCATAGCCTTGATGTGATTGAGTGACCCGATCCTTTGGCAGATGGACATTCACGATGCGACCTGCTTGCAGAAACAACTCCCAGACGAGGGCGTCTGTGACACGCTCATCGAGATTACCGATGTAGATCGTGGAGTCCTTGTCTTGCTCCCAATGTCTTGCGCCAGACATGATGCCGAGGAGTGCTCACAGGGCCTTATGGGTTATATTCAATGCTTCAAGCTTGCCAAAGTCGGCTTGGAGAATGTGAGTGACAGATCTGTAGAATGGTTTGTGTCGTTGATGGCAAAATTGGTTGCAAACGTGCAAGGCTGTTGAAAAGGTGCGCCTTCCCTCTTTGAGACTAGTCCAAGAAAAGATCACGTGCTGCTCATGGGCGTCGTCAAATTGTTCCGCAGCTTCATCTCGCATTTTTGTTTGCGTCAAAGCACAAAGTACAGAGTATCTCACCCAAAGACGAATCTCGCACCTCAAATCAAGCACTCATTCTTACATTCTCTTTCACAGAGCACCATTTTCTATCAATCCAACAAGATGATTCAGTTCTCAGAAGAGACCAAGGTCCGTCAACGCATGAAGAAAAGCAAAGATCATCTTTTTGACTTTACTCTCTCAGGAGCGCATTGGGAAGATTCTCGACATCACCCGTGAAGTCGTCCATTATGGATATCTCCCGTTAATATTGTATCTGGGTATGAGCCAACAGATCAGTGCAACTGGAGTGAAGACTAACTGTCACAGGATATACTCGGAGTGAACCCAAACCTGCGTTGATTAGGTGCAGTATTCCTCGCTGACAGCGACTTTGCCATATGTTGATCGGTTCTAGCTTAATCTCTCCTTTCGCAAACTAAGAGTCCTCTGCAACGCCTTTGTACAACAGATGAATGGCCGCTACATGCAGTTACAAAACACCGAAATAGTCCGCTGCTGCGAGGCGATAGGGGTTCCGGGCAATGCCTGGAGCAGTCCAAGTGAAAAGAGAGCACGACCAGGCTGCCTTCGGGGAGTCTCGTGACATGATGATACAAGAGATGGACCAGGCGGATCGATACTCAATTGCGAGCCTCTTGTCTCGCGCAACCTTGTACAACAGTTCTTGTTGGTGTCTTAGTGACATCTGCTACATATCTCGACTCTACAACCACGGCGAATGTGGCAGGGACGGTTTGACAAAAGACTCAAGCCAACCCCCGAGGTCGACATAGCACATTCCCAGCAGATTATGTGACAGGCTCAAATGGAATCTACCGAGTGGTATTCAGTCCGACTTTGCAACTCTTATTTCCCATTCTAGATTCGCCGATCGGTGATCACTCTTGCCATGTTCCACGTAACAGCATCGCGAACAAGTCGGTGTTGATCCCCTGCGAACCCTTGTGAGCCTTCCTGTCCGTTCCAGAGGCCTATCCGATTTATCACATCCGCGCTCGGGGACAAGAGTCTTCCAAATTCTGATCGTGTGAAACTACCTCTATCCTCTGCGTCAACCAGTTGGACAAGACCCACTGCGCCGGAGCAGAGCCCAGAGTACCGAGTGTATTCTGTACCGAGTAACTGTGCCAGCAGAGTATGACTGGCCCGTGCTCCCGGGAAAATCCATTCGGCCCAACAGTGGAGATGGCCGCCTGCTGAAGCGAAAGGCAGACCGTAGCCTAACCCAGGACCTGCTCGTGTGTTACGATGTAGCACAAATTAACCCCTACTGTTCCTCCTCCGGACTTTCGACCCGGGCCTTTGATAGTTGGAGAGTATGATGGCATCGATGGCTGGCCATGGTGGTTGCGCAGTCTGGTTTCAGAGGGATTTGACGTCCACGTACTGGGTACTCCTCGTACGAATCTGCTTGTACTTAAGTATAACAGTGGAATGCCCACCAGCCCCGTCATCTGAGCGCGAGCCTAGCCTAACCTAGCCTATGAGTCGACCGCCAATCGTGTTAGCAGGGTTCCCTAGTGGCCTGTTTTAGCGGCTGCTTCTACAAGTACTTAGGTAGGTGACCCGTGCTTCCCGCTTATTGCCTGCATGCCCATGCCCATGCCCATGCCCATGCCCATGCCCAGGATGCCTAACAAGTACCCAGTACGAAGTACCCAGTGCTTACTTACCGTGTGCCCCATGCCCACGGCCCTCTTTATTTGGCTTCTCCTCGCGGCGCCATCCACATCTGCCATCCGGGGCCTGGTGCATCATGGTTCGGGCGGCGGCGGATACGAGGTGCCTTGCCCGTACGGAGTACTTGGTCGGTAGACGCTCCAGCCATCCACCCATCAGACATCAGCCATCAGCCATCAGCCCGCAACCCGCAGCCCGCAGCCCGCAGCCCGCAGCCCGCAGCAGAGCTCGCCCCCCATCCTTCTAGTTCGTCGCGCATCGGCCCCATTCTTCTCGTGTCTTGCTTCCCGCAACCGCTGCTCCTCCTGTGTTTGCCCTGCGCACCCTCCACCGCCAACACAACACATTTCTCTCCTTTCCTCTACCCTTCGCGTCCAACACCTCTCGGCCCCCTCCTTTCCCCCTTCACCCTCTTCACTTGCGCACCGACTCTCTCCTTTGCCAAGCTCCATCAGTCGATCGCATCGATATCCAGCACGAACCTGTGCTCCGCCCCTGCCTCGATTGTGCCTTGGGCGGTTGCCCGAGGCTTCTGTGTGAGCTTATCCGCAATTTTTCTACCCTTACCACTAGCGCCTTTTGCGCTTCACCTTCGCCAAATAACAGGTACCTGCGCCCGTGGCAACCCTCATCTCTCTTCTTTCCTCCCTTTACTCACTTCCTGTGCAGTCAACCATCGTCAAATTTCCATTGTTGCACGCCGTCGACAGTATTTGACTGTACATCCATCATGTTCAACGCTACCCAACACCGCGGCAACCCCAACCTGGGGCCTGCTCCTCCCGGCCAGCCCAATCACCGGCTGAACGAGATTATGGATCAACTGCGAGCCGAGTTCGATAACCAGTCCAGGTCGTCAGAGCAATTCGAAAGCCAGGTCGCGCAACAGATTCAAGAGATGGAGTTGATCCGTAACAAGGTCTATCAGCTCGAACAGAATCAACTCAAGATGAAGCAAGACTACGAGGCGGAGATTCGTATGCTGCGACATGAACTGGAGATGCGTGGAGGTCCCCAAGTGCAATCCCATCTGGGTGGCCCTCCTCAACATGCCGGTCCAGCGCAGGCACCTCCGGCTCTTGGACATGGCCAGGGTGGGTTGTTCAGCGGAATTATGGCCAACCAAGGTCAAGGGGGCCCAGGACTGGCTCCTCCGCCTGAGCAACCTCCTCCTCAGCAACACCCTCTGCAGCCTCCTCCCCCAGCCGCACAGCCCCAAGGGCCGCCACAACCACCCAACTCCTTTCCAGGCTATCAGCAGGGCCCTACGTTGAACGGTTATGGACCGCAACCACAGCCTCAGACGAATTCTCCAGGTCTTGGAAAGAATCGGTCCATGACGACCAGAGGTGCGCCCGGACCTGGACCTGCGACTCCCCAGCAACATCCCAACCAACCACAGGCAATGCCCTATCAGAATGATCCGAGAGCATCACCCCAAATCCCTCGGCCGACGCCTCCAGGCACCGACATGCAGCTTGGTCCTCGTCATCAAATGCCGGGCCAAAGCCAGTATCCCAATGTCGGCAATGTTCTTGCGGACCTCAACCCGGACGATCTACCAGATCATCTCAAACGAACTAGCGCCGACGGCGAGTGGCATGCTGTCTTTAATCCAAATGTTCCTCGTGTGCTTGATATTACTCTCTTGCACAATCTTCAGCATACTTCGGTCGTGTGCTGTGTGCGCTTCTCGAGCGATGGCAAGTATGTCGCAACAGGGTGCAACCGCAGTGCTCAGATCTTTGACGCGCGGGATGGCCAAAAGGTGTGTGAACTGCTGGACGAAAATGTCCAGGACAAGGATGGTGACTTGTACATCCGATCCGTCTGCTTCTCTCCCGACGGCAAATTGTTAGCCACAGGCGCCGAAGACAAGAGAATCCGCGTGTGGGACATCGCAAGCAAGCGCATCCGCACCACATTCGACGGACATGAGCAAGACATTTATTCCTTGGACTTCTCGCGGACCGGGCGACTCATCGCTTCAGGCTCGGGCGACAAGACCGTGCGCCTGTGGGATATTGAGTCGAATCAACAAGTCATGGTTCTCTCTATCGAAGACGGAGTGACTACTGTGGCCATGTCTCCCGATGGACGATTTGTTGCGGCGGGTTCGTTGGACAAGAGTGTTCGAGTTTGGGACTGCTCGAGTGGGTATCTGATCGAGCGGTTGGAAGGGCCACAAGGTCATAAAGACAGTGTCTACTCGGTCGCTTTCTCTCCTAGTGGGCGGGAACTTGTCAGCGGTAGTTTGGACAAGACGATCAAGATGTGGGAACTCACACCACAACGAGGACTTATTCCCGCTGCAGCAAAGGACGGCAAATGCATCCGCACCTTTGAGGGACACAAGGTGGGTTTAATTTTCCTCCTTTCTTTGATCTTATTCCATGAGAGACACTAACGTGGTGTGCGCAGGACTATGTGCTCTCAGTCTGCCTCACACCTGGAGGCGAATGGGTCATGTCTGGGTCGAAAGACCGGGGAGTTCAATTCTGGGACCCCAACACCGGTAATGCGCAGATGATGCTTCAAGGTCACAAGAACTCTGTAATCTCTGTGGCACCATGTCCGACAGGCCACCTCTTCGCTACGGGATCAGGAGATATGAAGGCTCGCATTTGGCAGTATACCACGTGGCGGGGAGCCCACCAAGGGCTCTGAGCCCGATGGAACGCGCCAATTGTTCTAGAAGCATAAAGACGGCGACATGGATGGGGTGAGACCAGGACAGGGAAGGTTGGCGGATTACGCAGTTACATGTGTGTTTTTCTGGCTTTGGAGATTTCTGCGCTCCCAAACCCGTTGCTTGCAGTGATTTTGAACAGACAGGCACTCGAAGGGTATCCGGCAATAACGGCAAAGGCATGAGGACTCGAATGCAGGAGCCAGGACATGTGGCTATGGGGCTTTTTCTCCTAGCTTGACGGTCGGCGGGCTCTGGGAATGGCTGGGCTTCTTACGGGCGTGGGAGGCTCGCATTAGTGGATGTTTGGGGGGTGTGTCTGGCGGGTGGTTTGTGTTTGACCTCAATCAGGCGGATCAGGCGAGTTGGGAGTGAGGTTGGTTGGAGCGACCGTCAGCAGTCAATCCTTTTGCTTTTCTTTGGGCTATACTTTTGAACCAAAAATTGCTCACGTTGCGTATTGCTTTGAGGATGTTGGCACCCAAGAATGAAATGGCGGCGCAGGGAAGAAGTGGTTGGAAAGGAGGCATGGTCGTTGCCTTCGCCGTCGTCGTCGAGTTGAGCACTGGGAACACCTCGCCATCGTCTTTCCTCCATCTTTCTTTCCTGGGACCTGGCCGAGCAAGCCAGTCAAAGGCGTGAATCCATTGATGATCAACCAAGAATAGTTTTTTAAGTCAGGGATACAGGGCAGGGTCCAGTCAATGCCATTTGAGAGTTTGCCGTCGTCCAAGTCCGCAGGCGTGGTGGGCAATGGACATGGATTTCTGTGTCGCCGTCCCTGACGTAACATGCAGGGCGAGATTTACAGGTGTCACCGCAGCCATCAAAGTCGCAGTTGCGGTCATGGACAATATGCTTTTTTTTTTTCCCCCCTGACCCGTCACTGTTTCCTGTTAGCTCAGGGCTTCATTAGCTTCTCCGGCAGCAGAGAGCTCGGACGATACCAAGCATCAAGTCCCCAGGTATGCAGTACAGTACCCAGCATCCAGTACCCAGCGAGCCAGCACCTAGTCCCCCAGTCAAAGTGCCTCAGCAGTGAGCACCTTCTCTCACTTCACTTTCACTTTCGGAGGCGGCCGACTGTATCCAGAGCGGGCGTACCCGTTTTCCCCTTTCCTCCTCCTCCATCGTCAATCATTCCCAGACCGACGGGATCAATGTTATCTCTGATCATCACCATCGATCGCTGGCAGCACTGGCGCCGCTGAGACCCGGCTCATTCGTCGCTCCAAGCGTCTGCTACCCTCCGAAACAAGAAGCCACCCTTGCTCACTCCCTACCCATCCATGTGACTGGCTCCCCGTCTCCCTCTCAAAACAGCTTAACCCTCAGTGACTAAATCCAGGATCTGTCTTGATCGGGTCAAGAGGGGGGGAGGTTTTCTTCACTGAAGCATTTGCGTAAAAGACGATTCTGGGGCCAGACGCAGCAGTCTGGTCCACTGGACAGCCAATTTGAGGGGAAGCCGCGTGGGATGGACGGTACAATCCACCACTACGAAGCCCTATGTCTCTTGCTTCTTCTCCTGATCATGTGCCAAAAAACCACGAAACTGCTTGGCCAGGTCCATTGTCCTCGACTGCAGGCCTCCCGCAGGACTCCAATTCCAACTCAGAGAAACGCCCTGCAGCTTGGGGGGGAAAATTTTTTTCATGCTCAGCCCAAGATAACTTGGATGCATGCCAAACAAGAGAGAAAAATCCCGATAGGAAAATCCTCAGTTGCTGCAAGACACCACCAAGGTACCCAGTACTGGGCGCGGGAAAGGTAGCTAACAGTAGCCGAATCTTGTTCCTGGCTCGTCCTTCTTCCCAAACTGGCCCAAGAGCCCATCTAAGCCTCACCGCACCCACCTCCCCAGCAAAGGTCAGGGCTGGTTTGACCTCCAAAGATTCCATGGAAGACGCCGGGAGGAACGAACGCGCAGCATGCAGGACCCAGGGTAAACCGACCACACACAGCACACATCAGCCTGGGCGTTCGCTTATTCGCAGCTTAACGCCACGAGTGTCTAATGCGTGGAGTCTCCTGTACCGGTATAGCCCTCGAGATCCTGGTCGGGCCAGCAGCCCAAATCCCTCCTCCGACTCCACCCAGCAGCTTTTTCCATCCGAACTTTTTCACGGTCTGCGACTGTACCAGCGCCGACCTGGTCACTACGGAAGAACTACTCGACTTAGCGACTTGATGCCCCCAAACTCCTCCTCCTCATGCAGGATCCCGTTCTTTGCTTCTTGCGTCTCTAGTGAGGGCCCCCAAATCGCACGATCGCTGCGGGCTATCGGTCCTGCCCTGCCCTGGTCGTCATTCTCTTCCACCTCCCCCTCCGGCCCACCCTAGGGTAACGACGACATCACCTCAGGCTCGAACTCTCCGCCCCGGCCTGAGTAAGTTTCCTCCCTTGCAGCCCTAATCGCTCTCCTTATGCATCCCCATGTCCACTCGCATCTGCGCTGTCCGAAATCATCTAGAGCCCTCTGACTGGCCTGAGGCCTTTCCTCTCCCTCTACCGGCCACTGAGGTGATCCCGGATCTCGAAAAATTTTTCACCTTGTGTGTCATCTGGCTCGCCCAAAGTGGAAAGCAGAGGCGCCAGAAGGCTTTGTCGCACCCACGCTGGAATTGGCTGAGAGGCAAGGCTGCACCCTTTCGATGCCTTGGCCTCGACGACACCAGATACGTCCGATGGGGACTCCAATCTCTTCCGCTTGCCGCATAATCCCTGACGGCTCATGCTAGCAAGCTTGTCCCATTTGGCAATGCCCACGCCCGATGACTGGTTGTACCAGCACACCATGGAGTTTGGTCGAGGGAAAAGGTATAATACCCAGTTTGATCTCGTCACCCGAACTATACACTGTCTACCCATCCGTAGACCACATTAGACCGGCTTACGTCTCCAAGCTCTAGGCCTGTTCCTTTCTCAAAAGTTGCTTTCTCGAGTGTCCATTGTCTATTCATCCTGGCCATCCTCGAGACCGCCCCGACCGTCTTCCAGCCACTGGTGAATCAACCCCCCACACCTCGCTCTCCCGTACCCGTCCTCGGCGTCTCTTGTTTGAGCAGCTGCCAATCCAGTCTGTGGACCAGTATCCGAGTGCGATGTAGGCGTCTCGTTGGCTCTTCCTTGCTTAAAGTGTTGCTCTATAGCCACGATCCATTTCGAGCGTCGCACCGGAGCCAAACCTTCACGCTGTCCAGAGAACCTTCGGTCGTATTCTTGAACTCTTCCTGATTTACTCCAAAGTAAGATTGCTCCGAGAGGGGATATCTATTGGTGTGCTATACTTTATACTTGACGTTGGCGACGGAATCCTCCCCAATGTGCGACATGGCCTTCAATCCCACCGCCGACCAGATTGAGTGGCATATGCATCAATTGAGGCAGTGGATGGTGCCCACGTCGGTGCCGGCTTCCTCCAAGCCTCCTACGACGACGCAACCGCGAACATTTCCCCAGGAATTCTATTTGCAGAACGTCCCTTCGAATGACATGTACGACTATGACGCCCTCGGTGCCAGTACCCCGGGCTCTGCGCCGCCGACAGCCCTTCCTCGTGCTCATACCTTTGCCAGCTTGTCCGAATATGATTTCTCTCCCATGGACTACTTCACTCCGGGCCAGGGCCCGGCGACGCCAGGGAGTTGGGCAGGAGAAGAGCGGGGCAATTTCGACGATGGACTCTCCATCTACTCGGAGGCGCCGTCGAGCTATCTGTCCTCTGATCTCTCAGAACAGAACCGGCTTGAATCCCTCATCTCGTCGAGCCGCACTACTCCTCCTCTCCTTGCACAATCGTCTGCCCTAGATACTACCTCGGAAGTCGACTCGCTCATGAAGACCTTGCAACCTCCCCAGCCCCATCTACCGGCGAGCAGTTCCAGTGGCAAGCCCAAGAAGCACCTGTGCCCCTACCCAGACTGTTTCAAGTCCTTCTCTCAGCCAACACACCTCAAGATCCACCTTCGTTCCCATACTGGAGAGAAACCTTACACTTGCTCGGTTCCAACGTGCAGGCAGACGTTTTCGCAATTGGGCAACCTTCGAACTCACGAACGACGACACGTTGGCCAACGACCGAACCGAAAGAGATCCTCGTCCGATCCCGGTGCCCGGGCTCGGAAATACGAATGTAAACTTGACGGTTGCAGGGGCGTGGACAGCAACCATGGAGGCAAAGTCTTCACTCAACTGGGAAATCTCAAAGCACACATGAATAAGTTCCACAAAGAGACTTTGGCAAAACTCTCCGAAGAGTTTGCACACAATGAGGCAGACCCTGCAAAGGCTGAGCTTCGTGCCTATTTCCAGGATCTCTACAAGCATAGCAACAAGGGCATAAAAGGAAGGGGCAAAGGCCGGAAAGTCGAGGTCATCGTTACGCCTGATGAACCTTGAAGAGATTTCACCTCTCCACCAAAGGAAAAGCAAACGCCCATTAGGCAAATCCAGCGTGGATATCAACCGCATGTCCGCAAGCTTGAGCCAGCGGACGAGAATGTTCCGCAATTCACCCCGAACTTCGAACAGCTCGAAACGTCGCGAATTGATCTCAAGAGTGAATTTCCCCCCAAACAGTCACTACCGGACGAGGGAGCCCAATCCTGCATTGAACGAGCCCGAAGGAGATCGCAGCTCGCGCGAAAACGAAGAGCAATGGTCGAGCGAGAACTTTTTCGTTCGGCATTGATGGCTTCATTGACCATCACCCACCCAACCAGTCATTTCCGCTTGTTACTTCAATTTCTCAACCTAAGGGGGTATTTTTTTTTTTTAGTGGGGGATGCAAAACAACGAAATTTTGTAAGAGTATCTGGGCGTGCTGGGGAAGCAAACGAGGGCAGGAAAGCGGCTCAGGGTTCATTTCACGCAGAAAAGGTGACGGTAGGATGTTTATTCGTATGTATCGTCTGCTATCTGTCATGGTTTGGTGCCTTTTTGGGGGGGGTTCGCTTTTACCCATTTACATAGCATGCCAAAGCCACGTTGAAAGTTTTCATTCTTAAGGAGGGCCTGTCACTACCGAGATACACCATCTATCAGATACGATTACGACTCAAATGAACGATGATATGACGAACGGAGACGAAGCTTATTAGGGTCAAGATACCGATACCAAAACTCCATATATTATCCCTCTTTTACATTTGTTCTCCCTTTTTCAACTCCTGCTTTGCAAAGTTTCCCAGTTTGGTGCGAGGTTCAGAGACAGACACTTTTCTTTTGGCCTTCGAGAAGGCAATGGGACCACGACGAGGCTGACTTTCCCGACGATCGAGGGGTGGCTTGTGGTATCATGATGCTACCCTGGCGACGTCAACCTGTGGATTTGGGGCTCTTGTGCTTCTGGAAGTTTGCCTTTCCTCCAGCAGCGGATTGAGTTTGGCAATATTGGTCCACACTCTTGAGTCTTGACTTGTTTACCGCCCTCTACTCATCCCCTTTTTCGACACACGCTGTGCCGCCGCTGCTCGCCTTACAGGGAAAGAGGCACGGACCCAAGGAAAAGGAGACGACCATGCACGAGAGATTAGACGCTTCGGACCTGTGGGGTCGCAGAGAGCGGCAAGACATATTACATACTGGAGCCTGGAGGCTTGCTTGGAGGCCTAGAGTGAGAGGAGCGTTACAGCCAGCGAGACGGGCAGGACAGGACAGGAACGCTCGATCCGCTTCGAATCGTACCGTGGCAGGCGACTGAGGAAGGGCGGCCCGACCAGCGTTTCGTCTGTCCTTCTATCCAGAAGAGGAGAAGGAGCCTGGCCTAAAGGGATCAACGATCAATCTCGTCACAACCTGCAAAAAGGCGCCCAAAGCATCCCTTCCCCCAGGAGGCGATTCCCGTTGCATGTGGGCCATGGGGGAAGCGCACCACATACCGCCCTGGCCCTCGGAGTGGCGAGGGAGAGGGGGGACTGAATTGCTTTTGGCGCACGCAGAGAGATGCTCGGTCTGGGCTGGTTGGCAAAAATGCCTATAGGGGCCGCCACTCTATGTGTGTGAGTGTGTGTGTGTGTGTGTGTGCGGGACGGGGGCGCGTGACAGGGCGATCTTTGCGTTCCTTGCTGCTTGCCTTGCCTTGCCTTGCCATGCCTTGCCTTGCCTTGCTATTTTTCGATGTGTCTTCAATCAATCAATCGAACAAAGTGGGAGAAACTTTACGTCAAAAGCACAATTCCATTTGGACCTTGGCCGGTGTCGAAAGCGATCAGCGCTCTCTCACTCACTCACACACTCACTGGTTCGTTCATTCAGTCAAAATTTGGGTTACGATCTCCAAGCCGAGAGTGGTGGATTGTTGGTTTCATTTCCGTCATCCCTTTCCTTTTTTTTCTTCTTTCCTTTCTATCTCTTTTTGGGCTTTCTTTTTTGTGTGTGTGTGTGTCTTTTCTTGTCGCCTGCGAGGGAGGGGGGGCAGGGGGTTGCACGAGGCTGAATGAACTCCGCCCAAGGCTGGCTGTCCCCCTGGCTTTGGCTTTGACTCTAGCTCTGACTTGGTGTACGGAGGAAATATGTCTACAGGCCGCTGCGGTTCAACTATTTTCCTCTCTTTCACTCGCCCGTGCTATGCAAGGCTGATAGATGTCCAGGACATGGTGGTAGGTAAGCAGGCCGACGGACAGGCAGACAGCTAGGCAGGCAGGCGGGTTACGGAGGGGTCTTCAGACTTGATGCAAGTCACTCAATGTCGCACAGCAGACAGGTGCTGCAGGACTATGCAAGGCAAGGCCGGACAAGGCGAGACAAGGTCATGGATGACAGGGTTTTCTAGGAGGTCCTTTTGACGAACGTCCTCTGACGCAGTGGTTTTCTCGAAGAGATTTCGGTCAGCAAAAGAAGGGGCGGGGTCTCGGAGCCTGATCAGGGTAAAACCACGACCATGTCTTCTGTGAGATCCCGGAAGGCCTCGTATCTAGGATACGGCATGGCATTGCTAAAAGAGACACAGATGGTATTGCATTGCACTTCACGAGGCACGACTATGACCGGTGGGATGGATCCGCGTTCTCCATAGAGAGGACGTAGGACAAGCTGCGCTTTCTGGCGAGAATGGAAGCGGAGTTATTAAAAAAAAAAAAGCCCGTGAATCATGAATGATCTCAGTCTGTCTAGAACCCACGGAACGACTTTCTCAACGGTGACGAGGCAGACTCACATCTCCTTCGAGAAGGTAATTCTCACAGAAGCTCGGTAACCGGCCAGTCTTCTCTGCCCTCTGTTGGGTGGCCCTTGTGTGCGTGCCTCGTAGCACAAGCGGCCTAGAAAGCCGAGACCGTTAGGAAGGCCTGAAAGGAGATAGAGAAGAGGGAAACCCCCTGGAGCAAGCCTTTGCATCATTCGTGTTACCTACCGACCTTCCCCCCTTCTCTCCTAGGGACTGGACAAGTTGAGAACTGGACTAATAGTTCAACAAGGTTCTTTGCTCCAACATCCGGCGAGGCTGCCACCTTTTGAAGTGGACTAAGCAATTAGTCATTGCGTGGTTGGGGCCGAGTAGTAGCGCTGACGATCGTTTCTTTCTCCTTGGTAAGGATGAGTAACAAGTGCTAGAGACTGGCATCCATTTGGGTCGACCGCGGGGGATGATGTGTTTGAGTCAAGATCAGGTCGAAATCGGGCGGTCACAATACATACCCGCATCGTCGGTCAACATTCAGCCTTCCTGCCGTGTAACCAACGCTCGCTGCTTGGTCCCGTCGACCAGGTTATCATCGCCGTAACGATGATTTGGAATGTAGTAGACCTTGGCCAGGGCGGACTGCACCTGTGCTAGAGGGATGGGGTTGTTTGCATGCCCCCCCCCCAGGAGACGCAGGGAGTAGAATGTCCCTCATTTCCCAATGCTGAGAGATGCAGTCACGCTAGATCGATTGCAGTACGTACCTACCTGTCTCATGTAACCTTGCGTTGATATTATCCCTGGGTTAGCTAGCGTAAGCCACGAAAATATCTCTGGCGCCTTCTTCTTGTTCTTCTTGTTCTACTTCTTCTTCTTTCCCAGTCCGTCTCCGCCATGAGAATGGCACAGTTATGCAACGCGGAGCAGACGGGGTTTGACCGGCACGGTTTTCCGGGTCGGCCTTTTCCATTCTGAAGGAGCCATGCAAATAAGCAAGATAGGATCAACTAGTGCCCATCGGTGCAGCATCAAGACAGTGAGCACCTGCCAACAGAGATGTGGCGACACGATTCATGTCTTAGTCAATAGGGGTGTGGCGACAAGCGGCACGCAGGAAGAAGAAGAAAGATGACAATAATGATGATGAAGGCTGGCTGATTGACGCTCCATGGAAGATTGCACGTCGTCGATGGACTTGGGAGGGGCCTTCGGGCTGGACAGCCGCAGGCAATGACAAGCGGAATGGGCTAGACTACCGAGCGATTGACAAGATGAGTTCGCTCAAGGTCTAAGATAGGACGAGACCCGATATCAAATGCGAGCAAAGGATTTTGGAAACCACGCAGGCCGTATTCAGTAGTGGCCCCCCAATTACGGGATTCCAAGTGATTAGTATCCGAGGCCACTCTCTTCGATCTAAGAGTGGAGGCCCATGTCGTGGACGTGGGATTGCGTTTATTCCAGGAATCGACAGCGAGGGGAAGCAAGAGAAGACAGAGCGAGCGAATTCCATGTCGGCTCGGGCGGTTTGCTCAGAGTTGCAAGGCTCCACCCAGGCCCCACTTTCTCCCAGCCACCTTCAGCCACCACTGGGTATGGCCTAGCGTATACCGTACTTGGTAGGATGGAGATAGCCGCTAGCGCCACTAATGCCACCAGAGGCCCGCTAGAAGAGCGCTAGAAGCGCGCTAGAAATAGCTTCTAGAATATCGGTAGAAGGTGTTATTGGCACTAGCAAAGTCAAGTCCGACCGCCACCGACAAGGATCTAATACACCAATCACAATGCCCGATCGGAGCAGGCGTTCAACTGCTACTTGCTCAGTAGCGAGTTCGCTGAGAGCAACGGCATATCATCGAATCCTCCCCCCGCTAAGAAAACCTCTCTTTTCGGCCCATGCGTTGGCCGTGTCCCGTGTAGGAACTGGTAGCTGCAGCATCCCAGGTACCAAGTAAGCTTTACACTTTCCCAAACGAGACGGCTGATTTCATCGCGGCCACGATCAGGTCATGTCCATAACCATGGCATGACAGGCTGGGAAGTTTCTTTTTCTGCTCGGCCCACCAAGGCTCGAGAGACTCTCGCAACTCGTGCTTCGATGGTCTGGTGGTTTGATGCACTGACGCAGGAACACACATGAGATCCGTCTCGCACCCGCACTTTCGCAATGGATATCGGACCGCTCCAACGCGAACCCGCCACACTTGCCCCCTTCCGCCCAAGGTTACGCTCGGCAATCTTGTCCCTGTCCCCAGGACAGACCTCTTTCGTCTCGCGGGCTTGTCGTTGGACCTAGAATGGATGCGGTTAAAGGCGGCTGTCTGCTCCAATGCAATGCAGGTACAGGGTTGTCGGCATGCACATCCACTTAGTCTTGCAAATCCAGTGGGAAGACCTAACAAGTAGTATTCAAGAGCGGGAATATGCAAATGCTGCCTAGCTGATCTGCTGACAACCCTGATGATTGGTTTCTCCCATCAGAGTTGCGCTCCGTATTCGCCTCCTTGATGTCTCTTCTCGCACTGTGACGTTCCAGGAAGCGAATGATTGACCCTTATTCATTCCATCCCGCCTCAGAGGCCGCCGCCACCGACCTCGACTACTCATTTCAGTTTCGTAAGACCCGCAAAATCTTTTGTGATTGACCAAATCGTGGGCCCCAGCCGGCAATGTGTCGTAAGTCCCCCGGGGGGGAGGAGAGACTCTTACCATGACAGTAATCTTGAGACATCACCTGTCGCCTGCTTCCAAGGCCACATGACCGCTGATCATGGATCCCTGGTGGCGTGGGATGCTGCAGGAGCCAATCTTATGCAGGAAAGCCCGGCGTTTGATGAGATGAGCCAAAGCCCCCTTCCCAAACGATCTGACCGCATCTTTCCTCCTTACAAGGGCCTCTCCCCTTTCCGCGCCACCCCCGTTCCCAGAGCAGGGTCTTCCTCCACATTCCCAAATATCCTTGGCAAAGCCCATCGAGTGTTCTCATACACCAGGAAAGTGACACACGTGCTAGGGACAACGCGCAGGAGGTTGGGAAAAAGACCTTTGTAATAGCCCACGAAGCCTTCGTGGCGCCAAATCTGGTTGATCAAGGCAACGACACCTGGGCCCGGCACATGGGTGGTGGCACTCGGATTGTATGTCTGCAGCCGAGCCCGCACCAGTTGATGGGGATATGTCACGGTCCCGGCGAAGACCTTTGACAATGAGGAAGCCATGATGGTATCTAGATTCGAGAGTGGCCTGTCTCTCTTGGACATTTTACGCCGTAATTTGAGCTTTTCGTACGCCACAAAATACAGCGAGCCATGACTGACGCCGACTAGCGTTGGGGTCAGACCATGGAAGAAACCACGGACTCCTTCTGTTTTGTATATTGCGCGCAACCCGTATATCAGGCCCGGATATGCACCCCTTTGGGAGGCGGAGGTTGAAAGCATCCGCGTCTTGACCACCCAGATTGGATTCGTGAGGACCGCAGCGAGAAGGCCGGAAGCAGAAGAGGCCGTCAGGTAATCGACCGCTGTGAGCTGTTGACCAGGAGAATAGCCTCGAAGGTTTCGGATGACCTCTTGAGCTTCACGGTACCACAAGAAGTACAAAGCCCAGCCAGCAGAATTACCCACCAGATTGGGACTTAGGCCGCGATACAGTGCGGCCAGCCGGCTGGGGCCTTCATTTCGCAAAATGTCTCGAAGAACGGCTCGAGAGGAATTCAGGAGCGGGTGGGCAGAAGTGTCGACTAAAGAAAAATCATCGTCAGACGGTCTCTTGACGTGTCGGAGCAGCAACCCTAACCTTGCAACCTCGTTTTGATGATATCCAAAGGGTGGACGATCACGGTGGAGATGAGGCCGGCAGACAAGCCTGCAATGGTCTCAATGGAAGCCGGGGAGAGACCATGGCTGCGCTGAGACGTCATGAGCCCAAGAGGCGGGAAAGGAGCGAATTACTCCAAGGTTTAGAGGGTCGAGGAACCGAGGAACCGACTGTAGGTAGTTGCACCGAGCTGGAACATCATGTCCAGGTAAGGCGAGATGAGGCAATGGAGAGAGAGAGGCTAGAGCGGCATGACTGCGGTTGCAGCGGTTGCAGCGGTTGCAGCGGCAGGCGAAGGAGGAGCAAGAGAAGGCGAGAAGGCGAGAAGGCGAGAAGGCTGTTGGACAATGACTACAAGTCTGTGTTCATCGCCGTACCTGGTCGAGATGGAATTCGAGGGTCTCACAAATTCTCGGAGCATGACGCAGGAAGCGACCGAACGAGCCGGGGAGCGAGTCGGTCTGGGAAAGTCACCTGACCAATCACGTGATAAAACAGGCGATTCCGGTGAAGCACACCACTTCTCAAATGTTGTGTGTTTCTCTCTGCGTGTTGTGGGTGTCTCCCTCCACTTGACGCTCCCATTCTTCAATGCCCTTTTAAACGACCTCCACAAGCTGCGCAGGCGACTCGGAAAAAGGGTCTTGAGCCAGTCCCCGCCCATCCCAGAGCCAATTGTCACGCCGCATCGAAGCATATGCTCTCCACCTTTTTGAATAAATAATTTCAAACTGCTGCAGCTCTCGGGACTTCGGATCATTCAGATGCCATTTCACGCCACTTCTTGTCCTCCTTATGTAGTGAACTGTTGACGGTCCTGACAACTCTTCGAACCCAGATCCCATCCGAGCCTCAACCACCTTCCTTTCGAATTACTTTTCCGCGTCGTCGATTGGCGTCTTCCGGTGCCTGAGCGAACAGCAGCGCAGCATTCCGGCCCAGGGGCGACACGACCCTCAGCATGGATATCATCCTAGAAATCGTCGACACCCTGTTACTCGACCGCATCTACGCGACGTTGTTACCTGCCAGTCCATCGTCCTACCTCCAACAGAAGTTCAATCATGCCACAACCTCCACATTCTCTAGTATGCAGGAAACCGCGACCCCTGCGCCGCAATATACATACATCTATGAGCCCGCTTCGCGGCTTGTCAGTTTGGACCCGACGGAATGGACCTACAGAAGCTCATGGCCTCGCGACAACATTTTCAGACAGGGCATTAGTCTGTTTGCAATAGTTTGGTGGGTTTGAATCAACCAGCTTGCCGTTTGGCACCGAGGCGACTGCTAACCATCGCTGTTCCAGGTTCTTCGGACTCATTCTTTACTTCCTCTGCGCCTCGCTCTCCTACGTCTTTATCTTCGACAAAACCACTTTTCAACATCCCAAGTTCCTAAAGAACCAAATCCGCATGGAGATCAGCCAAGCCGTCCGCGCGATGCCTCTCATGTCCGTCTTGACCGCACTCTGCATGCTCGCCGAAGTGCGTGGCTACTCTAAACTCTACGACCTTCCTAGTGAAGCCCCTTTCGAATGGTACAGCGTCGTGCAATTCCCTTTCTTCGTTCTCTTCACCGATCTCTGCATCTACTGGATCCACCGCGGCCTACACCAGCCGCTGGTCTACAAAACCCTCCACAAGCCGCACCACAAATGGATTGTGCCAACGCCCTACGCATCGCATGCTTTTCACCCTCTCGACGGCTTTGCGCAATCCACACCCTACCATATCTTCCCTTTCCTGTTCCCGTTGCAAAAGTTCGCCTATATTGCTCTCTTCGTCTTCATCAACGTCTGGACCATCTTCATCCACGACGGGGAATACTATGCCAATTCACCCTGGATCAATGGCGCTGCTTGCCATACTCTTCACCATCTGATGTTTAACTTCAACTACGGCCAGTTCACCACGTTGTGGGATCGGTTGGGTGGAAGTTATCGGAAGCCGAATGAAGAGTTGTTTAGGAGGGAGACCAAAATGGCGAAGGAGGAGTGGGAGAAACAGAGTCGAGAAATGGAAAAGTTTCTGAAGGAGGTCGAGGGGGAGGACGATAGGGGATACTTGAACGCGGACACGAAAAAGGAACAGTGAATCAGGAGACATTGGTCGACCACGCAAGACTGATCATGATGAAATTTGGTGCACAATCCTGAGGAAGCAAGATTGTCTCTGGCCACCGCTCTGCGAGTGATGAGAGCAATCTGTCATTTCAGATGTGACATTTCACCACAGGCCGAAATGGAGCCTTTGCCAAAGCAAGCGACAGCGAACAGAGTCATTCGTTGGTGAAGCTTTGTATATAGACTTGTGTCCCATGAGTGGATAAAGCTAATATCTGAATTTTCGAGGACCGCTCTAATCAAAATGGCGGCCACCTCGTCAGATTCCATACTTTTCTTTCGGAAAGGACAGCGTGCTTTTCACTATCAGACTGCCTCAATTTTCTTTTCGTCAGAGACAGGGAGCTTTTTGGAATATTATGTTTTGGCTGCCATTCAGGGGGTCAGTCCCTTCACCTGACTGCTCAGTGCTCAAATGAATCCATGCTCTAAGTCTGCTGAGGCCCGACTTTGGATTGCTTGCCGTGGAGCCATGTACTTTTCAAGGATCTGGTCGAGACGCCATCATGAACGTCCTCGATGATAAGGGATTCCAACTCACATGGGAATGGAGCCCACAGGGGCTATTACTTGCCGCCATGGGGCTTTGCAGGGTTTGCGTGCACAGTACCAGCGAGCAGGTCCTCTTAGACCGTAGAGTATTTGCATCCCACGGGTGCAGGCTCGTACAGCAAAGTCCGTCTCCCGGACAATGTGCACCAGTTTGGGTGAATTTCGCAGGCGTCAATCAAAAATCGCACTGTGAGACCAAGTTCCATCATGAAGCCAGTACTCCGTCATGGCGCCGCCGACGCCATACACCAGAAGCTGGTTGGCTTGGCCATTCTCATCAATCCATCCAATACACGCAATGGCACCTCCGACGTCGTCAGCGCGAGCCCAAGCCCCTGACACGGCGTCCGCGCTGGCTTCCGTAGCCCAATCTTGTCCCGAAGCTTCTTTCCAAGCTTCAGCCACGGAGCCGTCTTCCACGATCTGCTTGGCCGTCAAGTAGGATTTGGACAGGTCCGGACTCGGATACAAGCACGTGGCGAGGTTGTAGAGCGCAGGTTTGTATGCGGTGTTCGTAAACCAGACATCCGTAACGATCGGCTGGTCAGACTCAGTGCTCCCCTAACAGATCCCAAAACACATGGTACATACGAGCGAAAGCGTAGCCAACGTTGCGCCTCAAAGCCTTGAAATTGCCATTCGGGTCGGTATAGAACAATCGCTCAAGAGTGTCGGTGTTGTTGTCTGCTATGGCAGCAAGGCCACTGTCTTGGCCAATGGTCTGTCCCGGCGCGAATGGATCTTGCCAGCCACCGTCGTAGTCCAATTCTTGCAGATAGTGATCCTGGTCGACATAGAAGAGATGAAGCTGGATCCCGGCTGCGCTGGTAGTGTTGCCCCATTGCGAAATAGTCAGGCCGGTGGTGTTGGAGGCGCCATCACGGACGAGACTTTTCTCTCCATTCCAATCACACTCGATCTCATTTTGGCATCGGGCGGCGAGTTCTACTAGCTCAGCATTCGCGTCAAGGTAATAGAGGCGAAGCTGCGCGGCCCCCAGCGTCAGTGTAGTTCTGATGCCAGGCGAAGGTTCAAGTTCGGTTCAAACTTACCTGGTCATAATCGCCATCTGTCCAGGATGCCGCAGCCAAAGAGGAGCCTTTGAAGGGAGGAATGGTCAAAGAAACCCGGCCCCACGCTCGCCACCCAGAAGAATTAGATCCCTTAATATGGAGGGTAACGCTGTGGTTGGAACTGTGAAGCGTAAACAGAAACAGCTTGGTGAGTCGTGGCAATCCAGAGCCCGTGATGGCGATGCTGGGAAATTTGAAATCTGCCTTCTCGGCTGTCCCTGGAGCGTTTGTGGGAGAAGACGTCGGCAAGCTCGAGCCCGTCGAAACAGAGGGGACTGAGCTGACTGATGGGCGAGTCGCCGAAGGTGTCAATGTCGCGGAAGTACTAGTACTCGCGGTGAGGCCACTGTTCACGTACAGGCGATATTGGGTCCGCTTTCACTGAAGAACAGCACTCACCTTGCTTGCGCGCTGTCTGGATCGTGCGATGCTCGACTTCCCAACACGCCTCCCAACCCTGCACCGACAATGACCAAAATAAGAATAATGAAGCTGATGAGAAGGGACCGCCGTCGAAGCCCCAGAATCCTGGGTCTCCGGTTGCCTGTAGCCGCGGCACCATGGTCATGCTGTGTATGGTCAGGGTTATAAATAATGTAGTGTTCCTTCTCCTGCTCTGGCTTAACCTCTTTGCCAGTCTCGTGGTAGACCTCAGGTGCGTCTCTCCCACCGTCACCGTCACCGTCACCGTCACCGTCACCGTCACCGCCACCGTCGTCGATGACGGGCTGGACGGGCTGCAGCCATCCGTCTTCCGTGTGTGGCACGGGCGGATCTCGTGGTCCTGGAGCTCGAGGATGAGGATGGGGGTTCTGATCCTGATTGTTTGTACCTCGTAAGAATCCAGACTCCTTTCCGACATGGGAAGTGGGGGGTATGGGGGTAATTATGTCGCTCAACGAGACTGGTCACTGACCATATTGCGTTTCGGGCCTAGACTTCCGGCCATCAGCCGTTGTAGTGTCTGTAACCTAGCCCAAAAACGCTGTGTGTATTCCACGTCTGACGGTTGTAGTCTCTCATACTCGAAGAGACAACATCATTGCGCTTCGCTCTGACCTCCTGTCTCAATATATGACGAGCACAATTGCGGAACAGATGTCCAAACAGATTACAGCATAAATCTATGAAGATATCGAGCAGACTATATAGCATAGCGCCAACAGCGAGGTATGGCACTAGCTACCTCAATAGTCCTGTGCGAGTCGCACGAGGAGTACTATCACACTTGTTGAAGTGTAGTGTGCTGTTCGTCGTGTCGGTAGTGTTCGAAGTCCCGCACGGGACGGCGCCGCATACCCTCCTACGGCTCTAGCAATTGAGGCGGGAGGCCTCGTATTTTAACGATCTACTTGTTATTGCAGCTACCGGGTCATTTACCTCGTACCCAAGACCCTTGTTAATTCTGGCGCCGACGAGACCCTTTCAATCGACCCCGTTGAATAAGAATCACCTTCATCCGCCAAGCACCAGCATGTTCAACTCAGGGGAACCCCGGCTAGACCTTGCTCAACTTCACATGTCGAGCCACGGCATTTCTGAGATTGAGCTCCTGACAGTCCTGTTTCATCTCTCTCTTGTTCCTTTGCCAGACTCCAAGGGAACACACAAACTTCTGTGTCTGATGCACGTCTGGTGGGAGCTATATAAATGGTCATACTACGTCCTCTGGCGCTTGGCACAATGACTACGAAGAGTGTCAATCAGAAAACACGGCTTGGGTTACATTGCACCGTGTTGATGAAGAAGCAGCTCCAAATGGACAAAGCCATGGCAAGTTCGCTCGTCCAGGCGCGAGAGCGTGGGTGCTTGTTGTATAAGTGGCTTCACCCCAACATCACTTTCGCGTCAACTCAACACCCATCATCTGATATTCACTCTCCCCCGTGTTTCTGCAGCACATGCGGCATGTTGAGGTAAAAGAGCACCCATTTCCCCAGCGCGTTCCAGGATCATGGGTTCTCGATTTCCACCCTCTTCAAAGTCTATTCTACACCCGCAAATGCTAAGTATATGACTAAAATGTCAGGAGCCTTTCAGTCCACTCAACCCGCTCCCGAACAGAGTATAACGGGCACCAGCGGCCTTGTATCCACGACACCACCGACTGGGAGTAGGTCCGTGACGCAACAGGACGTACGTGCCGGAAAGGAAGAAAAAGTCGAGCACGGGGATGCCATCGTCAATGTCGACACAAACGCCAACCCCGATTCTGAAAACCAGGTCGAGATCCTCTGAAGGCAAAAGAGAAATAGAGCCTTCCTCTGCAAATCTCCCGTCTGCTACCGACTTTGTGAACAAGGCCTTCTACTTCGTGTCACAAGCAAGCAGCTCAAAAACAGGGAGTAGAATGTTTGGGGAAAAGTGGTGAAACACTGGAAGCGGAGCTGAAAGAAAGTCTACGACAACGCCTATAACCGAAGAGATGGTGGGATACACCCTGGCGCATGCCGCTGTGCTTGTCGTCTTCCTCGGGACTATGAACACTGAAACATGATATTGTGATTACGACGGAGCTGTGGGCACCTGGTAGAGCCTTTTGCAGATGGACCTGGCACACAATCCTTCGCTCAGGGGGGTTTGGCAGTTCCTATTCCCCAGGGCTATTTGCTGGGTTTATGATGTATAAGCAACATATGATTGCACTAAGCTCTTGCCTTTTGTGAGGCCTTTGTGATCTCTCTCTATCGATGTACCCAAGGACACCGAGAATACAGCAAAAAGGGACAGAGGAAAGGAACAGGGCCTTGCAGATATCTTCCTCCCCATTGGGGGGAGAAGGATAGAGACCTACCCTCATTTTCAGGCAGAGGCAGAGGCAGAGGCAGAGGCAGAGACAGAAACAGACGCGAACCTTGCACTTGAAGGAAGGCCACATACAGGAGCCGCCGCCCACGAACCATGACCCCAGAACAAGCCAAAATTGGAAATTCCAATCTCATTCCCGAGCTATTCTACCGGATAGAGGACATCCAGAATGAGAGTGTCGTATTTGTGGGTGACTTGAGAATAAGACGGGCACACGCATGCACGACACAGCCGGTTCAGCATCCGAGGACACTCAATACCTGCCTAGGACGTAGCAATAAACGGGTCCACTGAGCTGACAGGAATGACTTGCACAACGGGGAGATGGAATGGCACTGGATTTCAAGACAAAAGGTAACTTCCGCTGCAAGAGAAGCGCTCCATGTGCGTAGGATATAGTAACGAATATGCGGACTACCTCTCAAGTCACAACCGTGGGGAAACAAAATAGCCTTGTCGGACTCTATGCCGTACGTAGTTGTCCCCCCATCCTGGGCGAGGGGGAGTGGGAGTGGGAGAGCTGATCCTAGTCTGTGACCCAACGAGGTATGAGCCGTTCCCTGGACATGCTGCGAGGGAAGAAATGGACTCGATGCATGCTCCTGTGGCTGATATCGCTTTTTGTCGTTTCGAAAGTGTGGTCGGATACGAGGCCTCTCAATACCAAGAGCCGGCTTCATCCATCGACACAGAGTCGGGCCTCCGAAGCTGAAAGGTCGATCAAAGCCAACTCCTGGCTCCCATCGGGGCTCGAACCTTTCTTATCCTGGGAAGGGGTCATGTTTCTTGAGTCCCAAGTGACGAGATAGAATAGACAGCAGAGGCGACAGAAGGTTGTAACATAGAACGGGTCCCATGGGAAGGTGATCTCGCATAGGGAGCTTGCGTCCCAAAACATACCTGGAGACAAGGCTCTAGACAAACCTGCAAGGGAAAAAAAAACATTAATTTTGAACCTCTGTAACACATCCGATACATTAGGCACCTGCGCTCAGTTGTCCCCGTCAAGCCCAAGCCTTCTCACGCAACGCCGACCCAAAGCAAAAGCCCTTGTCGTTCAATTTGCATTACGAGAACGACACGAACTTGGGATCTTTCGGGATTCCATCCTCTCCAATCCCATGCTTTTTGAACCGTTGTTCCATGTACACCCGTCTGGCTTCATCAAAATTGATGCCTCTGATCTTCATCAACCTCTGAATCTCTCGTTTCGCCTTCTGGTCCAGTCCGCCTCGGCTGTCGCCTTCCATGATGTTGGAGCTGAGATCGAAGTCCGCGGAGGTGAAGCCCGATTCGACATCGCCCATGAATGAAGTCGGAACGCGGCTATACGTGGATGGATTTAGCCGGGAGAGGAGGTCTTGCACAGTGGTGGGAAGGTATGGTGTCCAGCGGCTGCGGGTGAAGTACAGGACTAGACGGCAAGGGATCGATCAGTCAGGCTTGTCGAACGGGAGGATTTGCAGGGTCAGGGAGGTTAGCATACCTGTTGAGATCGCGATGGAGAAGAAGAGAACCGAGTAGAGGATATATGCCATGATGGCGCTGCTATTCTCTATCTCCAAGATCGACCTGGACAGATGTTATGCGGGGTCCTGAATGATTTGAATTAGATCTCAGATAAATGTCAGGTGTCGTATGGCAATGATCATAGCCTGGTGCCCATTTTGAGGCTTACGCAATGTCGCTGCTTGCGGCAAGTTCAGCGTGAAGCTTTGTGGTCAAGTTGAGGCATTTGGGGTTGGCCTGTTTCTGGGGGCCTCTGGGCTCGTTGTCGTCAGCCTGCGGCGGCGGCGTCGGACGTGTTCGGGACTCTCGCCAGTACTCAATACTTCACCGTACAAGAACGCCAAGCCAGAGGAGGCCTCGACCAATGGCGTGCCTGCGCACAGAAAGCCATTGCCCATCAGATACAAATCAACCAAAAAGTTCGAGCAAGTTCAATCTGCCGAAGCTCGACAACTGCGACCAGTTCTCTCCCCATCACCATGTCTGAACGCTCAAACGTCTCCGGAGACCTCATCTGGGAGGTTGTCCGTAAGTTCAACTACGCGAACCAATCCGTGTCCGAGGGCCTATACTGATCGACCGCAGGAAACAACAATGCGTTCCTGGTTAAGAGGAAATCCGCTGGTGGTGTCCAATTCTCCCGAGATCCCTTCAACCTCGCCAGCAAGCACTCGAGAAAACATGCCGGCTTCGTGAACGACAAGGCTGTGTCCGTCCAGCCCAACGAGAAGGGCGGAGTCACGTTGGTGACCAAGAAGTCCGGGTCCGCAAACAAGCCTGCGTCGCACTACAACACCCACGCGTATGGCAAGACCACCTCCAGCCGGAAGTGAGTTTCTCGCACACATGTACAGGGACACCAAGAAGGATGACAGCTGACCCGACTACAGGATTTACAAGAATGTGGCGGATGCAGTTGGCAAGAGATCATATCGTAGCGACTTGAACAAAGACGCTGTTGCCCGTGCCAGTGCCATCAGAGACTCCCAGCGACCGAAGAAGGATCTTCCGGCGAAGAAGCCTCGTGGGCTCAAGGCGAGAAAGACAGAGGCATAAAGATGCGCAGGGCGGTTGACAATTTCTTCTGAACGTTCTGGCTTGCGGGAAAGGGCTTCATCAGCTAGAGGGCAGGATCCGACCAAGCTGGGTAGATGGACACCCGAGAGATTTCTTCGGGATGCGGCATCTGGGACGGAGGAGCAATCTGTGTCCTGGCAGTGCAGGACGGGGGTTATTCCCTCAAAGGAAAACCTAGGCTAGGGACTGCAAATGCACCCGATGGAGGATAAGATCATTGATGAGGAGAGTAATGATTGCACACACATCAGTACTCCGTAGAAGCCAACGACCGAGCCTGGCCGAACCAAAACAGAAGGTCTCAGCCTGATCCGAGCAATTCTCGTTGAGACGAAAAAGCAGGATTCAACCCTAAGTGACGGTCTGACAAGAGTAAGAGTGTATCACTGTTGGGTCGAAGATGGCCTTCATTCGCCATAAGTAGGTTTGCTTAGCTTTAGGAATAGTGGCCCTCTGCCATCCATCCATCCTATACTGTCAATTATATTCGATGTAGCGGCCACTTCGACGTTGCTGAGCATTCTTGAGGGACATATATCTCGAGTCAGACTGTGCCACCTATTTTTGAATCCAGCTTACAGCCTTGCCCCCTCCCCCTCCCCCTCTCCCCCCCCTTTCATTGATGGAGACTTCCATGCCAGACAGGCATTGGGCACCACCGGAGGGCAAAAAAGCCCGCAGACGCGAAAATGTCGGAGCTGCGGATTGACGCGGGGCATTCAGGGCACTTCAAGCCAGTCCGTTGCCGCTGGATCGATATTTGGGCTTGGCGGCCAGTAGGTGCTTCCCCTCGCTTGTTCTCGCCATGTGTCCCGCGTCACTCTCGCTGCCCATGAAAGTCTGACCGCCCCAACTTTTTCTTGAACTCTTCCAGTCCTCAATCTTCTTGCAACGTCGTCTCCTTAACCTCGAAACACCTTGACGCATCCTTCTCAGTGAGTTCCCCAAGTGTCTTCCAGGCAAATACGACGCTCTAGTCTCTACAAAGCAGGAATCCTAACCTGTCGTCACAGTTCAATCTTCCCCCCACCCAACACTCAACATGGTCAAAGCTGTCGTTCTCGGTGCCTCTGGCGGCATTGGTCAGGTATGGATCTCTCCTTCACGTGGGTACGGCAGATTGAGTCCAGTCTAACTTGTTGCCAGCCATTGTCTCTCCTCTGCAAGATCTCTCCTGTCATCGACGAGCTCGCCCTGTTCGATGTGGTCAACACTCCCGGTGTCGCAGCCGATCTGTCGCACATTTCCTCTGTCGCTGTACGTCTGCTGAAATCCTTCTGACCAATCTCAGAATGCCACGAGTCTAACATGCACAGTCCATTGCTGGCTATGTCGCAGCTCCAGGTGACTTCAAGGGAGAGAAACCCGAGACAGAAGAGGCAAAAAAGGCGGCTTTGACTGGTGCAGACATTGTCATCATCCCCGCTGGTGTTCCTCGTATGTATTTCGTTCACCGCCAGCCGCTTGGTGCGACTGATAATCGTTCTCAGGCAAACCTGGCATGACTCGGGACGACCTCTTCAAGATCAATGCAGGAATTGTCAAAGGCCTCATTGAAGCCTGCGCCAAATACTGCCCCAAGGCATACATCTGTGTCATCTCGAATCCCGTCAACTCCACCGTCCCAATCGCCGCCGAGGTCCTGAAGGCAGCGGGCGTCTTTGACCCGAGGAGACTCTTTGGTGTCACCACTCTGGATGTCGTCCGTGCTCAGACCTTTGTGGGAGAGATCATTGGTGAGAAGGACCCAAGAAAGTTGACGATTCCTGTTATTGGTGGCCATTCTGGCAACACCATTGTGCCACTGTTCAGCCAAGCCAAGCCTCCCGTCAACATCCCATCAGACAAGCTCGATGCTTTAGTGAATCGTGTCCAGTTCGGTGGCGACGAGGTTGTCAAGGCCAAGGACGGTGCCGGTTCCGCAACTCTTTCTATGGCATATGCCGGTTTTAGATTCGCCGAAGCCCTCATTAAGGCTGCAAAGGGCGAAAAAGGGGTCATTGAGCCAACCTTTGTCTATCTTCCTGGTGTCCCTGGTGGTGATGCTATTGCAAAGGCAACCGGCTGTGATTATTTCTCCGTTCCTGTAGAGCTCGGGGTAAGTCTCTTCATCTAATCGATCCCCTTCCTCTCCCTTGTTTTATGTTGACACTGGTAATAGCCCGACGGCGCAGAAAAGGCTATCGACATCCTGGGTAGCGCCAATGACTACGAGAAGAAGCACCTCGAAGAAGCTATCAAAGGTCTCAAGACCAACATCGAGACTGGTATCAGCTTCGTGAAGAACCCACCCAAGTAGGTTTGATCTTCTCTTTCTTTGTAACATTACCTGACTGTTTTGTAGGTAGGATGTGAGCGACTTCTAATCCCCCAGAACGAGCCTGCCTGCCACGCAGTAGTTCGATATTTGGAAAGTGTTGAAAGCGCAAATATGTGAGCCGGCCACGGAGACTGACATGGAGTCATCGGAGCAGGTTGTGAAAGCATGTCTTGACGGAAAACAAAGACTCCCCTTCCTTAGGGCGAAGATGATTGTCATCGCTATGACATAGCTTTTCAGGCTGTATGTGTTTTTGCAGCTTGGAGATCGCGTAGACAAAATTCACTTGTCCTACTCCTTCCGCTTGTTGTAACCACCTCTCTGCGCCTTTTAGATCTTAAACTTCGACTCTCGACTCTCCCAACCACGTTTGAGGGCCTCACGGATGGATCGTAGAGGGCGTTCATGCCTGAACCGAGAAATAGACTTCATCATATGAGCTGAGAGTCCTTCCTCATATCATACCAAGTCATTCATTGCTCATCATCTCAAGTCATGGCTTTACTTGAGGCAGCACCGTCGTGATCTGAAAAATAGCACTGGGCAAGTCTATCGTCTCAGCCTGTACGGTGGCTTTGATCCCCAAGCTGCTCAAGACACCGCGAATGATACCGCAGGGGAAGAAAAGGTGAGGTCGAGCTCGCTGTAGGGCTTCAGCGTGGTTGGCCATGGACATGCGGGTGAGTGGGCGGAATTTGTTGTCTGTAAGGACGAAGACGCCCTAATATGCAACATTGTCAGCAGACTGCTCCTCGGCCTTTTTTTATGTCCGCGGCCTTCAAAAAAAAAAGGAAGACCTAGAAACCGCCAGGATTGTATATATGTAGCCCTTTTCGACTCCGACTCTTGTGAAAGGGAGGTGTGGGAGGGGAAACGTACCCGATGATTCGTCTTCAAGTTGTCGACCTGCTTCCTCCACACCACGCCCCAGATATCCTTGCAGACGAACTTGATCACGTCCAGGTGATGATCATTCACGTTTCCCACATTGCCCCCGTTGATCCCAGCCGGGTTGAAGCGCGGCCTGTCGCGCGAGATCCGTTCGCTGAGACCTTCTCCGACGCGGAAACCAAGGCGTTCGAGACGGATGTAGACAGAATCGGCAAAGATCGTGGTCGTGGGTAGGCCGTCTGCGGCGAGCAGGGCGGTGTGTGAGGGCTGCGAAGATGCGGCGGTTGTGTTCGCTCCCGTGACCGTTATGCTTGGTGCCGAGATCGAAGAAGGTGTGGTGGTGGTGGTGGTGGTGGTGGTGGTCGTCGTCGTCTTCGCAGTCGTGCTTGTGCTGATGGCATTATTGGGCCCCGTCGCAGGGGGGCCCTTTGATGTCCTTTTCGTAGCTGTCGAGCTCGTAGAAGAGGGTGTGGGACGGTCGAGAGACGCCTCGTAGGCTCGGGCCATACGCTCGGCCAGCGGGACGAGCTCAATCAACAGAAGATCGAAACAGGAGATATTGACGAGTCGGGAGTCGGCGTCGACAGACGAGTCGTTGAGAGGTGGTGCGGCCATCTCCTCCGCATGCCTCAAGAGTATCAGTATTTGCGAGCGGTCACCACGCAGGAGGCCCACTAAGTCGGAGTACTTGCGGAGTCTGGGGGAGTTTGTTGTGTTCGACGGACTCTCATAGTTTGACGTGTCGGTCTATTGGGTGACTTTCGACAGGAAACACGTTACCAAGAAGGAGGAGCGGGTGTTATCATCCTCGATGTTTGTTTCATGGCTGTGGAATGGTGATTGAGCAAGACAAGAGATTCGCAGAAGTTCATCAGGAGATTTAGGTCGGAGATGGTCACGTGGTATCAGAGTCGCAAGGCTGAGAAGCACACTGGACGCCGACTGACGCCTGCCCGTCACTGAACACACCACGCGCAACACGGCTAAAGAGCATTCGACGGCGAAGCAGCCGGACCCTCAGATGCAGCTAACCTTGCTGGCAAAGATCCTGGTACCACTGGTTTTATAGGCAACCTTAACCTCTACTGTAGGCGAAGCGATACGTCCTTATTCAACGCTCTTTAAGACCAGGCGAAAGGAATCATTTATCATCGTGGAGCCCGGAAAAAAAGTACAAGTCACAATATTAAGCTATAAGTGGTATATCACCGGAGCCATAGCTGACTCTTGTATCCATATCGCCAATGATGGCGTGCAGTCATAACTGCATCCGCTCGAATTTTCAAACCCACATATACACATCAACAGACCAAAGAATTATTGTACAATCGGGTTCAACCATATCATCTCTTTCATGGGTGCTCGGCCACTTGGGCCCGGAGCCTCCACTCACATTTCACACATTTCAAACGGTGGAAATCTATTGCGCCATAACATCCACATATCGGCCGGACTTGGCTCCTTTTTTACCGGGCTTCGCAGACTTTCGTCCCGTTGCTGGACCGATCAGATCATCAATGCTGCTAGCATTGCTCATTGCTGTAGCAGGACGTGGTGGTGGAGCAAGACCAGAAGTTGTAGGATGGCCGAGGGGGGGCGTACTTGTGGCGCTGGGAGGACCAGAAACACCAATTTGTGGTGACGGTCTTGCTGACACTCCAGCTCCATCAGCGGGGGTAGCGGCGCGACTTGATGGTGCTGACGGCGGGCCTATACCTAGGCCTGGTATACTTGGGTGCGAGGTAGGAGGTGCAGATCCCATCGGTGGCCTCGGAGGCCCTCCAGAGCTCATAGGTGGTGCAGGGGTACCACCCATTCGTGGAGGTGGAGGCGTTGCTGTCTTCTTTGCGGCATCCGGATTGTCGGGATTCACCCATTTTCCAAGTTCCTTATCAAAATACAGTTTCATCTTCGATTCGCCCAGGTTGGCTCTGTAGACTTTATGTTCGCCGCCTTTGGTTGGACCCGCATCCAAGCTATCAGTCTTCTTTCCTCCCAACCATCCACCAAACCACGACGAAGATCTCTTTGATTCTTTTTTCTCCTTCTCGCGAGCAGCATCTGCTTCTGCTGCAGCACGGAAGGCGGCATCCGCTGCAGCGTCATTGGCCCGTTTACGTGCAGTCTCATCATCGTCCACTGAAGCCTTCGGTCCAGAATCCTGCGGCTGGTGCGATATCCGAGGAAAATCGTCATCATCGTCGTCCATGAATGATTTCTTCTTGGGTTTTGCTTCATTGGTCTCTTCCTCTGGTGAATCTGGCTCTGGAACATATGGGACATAACCGGCGCCAGTGGGAGGCACGTAGCCATAAGACTGTGTCGGGGCATCAAAGCCCATGCCGGCACCTTCATCCTGTTGAGGTGTGTCCAAGTCACCGGGTTTGGGTGGCTCATAGCCACCATACGATATTGTTTCTTCGGGGATGTGGGATCCTGCAGCCTGCTCGGGAGTGGATCCATATGATTGTCGGATGAGGTCTTCAGCCGGCGGGGTTGGCGCATAGGTGTTGGGGCGCATGGGAGACGAGTTTGATGGCGCTGACTGAGCAATATTGTTCGGCATGTACGAAGTCCTCGGAGGGCTCTGCGGGAAAGAAGTTGGAGGCGAAGCTGTGGCAAAAGTTTGATAAGGATTCGCTGCAGGCAGTCCTTGTGTATGCTGAAACATGTTCATCGGTTCGTATTGATGATTGTGCTGGGAGTGAGAAGTCGATGGAGGCGATCTTTGAGAATCCAAAGATGGTCGACCACGGGTAATTTCCGCAGAAGATCGTGCAGATTGCATGCCGTTGGGTGCGTATCTGGATCCGGCAACTGTTGTGGGAACAGATTGTGGGTATGGCCCATGCATGTCCGACTGAGATGCGGTTCTGCTGATCGATGGCGTGCCGGCAATGTTCGCAAATGGACCAGCTTCGACCGCGTCCTTTCCCGAGCCTTTGGATTCCGCATCACTGTCCTCACCTGCAACAAAACTGCTGAACTTGTTCCACATGGAGCCTCCGACCTTTTCTAAGCTGGGCTTTGCAATCCAGGATGACGAGCCTTGAATCGGCGTTTGTTTGAGCCGATTCGACAGATCATCGAGCTCGGATAGGAATAATGAATGATAATATGTTGACATCTTGGTGCTCGATTTGAATGTGGACGCAATTGCATCACAATAAGATTGCGCCTCCGCTCGCAGTCCGGCTTCCGCCATGGTTGTTGCTCGCTGCAGCTTGAAAACCGAGAGATGTGGCATGAATGACAAGGATGCCCCTGATGCTAGAATGCTCGTCGCAAACTCATAGATTTCAGTGAGCAATATAGCATCTTGATCGCGGCCAAAGTCGAACGGGTGAGCTTTGTGGTTCGCACCGAGCAAGACGATAGCCGCATGCTCTTCATCGAGACCTCCAAACAGAGCCGGCCTCTGAGGGTTTCTAGAGAAGAGATAGCAAACATGAGCCGCCTCGATGCGATTGTAGTCCTCCAGTAACCCCCCAAGGACTGCTAAGGCTTGATGATCGCCTTGGCATCGATTATTCAGCACGAGGCTTAGAGTTTCCTTCCACCGGTTCAGACCGTCGAGCGCATTCTTTGCTGGTTCTCCAGTGTCGACTTTACTCACCATTTGGAGCCCAGCTCGAGCAGATGGCGGAACCAGCTCGTCTATGCTTTCCTCAAGGTTACCCCCGAAGATTTCATATAGAGCAGAGAGCGATTCAGTGTTCACTCCAGTAGTCTTCACCTCCTGACGAACGAACTCTCTTACCACTTGACTCCATACTGAACGGTCCATCGTTGAGGCAATGATGAGAGCATGAGACCACAAGCGACTATCCATGGCATGAAACACAGCCGCCTGGCGGTCACCGCCAAGCAAGCGTTTTCGTAAAGTCTCGACTGCCATGGGATCCACTGAGTCTGGACGGACATTCACACCAGGAGGTCGGTAGATGCCCGAAGACGGCTCACCCTCGCGATATTGGATTGGACTTGACAGGTCCACGTTGTGGACCTCCGGGGAAAGGAGGAGATTAATTGCCTTCAACGCTGGCCCGTCAAGAGATCCGTCGTGTTCGACCAGAGTACGGATAATCTTCCAGAGTAACACCTTTTCATGATGACGTCTAGCCGGATCATCATGAGATTGAGTGTGGAGGAAATTTGGCGCGTTCATCTCCATACCATTTATGTAAGTTGTCATCCAAGACAATACATCTTTCTTCTTCGACTTGGAACGCAGCGGACCAGGAAACTGACTCCAAAATTCCGCCAGCGGAAACATGTCTTTTGCATTATGAATGGCAACTGCTCCAGCAGTCGGCTTGATCTGAGGTCGTGGCGCACCCGTTGCATATCTGGGGACAAGTTTTGGAAACGTGCTGATGACAGTGCCGCCAAACCCAAACCTGAACAAGGGAGCACCCTTCCACCGCTCTAAAGGGTCGAATTGCGTGTCATCTTGAGGCCGTACAAATTCCAATTCCGGGACCAATCCTCGAGCTTGGACACTAGGCCTTGCGGGTGGAACAGCCTCGAGCGGGGCTACGGTTTTGCTTGGTGGCGGCTGCCCATACGCAGAAGCCGGGCGGTTAATGAAGTCGGTTGGGTAAGAAGGGAATGCCCCTTGGGAGCGTTGTTTGGATGGAGATTGAGTTTGCGATCGGCGCGGAGGGGGTAATTGTTCAACATTGGGACGTTTGGTAGCTGATATCAGATTAGAGTCTACCAAACCACCCCGGTCAGGAGACGTCATTGAATACGGAGCTGAGGTGCCAGGAGGTGAAAGCTGATTTACAAGTGCATGGGTCCCTGGAGACTGCATAATTGAGGCCGGCACGCCGTTGACACTTTCATCAACCGAACTTTTGTGATATGCAAGTGGACTTGACGTCCGGGGTTGAAAGGGCAGGATTGTGGGCCCAGGATGTGGATGTTGTGATGTGGTTTGGGTTGGCACTGCTGTCATGCTATGAGTCGTGCTATGAGATGGAGCCGGGGGGGTCGGTTGCGCTGCGTATCTCGCAGCATTTGCAGCTGCAGTTTGTGTTGGAGGTGCTGGAGAATATCGAGGAGAAGGCCCGGGTCGAGGGCCTAGGTTTGATGTGACAGGCGCAGGTGAATACCTGGTAGTTGTAGCCGGGGGTACAGGAGGAGGCTGTAGCGGGACATTTGCATAAGGATCCATGCGTTCAGGAGGTCGCAATTGATACTGAGTATAGGGATCGGAGGGACCAGGAGGTGAAAGCTGCTGTTGTGGAGGTGGAGGAGCAACGGGCGGGCTCTGTGCTGACAACGGTGGGGGAGGAGTGACCATGGTATGCTGTGGAGTGTGGCGGCCAGTATGTCGTGGCCTCGAGGCCAGCGGTAATTCTTCAAAGAAGCTTGAAGATGACCCAGATGTTGATGGTTCGGTCTTGCTCGGCGCAAAGGCAGAGACACTTCGTGGCGGCATAGCAGGGGATGGTGCTGGGGGTGGCATAACAGTAGGTCCTACCGTTGTAGACACGTTCGGATGGAAAGGTGATTGCAAGGGCTTTTCGGACAAACTGCTGCTCCTCGGGGGCGGCGCCACAGACCTTGCTATCTGGACGGGGTGAGGGACATGGGCTCTCTTCCTCGACTTGCTGAGTTCCAGAGGCAGATCATATGGCGACTTGTAACCGTCTTTTGCCTGATCCACAAAGCTCTTTACGCTTTGAGGATGCGGCTCCTGTTGTAAATGGGCTTGGAAGGAACCCATCGGAGCCAGTTCGGGTCGCGATAGACCCACATTGTTGTGTGTGGTACGGGCTGTGGGAGACAGCTGGAGCATATCAGAAGTAGATGGTTGATGGGGCGTGTAGGGGTTGATCGAGCTCTGTATTTGAGGCTGTACCTGTTGCTGGGACAGTGTGCTGGGTTTCGGTTGTTTGCCCGTTCCATCGGGTACGGCTGATGATTCCTGCAGAGATGCAATGAAAGAGGATGGCGAGCCGGGTTCTGAATCAGGAAGCAGATCGTCAGCATCTTCTACCAGGAACTCCTCATCGCCAAGTGCTGCTGCCCACATAGCGTCAACATCTTCGGTCTCTGGGATGACGGGGATCTTATTGTCCGCATCAGACGCTGTGCCTGCAGCCAACTCGTCGAAGAAAGAGGTCTCGGCGGGTGCTGAGACCGGCGGAGACTCTGGTATGTCCCGATCCGACAGATTTAGCGCGTCCAGAACTTGAGTAGTGGACTTTCTGTCAAGCGCAGGGCTTTGGGAAGCCGGAGCCGGAGTCCCGTTGATGTTCGAAAAGAAGGTGGATTCTTCGTCACCTTGTGCCGCTTTGAAAGGATTTTGTCGTAGCCCTTGATTCCAAGCTTCATGATCAGTTGGAGTTGGCTCCCCCGCCTGAATAAGCGGTACACCTTCTTCAAAGCGCAGAGCCTCCTCATCCATGGGCTCTCCTTGCGCTGGAATTGTCCACGACCGCGTATCACGCGTCCCCTCATGATCATCATCCATCCAAGAGACACTTTGGGGTCCGAGGTCACCGTTTTCTTGTCGTGCCATCTCACCAGCTTCTGTAGTGCCGTTGACGGTCTCGGATTCCAGTTCGTTCTTTTCATTCTTCGCCGAGTCGACCTCGGGTTGGGGATTCGTGGTTTCGGGCGAATGAAACTCAGGAAACGTTGTGGAGCGGTGAACTTGGTCAAGAATATGGGTGCTGTCTAGGCGCTTGATCCCCCAGGCAGGATCAAGTCTTTCATTATCGTCGTCCGACGGGAGTTCGTCACTCCCATGAATTCCGCCTGAAGGTTGAGAAGACCATGTAGTATGTGTTCCCGGCCCGTGAGCCAGGGCAGCGCCCGTTGCGGGTTTATCTTGAATGTGCGGCTGTGCAAACGTGTCTTCCGTCGACAAGCCGACATCTCCGTTGTGTTGGGAAATAGGAGTTGGAGGAATCACAGTCATCGACGTATCGCCATTTGGATTCGAATCGACGGGTTTCGGATCGGCATAGAATTCATCGATGGTGTCTGGGCGCAGGGCTGGGAGCCAGTGACCTGACTGCATAGCTTCTGGCGGCTCTCGAGAGCCCTCTTCGCCGTGGATGGCTGTCGCCATTGCGACTCCCAAAGGAAAAGACGATACTAGGTCTAGTCAGCAAGGAAGAGCAGGGGGTTAGTTGACGTTATCCCTGATACACACATATACAACTGATTAGCAACGCCTCCGATACATGTCGATAAGAGACAATCTATTCATGGGCGGAATGATATTTCGACACCGTGAAAGAATCTGTCGAGGGTTCGATGGGTGGTGAGTGATGGGCGAGATGTAAAGCGAAGGCCAGATTGTTTCTTCAGACACGAATCGAGATGCGGATGCGAGGTGCGGATACGGATGAGGACCAGGAGGACCTAGTGATACCACTGGTACCACCGAGGCCGTCGCTGGCTGGTGACTTGATGGCCTGCGCTAACCCAGAGAGCAGCTAAAAGCGGCGACCCTGGGGCCAGGGCACCCAGGGCACCAAGGGCACCAAGGGGCGAGGGGGACTTGGACTCTTGGGGGTGTCCCTTGGGGGTCCTTTCGGCCCTCAGCAAGAACGCGGCTCGGCACGCGTCTTCATCACCTGCTTGGGTCAGAATGTCATGTCTTGCCTCGACAAGGCATCCGTATTATTTCTCCTCTCCGGCCAGGACTGGTCTACGTTGATCGAAGTCCGCTCCGTCTGATAAGTGCGCAGAAGTATGCACCAAAGTTAAATATCGCGCAGCCAACATTCCGAGTCCCTCCTGTCACTGAACGATACTGCTGATGATGACCGGCGAAGAGCATGCCTCCTCCCAACCCCATGCAAACGACCGGAGATGCAGACTCTGCCTCCGATGATGATCTCGATCTCGACGAACTAGATCCCATTGTCAACTCTCCCCGTCGCTCGAAAGCCAACGCCTCATCTGAATCGGGTGCTCGCCGCCCAGCAAATGCCTCCACAAATATTCCGCTGCACAGACTGCAGAAGTACGGCAGCAGTCGCTTATGGCCATCAACAGGCAAGCGCAGCAGAATAGACGGCGGCACAGAAGACACGGATGGGCTGTTAGGCGGCTGGTCCGGAGACACAAATGGCAATGGGCATGTAAGACTGTGGTCGGAAGACCAAATAGGCTGGAATGTCAGACCGCAAAGATACCAGAGGGTGAATGGACAAGAGAGCATCTCTCAGGGTCGGGACGCTCCCTCACGCCGCTCCAGTGTTCGTCAGAGTATGCAAATATCGGACTTTGTCAGACAAGAGTTGGCAGATATGCGCGAAAACGAGGACCGATTCAGCAGCCAGGAATCCCGCGAGGTCAGCGTCGGCCATGCTCAGAAGAAGAGATTCCCCACGAACGTCGTGTCCAACGCCAAATATACGGCCTGGTCCTTCTTACCACGAACGCTGTACAACGAATTTTCCTTCTTCCTAAACGTCTATTTCCTCCTGGTCGCTTTGTCTCAAATTATACCCTTTTTGCGAATCGGTTACATGTCGACATATATTGTGCCTTTGGCGGTGGTTCTGACGATTTCAATCGGGAAGGAAGCGGTGGATGACATCGTGCGGCGACGACGAGACGCAGAAGCAAATGCCGAACTATTTACTGTGTTGTCATTCCCCGATACAGCTCGGAACGGCGCGGTCGAAGTCCAGAAGCGGTCGCGAGATATCAAAGTTGGTGACATTCTGAAGCTTGAGAAGAACCACAGAGTCCCCGCAGATCTTGTTATCCTTCAGAGTCATCTGACAGAACTCACACTAGATGCAAAGGGTGATTCCACGGCAGCTCCTTCGGCCCAGGCCGCTGGTGAGACCTTTATTAGGACAGACCAGCTGGACGGGGAGACTGACTGGAAACTGCGACTCCCAAGCCCGTTGAGTCAGAATCTCAACTTAAAAGATCTACAACGTCTCAAGGTCACGGCTGGTGCTCCCGACAAGAGAGTCAATGAATTCGTTGGGACCTTGGAGCTTCAACCAAGTCTGGCGCCCGCTTATGATCCCCATGTGCTCAAAGACGATCCGGCAGAAGACGGACCAAGCTCGAGTGACCTCGATCGGTCTGCGGTCAATAGACAAACCTCGGCGCCTCTGACCATTGATAACACGGCTTGGGCCAATACCGTGTTAGCCTCCAGCACCATAACTTATGGTGTGGTCATCTACACCGGCAGGCAAACTCGATCCGCTCTGTCCACATCACCATCAAGGTCAAAAACTGGCCTTTTAGAATTGGAAATCAACAACTTGACCAAAATCCTTTGCATCATGACCCTCACCCTTTCTATCATTCTCGTTGCACTCGAAGGATTCGAACCATCCAACAAGAAGCCATGGTATGTGGCGATCACGATCTACCTAATTCTATTTTCTACAATCATTCCAATCAGCCTCCGTGTGAATCTTGACATGGCCAAAACGGTCTATGCTTATTTCATCCACCAGGACAAAGGGATTCCAGGCACAGTTGTCCGCACTAGCACTATCCCTGAAGACCTAGGGCGAATTGAATACCTACTGTCCGACAAAACTGGAACACTCACCCAGAATGAGATGCAACTTCGAAAGATCCACGTGGGTACGGTTGCATATGCAGGAGAGGCAATGGAAGAAGTTGCCGCTTACATTGACCAAGCATTTGCAGCTGATGGAAATGAGGACATGGGCGTCTCAGAACTGGGTACGACGACAAAGACTCGCCGAGAGATAGGCGTCCGTGTCCGCGATCTCGTACTCGCCCTTGCGCTGTGCCACAATGTCACGCCTACTGCGGACGAAGTTGATGGGGAAAGAGTAGTATCTTATCAGGCATCGTCGCCTGATGAGATTGCCATCGTCGAGTTTACCGAAAGTGTTGGGCTACGTGTCCTTCAGCGAGACAGGGAGAACATTGTCCTGCAATGCGTCTCTACGAAGCAGGTGGTCATCCGAGCCGAGATCAAAGACATCTTCCCTTTCACCTCTGAAAGCAAGCGCATGGGCATCATCGTACACCTCACCTCAGAACTACCCGGCCTGACACATATAGACGAGTTGTGGTTCTTCCAAAAGGGTGCGGACACAGTAATGAGCTCCATTGTGGCAGCGAATGATTGGCTTGATGAGGAAACGGCCAACATGGCCCGTGAAGGGCTTCGCACGCTCGTCGTTGGCCGCAAAAAGCTCTCACTAGAGCAATACGAAGACTTCTCTTCCGAATATGCAGATGCGTCGTTGGCATTACATGAGCGAGATGCAGGGATGGCTGCTGTTGTGAAGAAGCACCTTGAGCATGACCTAGAGCTTTTAGGCGTTACGGGAGTGGAAGACCGTCTGCAAAAGGATGTCAAGCCATCTCTCGAACTCCTCCGCAATGCCGGCGTCAAAATATGGATGTTGACAGGTGACAAGATCGAGACGGCACGTTGTGTGGCAGTTTCAGCTCGCTTGGTTGCACGCGGCCAGCATATCCAGACTATGGCCAAGCTGAAAACCAAGGCGCAGGGCAAGGATGCGTTAGATGTGATGCGCAATCAGACTGAATCATGCCTACTGATTGATGGCGAGTCACTGGCACTCATGCTCAGCCAATTCCGGCATGAATTCATCACGGTAGCAGTTCAGCTACCCGCAGTGATTGCCTGTCGCTGTTCGCCAACACAAAAAGCCGACGTGGCGCACTTGATTCGCAAACATACCAAGAAGCGTGTCTGCTGCATTGGGGATGGCGGCAACGACGTCAGCATGATCCAAGCTGCGGACGTGGGCATTGGTATTGTCGGCAAAGAAGGACGGCAGGCCTCGCTGGCAGCCGATTTCAGCATTGAGCAGTTCTGCTATCTCACGAAATTGCTCGTCTGGCACGGCCGCAACAGCTACAAGCGGTCCGCGAAGTTGGCGCAATTCATCATACACCGTGGGTTGATCATCAGCGTATGTCAAACGATGTATAATATCGCTGGACATTTCGACCCCAAGGGCCTTTTCAAGGATTGGTTGATGGTGGGCTACGCCACGGTTTACACCATGGCACCCGTTTTCTCCCTGGTGCTCGATCGAGATGTGGACGAGCATCTAGCCAATCTCTACCCCGAACTATACAAGGAACTCAAATCAGGCAAGAGCCTGAGCTATCAGACCTTCTTTACCTGGGTTTTGGTGTCGGTATATCAAGGGGTCATTATCCAAGGTCTGTCGCAACTCTTGGTCGGGGAGGTCGACGGGCCTCGCATGCTCAGTGTCAGTTTCACCGTCCTCATCCTGAACGAGCTCATCATGGTGGCTGTGTCGGTTACGACCTGGCACCCCATCATGATTGTCTGCATTGTCGGGACTGCGGTATTTTATGCGGCCAGCGTGCCCTTTCTCGGGGACTATTTCAACTTGGCATACGTGGCGAGCTGGAGTTGGGCCTGGAGAGTGGTTGCCGTGGGAGCGATCAGTCTTGTGCCCGTCTGGGGCGGGAAGGTCATCAGAAGGACGTGGAAACCGCCCAATTATCGTAAAGTGCAAGGCATATAGCGCAATGAGAGACGACTTTTGGATGTTATTCATATGATCATGAATCGGGCCTCGGATCAGAGATTGGGAGCATTTGGAACAATGTGCGAAGGACTCCATAGAGGTTGCTTCAACCAGGAGATACCTAGGTCGGGACGTCGAAGCCTGACAAGGCTGTAATTACCTCGCTCGCTCGCTCATACGTTTTAAACAGAGTTTCGCAAGGTTCTCGGCCGAGTTTCCGAAAGTGGGGGAGGGAGGGCAAGGCAGTAACCACAGACACAGCGTGCCGAGTGATCAACTCACAATCCCAACACTGTGAGTGCGCTCACAACCAGCTGCCGCAGGCTTGACACCCCCTGCTTGAAGCCTAGATCTCGTCAAACCATGGCGTCCTATTTCTCCTACCTCACCTCCAACTCGGCGTCAACTGCACGACCATCGTCACAGGGTGCAGGCACCCCCGGCGCCACTTCGACGTGGTCGAGCACCCTTTCCTCACGGTTTGCGACGCTGCGGAAGGCTCTGACAACCAGAGACTCGGAAGAAGACGATCCGGACAACGAAGATTGCTCACACATTTCGAACGTCTTGCGCGCATATTACACAGAAAAAGGACGCCCCTTTCCCGAGTGGCTGCCACCTGATCCCAAAAAGCCCGTAGCCGCACCTCCTCTTCAGCCGCAGGGCTCCTATGGGCAGTATGCCAATGCATATGGCTCGCAGTACGATAACCCGCAAACACACTCAAGAGGGCCGTCTGGGGGCCGCGGCGGAGGACTTTCGGATCTGTGGGATCCTGCTCCTGCGCCTGTTGCTCCTCCGGCTCAGAGTCTTCGAGCTGGTCGACCAACGCCACACTCTTTGCGTTCGAATGATTCTGCGCGATCGCCGTCAACCAGCAGTGGCGGAACGACGCCTTTGACACAACCCGGCCCCAGTGCCCGGCCTCTCCCAAGCCAGAGGGCTGGAAGCTACCAAACCAACCCCGCTACAAATGCCGGGGCCCTAGGGTCCCGTGATCGACTCCGCGCTCGGTTGCAGGGCGGCGGCAGTGGACGAAACAGTCCATCGGGTGGTTTGAGCAGTGGGGGAAGTGGCAGCCAGGCGTCTTATGGTCCGTCGGGCGGAAATCTAACCCATCATCCGCCTCCTCGTACCGGGTCTTCTCAGCCCTATATTTCAGCCTCAGAGCCTTGGGCGACGGGCGGAGATGATCCTTATGCGTACAACTACAGTAGCGGTGGAGGAGGTTCGAACCCGTATGGCACCCAGGACTACCGCCAGCGCCCCGGAGGCCCCAGGTGAAGCAACCATAGTTTGGCCAACTTGGTCCCAGGATGCACACCACACCACACCACTGCCGGTCGATGCTACCGACATAGCCCGGAACGAGCAAGCCCCAAATTGATTTACCAAGGATTCGTCTGAACAACGTTGGCAAGCCACAAGGAAAAGTCCAAGCCCTTGGACGGGCACTTTCGCAAGCCTCACGGTCTCGTTTTCCGCAGAGGGTAATCTTCGGAGAGCTTGGCTCAAGATGCAACTACAGTCACGTCGTTGTTGACGTGAAGTCAGATCTTGATCGGGCCGTGCCAAGTTCGATTAACGAATCGGTCTCCCCTTGGCGATGTGAAGGTCGGCAATCTGATCTTCCTGTATACGAGGCCTAAAAGCAGGGAGATGGGTGGCTGATCTGAGTGTCAGCCTCTTGGCCAGTGGCTAGTGGGCACGACCCAGGCACTGAGACAGGGGACTATTTGGAGGGGGCCAGATATAGGGCTACGAGAGAGCGGGAATAGGGCAGAATGGGGATCCACGCACTGGCCCAGATGCCAAATGGGGCGACGGATAGCGAGGATTCAGGAAAAGTAGATCCACCGAAGCTCAGCAGCACAGCCGCAACGATGAAGAGGCTGAGGAAATGATTACTCCGTACCAGGCTAGGCTCGGCATGATCGGTGTGTGCCACTGTGGTGAAGCTGCCCTTAGTCAGCTCGCTGGTGGCTTCTGCTAACAGGTTACGATGCCAATGGAATGGACTTTTGGATATGATCAGAAACCGAAGTCGGTGGTGTTTTGCGGTTGACTAGCATTCTGTTTGGACCCAACTGCCCCGACGTACTAGGTACATACCTCGACTATCTGAAGGCGAGGGAAAGAGTTACGGTTACCTTCGTTCTCACCACCGCCCTGCCCTGCCCTGCCCTGCCCTGCCCTGCCCTGCCCTGCCCTACTGTCTTGTCACCTCACCTCCACCTTGACTAACGTCTTCTTTGCTCTGTTACAACTTACCAGGTACCACGTACCACGTACCACTTACCACTTACCACTACCATCGTAGCGCCCTGGTGGCCCCTCTTCCGCCGTCCCGCGCTTAGTGACGTCCGCGTTCTTCCCTTCCTTTCTTTCTTTCTTCTTTCTTTCTGCTAGCTGTTTGGAGCTCACCTCAACCCGCCCTCTCTCCTTGCGAACTCACTGCGACTCCGGCCTTCACACCAAATGACGGCCGATGCTCTCTCTAGGTAGTCCGTACAATCTGGCCCCCATTGCCTCCTCCCGTTACGTCCATCCCATCCCCCATCCCAACCATCCCTCTGCTCTCCAATGCCTGTCCTCGTCTTCCTCCTCCTCCTCCTCCTCCTCCTCCTCCTCCCCCCCCCTTCCTCCCTCGCTCCCTCCTTAACCGGCCCATCGTCAGATCTCGGCGCCCGGCACGTGGTCAAATCCAATGACTCTTGCAACCTTGCCCCGATGACGCCAAAAAGTCTCCCACCCTCTTAACCCCCAGACACTGAACGCCTGAGGCTGAGGGTACGGAGCGAGGAGCAATCGTGCCTTCCCTTCCCATCACGTTAGATTTGGATGGGAGCTGTAGCAGCTGTCGTTCGGGTGATGACCGTACCGTACCTTGGTGTGTGGCGGCGAGCAGCGACAATACAGCCGCAAGCAATTCCAAGTGGTCATCATTCCTATACCGACTGATTGTCGATGGAGAAGATTACCGGACTTTGCTAACTCTTTTGCTCGGCACATCACGCATCACGCTTCTGCCAGAAAGTCATAATACCTCTGCGGGCACTCGCACTCGCACTCGCACTCCATGTGTCTCCATGTGTCAGCCTCTCTCCCTGTCGTGGTCTGTCCCATTCGCTTTGAGTCCAAGTGAGCAGCTACACTGCGCACCGCTTCCTCCTACGGTCTCTCCTCATCATCGTCCAATGCTGCGTTCTGACTAAGTTTGCGTCGCCCACACACATTCACCTTATACATACTCACATACACACCACCACTCCCCTTTCCTGCCCGAACGAGTCGTGTTGCACCCCCCTTGGGTTATATCATCAACGATTACTCAAGGCCGCCAAAACTCTTCTGCCGGGTTCAGAGCCATTGTTTACTGCATCTTGCTATCTATGGACAATTACTCCGGAGAGGCCTCGAGGAGCGACCGGAATACAAATACGTCCAGGAGACCTCAACCTCGTCAGCAAGGAGAGTCTTCCACGTCAGGACGCATTGCTTTGCCCTCTCATCCTGCTGGACGGAGCTCCCAGAGTCCCTCGTACCTCTCTCCGGGACGGCAACCCACGACGCTTGATTCATTCTCAGAGCAGTCACCATCCCGACCCGCATCATATCAGTCTCCCGCTTCTCCCTTCGAAGACGCCATGTCTCGTTCCGCAGGTCCTGGACCGACCACGGTCTCGACGACTCGACCGCAGCAGTATCAGCTTGTTTCTCCTGGCACACCAGCTGATCCTCGGTCAATGAGCCAAGTCAGTCCAGGCTTTATTTTTGTAATATTTCCTATGTTTGCGAGTTCTTGTTTGTTGATTTCCTGATATCTTTCCTTTTTGCCCTTATGTCTCTCTCTCTCTCTCTCTCTCTCTCTCTCTTTTCTCTTTTCCTTTCCCCCTTATCTCTCTTTTTCCAGCATATTTCTTCAAATATCCTGGTTCTTTTCGCGCACTCCAACCTTGCCAGAATCTGAGAGCTGACTGAGAAATGTAGAACAACAAGGATCAATTGGTCCAGTCTCTTCGAACTCATCGAGTCAACACCATCACCGAGCTACGTCGTATCGAAAAGATCTTTGCGTTTCTGGATTCTGCCGAAGTAACTGAGCCAATGACCACGGCATGGGCTCATTATGTGAACTCGAACAACCTGCTGAATGAACTTCGGGGCTTGACTAGGACCTACCCATTCAGTTCCGAGTGTCTTGATGAAGCAAAGGCGATGGTGGTACGCGACCCGAGCAGCACTCGGAGCTGGAACTACTGCTGGTTAGTGCTGGTGAAGATGGAAAAGGAGTAAGCAATTAATTCTCGTTTCGGGGCCCGTGCTGTAGAAGCTGACTTTGCCCCTCAGAAATCTCATTATGAAACACGCTCGTGCGCTGGCCTCCAAGGCAAGCACCTGGGGAGGTCGTCGGCCTACAAAAGAAGAGTTCGACCGCCTTGTCAATGCCTGTGTGGCGGAATGGACTCGAGCCCTCCGGCAAATGCTCAAGCACTGGGACAAGCCCCCGAGCACGACTGGAAATTAAACGTGGGATGAGTGGGCTGTCGGCATGGACCGAGAGGCAAAAAAAAAAAAGAGAGTTCAGGGTTCTCATTCTTGCCACCCCCTCCAAGTGCCTATGCAAGTCAATAGTCTTTGTCTTTTCTCTTTTCCTTACCTTTAATTCCAGATTTTACCGGGGACTATGGTATGGACATGCAGCAGGGCCTACAAGACCTCTTTCGAATCGGGACATTTTGGGGAGACGTCGGAATGCGGCAGAGCGGAGACTGGCTCTCGGCTGTTGTACACCACGGACAAATTTTGGTCACACGGAACAGTTGAAATCCTTTTATTTTTTTTTTTTTTTCGTCCTTCCTTTTTTCGAGGGTGCATTGCTACTGGAGGATCAGCAACGCTTTTCACTGTTTTTTGGGCCAGGATCATGTTGGGACTAGATAGCGGCCTGCGGGCAGAGACATAACGGATCTCAGAGTGTACCATCATCTGGATGAAACTGTACGAAGCTCTGTACGAGATTTCTGAATGCTACTACATGTGTTTTCGCCGGATTGTGCTCTATATGTGCATCTTCTACTTTTACGTTTGCCGAGAGAGTCCTCCAGCCTCTCCAATAATCCGTAGTCGAAGCTCCGCAACAAGGGTATTCTGTTTGTCCTTTCGATGATTATCAACGGCGCACAGCTATGGGAATACGATATCCGGAAAGTGCTCGGGGGCCAAGGAACGGTGCGGCTCCGCGGGCAGTGGCATTATCCTGCACACAAGCCACGAATTGCCTAGAATACTCAAGTCAAGAGGGAGAGAGAAAAAAAAGAGTCTGAGAGACCGTGAAAGAGGATATACGAAAAGCCGGCTTTGACCGAGGAAAAATGGTGGTTTACCAGGGAGGAGATTGTTATCTTCCTATTCCGGTGTGCGCATCCACCCACCACCCCGGCCGGTGGATGCGAATTGAAGTGCATTCCGGGCTCGATGCCAAGGGTCTTGAGGCCATGGACGGGCCTTTCATTGCAAATCCCAGCTCGCCAGATCAGACCGGGGGTAGCAGGGGGGGGGGAGCCCGTCCATCCTGGACAGGTGAGCAGGGATGACAGAACAAGGATAGGCAAGGAGGATCATGACATCACCTTGTCTTGTTGCAGTCCTGGGTAAAATATCTTGTGCCCTTTTTTTGGAGTTGGGACATGTTCGTGTAATTCGTAGCCCAAGGGCCGATCGCGAGGGTCATGGAGCCAAACAAAGAGCGCGCGATGGTCGCTTCTCTTCTGCACACGTCTGACAAATGGTTTCTGAGGGGAACTGGATGCCTCTAGGTTTTCTCCGTCGGTAAACTCTAAACCCTCGGGGCTTCCATTCTCCCTTCTGATGAATGCGCAATTCGGCGAGGTCATCACAGAAGGAAAGAAAGAACAAACAAACAAACAACTCGTGGGATGGACACACGAAGACGGGAGGGAAGAGGTGTCGACGAAAACTAAAACCGGCGAAACGGCGTCGGTGGGTTGGTTTGGGTGGGTATCGGTAGAGCACAGACATGGACATGGGCGTGGGCATGATCAAGCGACGACTCGGCCAAGTGCCTCAGACCTCCTCACCTCAATCGACTACATCTACTTCAGGATGAACATTTGATATGTCAGGCTCTGCAGAGTCATTCACAAAGACACGACGATCGCCCAGGGTGGTGGCCGAATAGATCGAAAGTGCTTCCAAAGTTGGCAACCTGCCACACGCTTCAACCCGCGCGCCGCATAGCGCTGACGGTACCTGCTTTGAAG